TTTGTGCGTAGGACTACAGCGAATTGGAAAACACCTGTGATTATTATTGTTTTTTTTTCGTGTCAAAATGAAATAAATGTAATGCACGTAATAATTCTCGATTTATGTGTTTATAACGTACCACATGACGTAGGTAAATGTTTATTAACGATTGACGATGAGGAGTTTGAAATTCACGTTATGTGAGAGTTGTATTATTTTATAGTTATGTATAATTCGCTTATATAACTTCTACTTTTGAATGAAGTGAATGTTTCCTTCAATTCTTTACTCTGATATTACTTATGTTACTTATACCTGAATTAATCAGGTAAGTGCATTATTCTTTTTCTCAAAAAATTGGCTACTAAGTAGCCTCTTTTTCGAAGCAGGAAGTTTTATTTATTTAGGTTACAGAATATTAGGGTGCCAATTTTAAAAACTTTGGTACGTCTCACATACTTTTTATCAGCATGGTAAAATAATATTAGGGAATGGTTAAAATAGTAGATAATTATATTTATTGAGGGAGTTCACATTGCACTCCGAATTAAAATTATTTTTACAGGGTATCAACGATGATGGATCGTAAAGGGATATTTCATTCAATGAAATTAACTGTTTGATTGTAATAAAGTTACTAGATTTAACCAGAATGAAGAATGAATGAAGAAAGGATTGAATGAAGATGGGGGAATGAAGGTGTTTTCCCTCGAATTTTGACATTGCTATTTTGATTAAAAATTTAACAAGTTGTTCTTAAAAATGTTAAATAACTATAAAGCTGCAATGATGTAAATAGAGTAAGGGTAAGGTAAAAAGAAGAAATACGATTGGTGTGGAAAATAACAACAATTAAATACAATAAATGGATAACATTCGTAAATCATATAATAAACTGTAAGTAGGTATTGATATAAAATCCATGTTGATTAAGTAGTAACTGTTAATATATTTATTTAAAAACCCGATCTAAAAATAGCCGAGAAAGATAAAATTAAAGAATAACTAATATATAGGTTCATATAAATTATTATATAGCGTTTGCGATGCCTTGTATAGGTGTAGTAAAAGGAATTACAAGAAATAGGTAGGCAGTGCGACAATGTCCCCTTCCTTCTCTCTACTGGTGGAAGATGTAAATGATTTGTTTACCACGATCTTGCCAAGACACCTAAATCTAAATATAAATAAAAGTCCACTCACCTCTGGATACCGCGTTATCACTAACAGAGATCATCCACCGAAAACTCGGCTCGAGATAATGCACTTTACAAACGAGGGTGCAACACTATCGGGGTTGTTATTCGGGCGTTATCGAAGCCTGTTGCGCACTCGAAGATTCGGATGCAGCCTGCCTCATTCGGCAGCCATGTCAGCTCGATGATAAATCTGAACGTCCGTCCGTTTCGGCGGCGGTTTCCGCGGTTTTCTGATAGAAACTCGACGCGAATCGCGCGCGAACTCGGCCCGGCACCCTCCGCAGACACTTCCCTTCGGACAATTCGGCCCGTTCGGCGCGTTTTGGCCACTAAATCGTCGCGACAAGACGTCGTTTTTCACGATTCCCAGAAAGAAATTTCTGTGGGATGCGGAGCGAACGCCGAACGACGAGGGGGCATGCGCGGCCCGAGATCGAGGCCTCGCCTCGCACCGTTTCGAACTGGTGAACGGAACAGGAGTGGACTGGCGACCGGGGGCGTGGGTGTTTTTTGTGGAGGATGCAGCAAAAATGCCGCGTCTGTGGGCTTCTCTCTGAATCTCTCGATCTGACTGAAATGAAATGAAATGCCGCAGTTGTGTAAATCTAACGGTCCGAGTCGGTATACGAGATATTAATGTTGCCGAATTAACATATGGCATTTTCAACTCGAAAGAATTACCTCCTCTTTAATCGGGATAATATATGCATTATTATCGAATGGATACAATAAAATATGAATAATAAATCCTCTTGCTTATAATCCTTTAATTTATCGGCATTACCTACTATTTTTTTTTCGATTAATTTTATAGGCGTTTACTTTATTCATAAACTATTGGATTAACATTTAATTACTCTTATAAAGGTGGGTCCAAACCAAACAATCTTCTATTTTCCTAATTTCCTTGTCTTGCATTCGAAATTTAAGTTACAATTTCTCAGTTCCCAAATTTCAAAACCAAATAAAAATCTTTCAACGTGAAGTACACTTAACTTGAAAATATTTACTCCAAAACCAAATGCAACTTATTTCACTCTTTTCCATATACACAAATCGGCTAATTTAAAGGAACAGATTAATAGCAGTATTTTATTTTAAATCTGACATCTTCGACTTGTACATGATACATTTTTGTGAGAAATGTTGCAATTACTTCACTTAACTTTGTGTTAAGAGATTATGTTAGAAATATTAACAATATTGACAGAGAAATGCTTAAATTTAATATAAGTTAATTTAAATATGCCGGTGCGTGTATTTTAAATCGATTATTGTTATATAAAGTGGGTCGATCCGTCCCTGTCTCTCCTCACGATACCAGCCCGCTTTTTAGCTCCATTCATATGTTTTGAAACGAGTGAACCTTACCCAGCTTACTTATACGGAATTAGACACGAACAAATAGATGAATGAATGAAATGTGTTCTTTTTAACATCTGCTATGATAAAATACCGGAAGTGAAGAACCGGAAGCACGTAGGCTTGACCTCCTCGGATGAATCAACCCCCATTCATGAAATTGTCGGAGTCGGAGGGGTTGTAAGTTAATTCATCGGTTTACGTCGAGTTACTATAAAATGCGCGCTGTGTGCATTTCGCTGGTTTTTATTAATGGATCCTTTGGAATTGTAATTGTAGGAAAGGAAGTGGCCGTAATAGGTAATAATTTTTAGGGTCTTGGGCGGTTAAATGGTGAATATTTTTGGAATTTTGTTCGTTATGAATGAATTTGTGTGGAGAAATTTTTGACAAGTTTTTTTATTGTTGTTGTTTTGACGAAGTTTTCACGTATAAAAGTATACTTTACTTTTATGTACAAAAGTATTATACAAGGTGCTTTCTTAAATCAAGCCATGTTAATATTTTCATTATTTTCAGATGCGATTCTTTAGTTTTTTACAGGGAATTTAAAAGTCAATAATAAACTCTATAATAAACGCAGAGCACTATTGAGATAAACTGATTTAATCAGCTGCTACAACCAAACTGATTGAGAAATCGCTCTAATTTTTTGCATGCCAATTAAGAACATTGTTAACCTACATACGGAAACTTGAAATATTTAAAAATATTAAGTGCAGGTAATTTAAACGAGAATTTCCGGGTACTTACTTTTTTTCAGAAAGTACAAAAATTCCGAAGAGTATATGGATATATTAATTCCTGCGCAGTTAATTTATTTTAGTGGTCAATAAATGTTTTTTACATTAAGTAAAGATATTTAGGCCGTATTTATAAAAAGAAGCACCATCTTTTGCTTCAAAAAATGAAGAAATTGCATCAAGATGCGTAAAAAGAAGAGAAGGAAGAGCGATTTTACTTCGAGGACCCTGCTGTTGCTTTAAAGCGAATTTAAAGCAAAGAGTTTTATGGTTTTAAAATCTTACTATAACCTTAGTAAAACCATTTTCTCTTATTTTTTGCCTCAACCTTTTACTTCAAAGTAAATGCTTCATCTTTATAAATATGAACTAATGTTATTGGGGTTTTCCAATTAATAATTAAAAGAATTTTTAATGTTAGCCTCGTGCTCTAGTTGGCAAAGTAAAATCGCTCCACCCCTCGTCTCGTCCCGTCCCCGCCATGCAGCATGTCCTTCACATTACCTCGGCGAGGAAATTTCGCCGTGGGCAGTTTTAGGGGTGGAAAATTGCGTGGGCGAGGGGCTTGGCCTAGACCCACGCTTTTCACAGCCCGTTTCCACGACGACCGACGAATACGCAAAGCTCTATAGCTGCACGGCGCAATAGCGTTTTTGTTAAACTTTTTTCGTTTTTTTTAATTCAGGTAAAACGAAGGGAATTATTTGAGGCTGGGAATTGCTTTGACGTCAAAAGTGCAGGAGATCAAACGAAATTGCTCAAAGGTCGAGTAGATGAAAGTGCGCTGCGTATAGGTAGAGCTAGTTTTAAACTAATTTCGTTGTAATGGAAAATGCTTTAACCGTCGGAAACTAAAAAGTCTTTATTCCTTTACCGGCGCGCAAAATCAACGCCTGTGCACGGCGATATGCAAAGCTGTTAACAGAACTGAGAGAGAAGAGAGAATAACCTACGCAGCGAAGTTGATTTTTAAATTTTTATGGCCCAGACTTCCGTTGTGCCAGCGTCGTATCACACACGGAATATTTTTTTAGTACATTCGATATTATCAAGGCCGCGCTCAGCGCTGCAGTCTCGGAGCTTAGAGATTTTTTTTAACTAGAATTCTCGCGTAAAAAAAGGCGATGTTTTGCGAACTGAACTCGTAAAACAATTTTATGAATTGAGTTGAGTCGCTCAGCGCCAGAGTGGACCAACTGCGAAATTGCATTAGTATCAATCAAGAACAGTGTGATATTTTCTAAATTTCAAGTCCGCGAGCCCAAATGAGCTTTTCTAGTTTACTAATAGCGTGCATACTTGGGATATTTGATGGGATATTGTGGATTTGAAATTTAAAAAAATATCCAGCACTTTTCCTGATTAATACCAGCTAATGCAATTCGCATTTGGGTCACTCAATTTTCAACTGATCAATTATAAAGGGTGTTACATAATACAGGGTGTCCCAATGGAAAGTAGCCCCTGCTTTAGCGAGTTGATAATTTTTAAATTGTAAAAACATGCGGTTTTCGCAGATATATTTTATTTAGCTAAAAAATCTTTTTTTATTTTCAACTTTATAACACCTTAGGTTATAAAGTAACTTTTTTACTTTTATCCATCTTTTTTGTGGTTTTATTTTCTCTTGGTCTTCAGAAAGGAGGAGAGAAGAAACATTTACACAAAACGCAGTTTTTTAGTAATTTATTTATTTATATAAATAAACATCAACTTCAAACATTATGTATGGTTCCAGCCAATAATCCTATTAGTTACCATGACAGAAAGATCCCAAAAAATAAAACGCATTAACCTATAAAGTATTCGTATTGTTGCTCGGACAGAAATTTGTTTTGTAAATACTGTCAATTGATAAAAAAAGGACCACACGTACGCAGTAAACGACGGTAAAAGTGATTGAATCCGTTGGACATTTTCAAACTTTACAAAATTTGAAATAATTTCTTCAGTTCGACCATCAGCGCCCAGTCGGTTTTTTGCAAGTCGTCTCTAAAGTAATCCTTGCAAGCGTCTATGGATTGTCGGGATATCTGAAAAAGAGAAATTTTTGTTTACAGTTAAAAACCGAATGCAGAGGGAAAGAACTCCACGACCCGGATAAATAAGGCGGCTCGCCTAAACGGGATCAATGAATATTTAGGTCAAAAGAGATCCTGTAAGCTTTAGTCTAGTCTAGAATGGAGAGGAGTACGATGTGAGATATAGGATATAGGAACTCAAATTAGTTTTTAGTAGCTGAAAATATTCAATATTTTAGGAAATACAGCCCTTTAAAATTTAAAATTTTGACAGGTGAAGTGTAAAGTCACTAATCAATCACGAAACGAACGAATTACATTCTATCATTAATGACATAAAAATTCGAACGGAATGTTCGGAAGAATAAAAGAAACGAACAAAAGTGAAATGTAACATCGAATGACAGATGACATATCTAGGGTTATGTTATTGTAATTTTTTTTATTTTAAGTTTCTTGGACCAAAAATAAACACACAACAATTTAGAATTTTGAATTGAGAATGTGTATAATTTTCCCTGGATGCCCTAGTTTCTTTGCTAAAAGTATGCCAGTTCCCGATCAATAAAATGTTATACAGGGTGTTAATTAATCGAGTGCCTACCTTGCTGATGAGGAAATCCGTTTCATCGAAATGCCTACCGAACATCTTGGGCGATTCGCCGGGCACCGGTTCGATTTTTATGCAAACCTCCATTCCTTTGCGGGCGCTATCGATATTTTTGTGGTTACTTTCTATGCTAGTAACGACGCCGAGATCCACGAACTGAAATACATTCGAATGTTACGCTACAGCTCTTCTTAGGAACTCCCACACAATAGGATTATATCGAATAATGACTAGAGTTTGGAAAATATGCACTAAACATGGCAAAATATGCACTTAAGGTGAATATCATACGACCATTAAAAGTTCCATCCGCCTCTTCTCTAAGGAGATTTATGAATTTTGACGAAATTTTCTTTTGTTTACTTCTTTATGGTGGTTATTTCGATTTGGTTTATTTTTTGGTAAAAGTATACATTTTGAACCAGCAACACACTGGCATATTCAAAATTTAAAAATTTTAGGACCGTCTTCAAAAAAAAGAGGTAAATATTTCCAAACTTAATATTTCACCCTGTATACACTTTTTCTAAATTTTCATTTGGTTAATGTAGAAGGTATAAGTAACTCATAAAGCCTGAGCATCGGAAATTTTTGCCACACTTCGTTTAAATTGCCAATTATCTTTTAAGATTTTTTTTTTGTAATTTTTTATTGTAAGTTTTTATTAATTTTCATTAAAATGTGTACAATAGAAAATATTATTTTAATGTAAATTATTCTAAAAGTTAATTGATAATTGAGCACTTTAATTTAATTGACAATTTAAACGAAGTGTGGCAAAAATTTCCGATGCTCAGGCTAGGTTCTAGATAATTCTAGATTATCTAGAACCATTTAGAACGCTCCAGAATCATTTGGAACTGCGTAAATCCATTTAGAACGCTCCATAGTCATTTAGAGCAATCCAGATTCATTTAGAACTGTCTAAACCCATTTAGGATGCTTCAGAATCATTTCGAACTATCTAGAACAATTTTAGAACGCTCAAGAACCATTTAGATTTCTTCAGACTCGTTTAAAACGCTCCATCATCATTTAGAACTCTCTAGACTCATTTAGATTGTTCCAGAACCATTTACAACTATCTAAAACCATTTATAATGATCCAGAATCATTTAGAACTGTCTAGAACTATTTAGAATGCTCCAGAATTAAGAACACTTATCCGAATTCGAAAAGTAATTGTCAACGTTTTTCGGGAGAACCATGCACTTTACATGAACATTTTGCATATTTTCCAGGCTCTACTCACAACAGTACTAACCTCTTTACTGGGAACACAAATAGGAGTTCCTTCTTTTACGATTCCCGCCTCGATTATCACGCCGACGACGATGGGATCGCGCGAATTGAACACGAACTGTGGCAGTATCTTAAGTTTGCAGGGAAACACGGCGACGTGTTTGAATTCCTCGCGTTTCCTCTGCTTCAGCTCCTCCCTGTACGCCGTGAATTTGTCGAAAAGATGGTAAATTATGTCCGCTTGGAAGATCCGTACGCCCAAACTGTCCGCCAGTTCTTGGGCGTCGCGTTCTATTTTCACGTCGAAGGCTAAGATCGTTGCGTATCTGCGTAAATTATTAGTTACTATGTGAGCATTTCGTTGCTCTTAATGGAGATGCTGAAAGGGCTTTATTGATCGATTTAAATCTATGACTTACTGGCTTTCGTGTTCTAGCATGATAGAGGCCTTCATGACGTCTTTCTTAACGACCGGACCAATTCTGATTCCAGAATACTGTAAGAAAAGATATACGGGGTGTTAATTAATTCAATGTACAGTAATGTACCTACTTATTTTAATGGGTGATTCTTGAGTTCACCATAATATGTTATCCTAGAATTGAATGAAATATTGCAAACGGTTTCTCAAATTTATGAAAAAAACCTAAATAAAAATAAAACTTTACAACCCCTGTTTATCGAAAACCGAGCTTCGGAGGACATACCTTTATATTAAGTTTTCGACTCAAAATTAGCCAAGAATCGCCCGATAAAATAAGTACATTGCATTAATTAACACCCTGTACATTAGGGGCTAAATTCTGTTAAAATTGCAATATTAATTATGCTTTTACAGTATTTTCTACAAATTGTTCAAGCGCACCAATTCAAGGTATTTTTAAATGGGAAAACTTAGGTTCAGTAATTCTAGTAAGATTCAAATTTGGTTTCATCAAGAATTGATTTGAATACACAACAAAATAGTAGCGTCAATTTTAAACCTCTTTATTAACCAAAGGAAAAACATTTTCATGTTTTCGGCTGCAGTTTTGGCATCTCCATTGTCGTTTCCATAAGGCATTTCCCGGTGGGGCGTAAGTTCTGGGCCACCCTGTATATCCAGTTTGGTAAGTACGGTACCAGGCCCTTTTACGGCAGCCGTGCATCGGATGAAAGGAGCAACAATGAAGTTTAGTGAATCACTGATGAGGATATACGGGTCGGCGTTGTCGCGAGATCACGTATAAGGATATTATTATGATAGAATAGACGGATGTGTCGTTTTACTAGGAAACGACCGAGAACGGAAACGGTTACACCGCACTTGGGCGTAAGAATGTTATTTTTAATTTTAAACTGATTAATTTACGGTCGATTTCATAATGAAACATATAAAGGATAGTTTAACTTTAAAGGATCCTTTAGTAGATGTAATCGATTTCATAATCGACTTATATGTCCGGTTTTACCAACGACAAATAAGACCTTATTCGATGAATAAATTTAATTAACTGTTCAATAAAAATACACAATTTTGTTTCACCAACAACAAATAGCGTTATTCGACGATTAAATTGGCGTTTAAAATTAACCAACGAAATTTGGCCAGTTAAAGTTTTTTTTGATGTTTTCTAACCTCTAATAATATTAATTTGTAATATCTAATAAGTGTTTTTCAGATTGCGAATTTTTATTTTAATTTATTGGTTGTATTTTTAGTTTGTTTGGGAATAATGGATAACAGCTAAGAAATAATACAAGTATTATGTACTTTTCAGGTTATTTCAAAATTATTTATCTATTAGATTTTTAGCATCATCTTCATAATCATCTTCAACATCATCTGATTTTCTGATCATCTGATATGATTTTTATTATAGACGACCTCGAATTGTGTTAGAAAGAAGGATCGTTTATCTTAGCTTAAAGCCTCCATTTGTTAAATTTAAGGACACTTAAAATGTTTTAATTGAAATCGGCCGTTAATACATTAGAAAGATTGCAATATGATTCGAGTTAATATTTCCACCGACTGATTACATGATATTCAACTAATTTTCATCAAACTCATGTAATTCATTCAACAATAAAATTTCACCGGTGCATTCGTCGAAAAATAGATTTAAATGCGGGAATGTTTAATTATCGCATCGCATCTAACCCTTCTATCGATAGAGCGCTTTTAATCTCGTCGAACCGATTTAATTAGTACCGTAATATCCGGATGAATCGTAAACAACAAAGAGAAATCCCGTCCGAAGCGGGGGATCCGTTTCATTTCCGAAAATGAAGCGTAATACAACGGAGAAACTAGACGGTTTTTCCAATTGGACGGATATACAGGTTGTCCAAAATGTAATGGAAACGGTCGATTTTCTGGCAAATTAAAAGGTCTGAATGAAAAATTAAAAAACATCTATTCAATAGCTTTTCAAGGACTATCCATTGATACCAATATCAAATAGTTACCCCACCACTTAAGGGGGAACCGGCGGGGGTTTAATTCTAAAAATTTAAATGGAAACCCCTTATTTTGATGCCAGGATTTCGAATCTTCAACAAAAAATAGGGGTTTCCATTTAATTTTTAAAATTAACCCCTCTCCCGTTCCCCCCTTTAAAATTTTTAAAGTTACCCCCGTTTCCCCCTTAAGGAATGAGATATCTATTTGATATTAGTATCAATGGATAGCCCTTTGAAAAATTATTGAATACGTGTTTTTTCAATTTTTCATTCGATCCTAACTTTGTCAGATAATCGATCGTTTCAATACTTTTCGGGACACCCTGTATATTGTTGCGTGGGTCGGTGCACCTGCGCAACATCTATCGATTCGCCCTCGTTTCGCTCGACCTCCCGTCATGAATGGGCCAGAGCGTAGGATGAATTGAAAACAATAACATAATTGATATTGGCACGACCTCCTGATAACTAACAAGGATCGATCGATCCCGAGTTACTACGGCCGCAAATAAGGGTGGCTGCTGATGAGACTCGATAAATGAGAAACATAATAGAAGGGATTTATCTATACAGGGTGTTAATTAATCGAATGCCGATACTTGCAGGATGTGAATATTTGAAATATTCACATATTTCAATATTTGGTATTACCGAATGAATAATTACTTAGCTTGGTGTTTCTAAATGTCATACTTGAAGATTAATAATAAATTGATTAATTTTGTGGATTGAACCACGCTAATTAGAGACTTTTATAATGGGAGTGTACCAAAAATACACCCAATTTCTAGATTTCTTCTCTTTTTTAATTAATTTTAGGTTAGGAGATATCGAGATGCTGTTTTCACGTTTTAACCCTGTATTGATTTAAACTTTTCTTCTTAAAAATCATCCAAATATTCACATCTGAAATATCGGCACTTAATTAATTAACGCCCTGTATTGCAACAGTTTCACAATTATAAAATTTTTAGCGTGATCGTCGATTGCTTTATCACAAATTTTGATAAACACTTCCGAGTAGGATGCGATTAGTGACGATGCAACTTTTACACATTTTATCGTCAACGAAAAAGGAATAAATTGTACACCAAACTTTAAAGGTTAAACTATTATTTTTTTTCTTTTAAAACTTAAAAGATTCGAATAAAATAACTTACCGGTATCTTACTGGTTCTCAAAAATTCCAATAGAGCCTCCAAAGAACCCAATGTCGATGCTTGAACGTAAACTCCTCGATCGGCTAGTTTAATTTTCGAAAGGGCCGATTTCAGTTCTTTCGACACTTCTTCTGTGATAATTTCAACTTCGTCCGGCTTATTGGCAATGTACAAATTCAAACCGGCTATAGCTTTTTCTAATTCCTTAGCGGCTATTTTGACTCCTTGCGCTGCTTTTATTTCCTTGTATTCTATGTAAGCGTTCTGAAAGCGATATAACGTAAATAGCCATATGGTTATTATGTAAAGATATTGTTATCATAGCAATGTCCTAAGAAATAACCTATTCTGTTCGTGTAATTTAAACAATATGTTCTGTCATTAGTAAAGATATCTTGTTACAAATCTTGCTGCGTTTACTATCAGTTACTTCAAATATCTTGGTGGATTTACGAATATTGCTAACCGACTGTTAAATTTTATCAGTCTAATAACCCCCGTATTAAGGAATATTTTTTATAATCAAATGGTTTTGTAACCAACGATTATACAGGTTGCTCCATTTTTGATCGAAACATGAGTTATATAGGCCATGGGTGCGATAAAGACAACTTCAATTAGACACTTATAAAGGAACAAGAAAGAATGACATTTGTGTCATTGCAACTTTTCACTCTGACAACTGTCATTTTAATAATCTTTCTTTGTTCAACTCATAGAAATGACTATGTTGCAAGGTGTATATTTCCGAATTTTAAGCGTGGCAACGGTGCTTATTTGAATCTTAAACAAGATGAAAATGATGTTAGTTTTTTTGCCATTCTTCTTTTTCCAAATAAGGCCTCGGCTATAATATTCTAAACAGATTTAAATGATTCTGAAACTTTTTAAGTGTTTCTAGAGCGTTTTAAATGATGATGGAGCGTTCTAAAATTGTTCTAGATAGTTCGAAATGATTCTGGAGCGTTCTAAAATTGTTCTAGATAATTCGAAATAATTAAAATAAACAGTTTTGAATGATTCTAGAGGGTTCTAAATGACTCTGGAGAGATCTAAATGATGATGGAGCATTCTAAATTGTTCTAAATGATTCTAGAGCTTTCTAAATAAGTCTGGAGAGTTCTAAATGGTTCTCGAGCGTTCTAAATGATGATAAAGCGTTCTAAAATTGTTCTAGATAGTTCGAAATGATTATGATGCGTTCTAAATTTGTTCTAGATAGTTAGAAATGATTCTGGAGCGTTCCTAAATTCGGAAATATATAATCGTTGGTTACAAAGCCATTTGATTATAAAAAATTTCTGAATACGAGGGTTACATTTATGATGTTGATAAGCCGAAATTCTCGGCTCCATCAGTTAATTAAACCGCCATTTTAAAATCCGGAAAACCATGTACCTTAACGCGCAACTCTTTCATCGGTTGCGGCATCAATAAAGACCTAATCTGGGTCACGATGGGCCCATCGGTTCCGGCACACAACATGGTATCGCCCTCTCTTAGAGTACCGTTAACTAGAATGACATCGATGGTGGTGCCCAGGCCGGGAATGGCTTTGACTTCCAACACGGTGGCTTGCAATTCGTCGGAGTACATCAGACGTTTGGTCAATTTGCTTTGGCAAAATTCGACGATGAGGGCCAAAAGATTGCCCATCCCTTCGCCGGTGATCGCGCTCGTCGGTACCAACGAAACGTAGCTGCGCATGTCCGGATTCTCGTAGAACAAGGCGGCGTTTAAACCTGTAAAATGTCGATTTTAATTATCGTAAAGTTCGTACGTTTTTACTCGAATTATGTATTGCAATATTTCTAACGTATTAACGACCAATTTCTTAAGGATGCGTTCCTCCGATACTTCCCTAGTGCCAATGTTAATTCTGCCATTTCACTAGGGGAATTTTACGACTCGTGGTTGAATTGCTCATGCGTTGTTGCCATATCATTAGTCTCAAAATTCCGCTATTTGTAGTTGACAGGTTTTGATTACAATTTGTTGTTTTTGTGACTTTCCTAACGATTTTCGTCTATTTCTGGAGCGTTCTAAATGGTTCTAGACAGTTTTAAATGCTTCTGGGGCGTTCTAAATGATTTTAGACAGTTCTAAATTATTCTGGAGTGATTTAAATAATTCTAGACAGTTCTGAATACGTTCTGAAACGTTCTACGTGATTATAGATAGTCCTGAATGATTCTGAATGGTTCTTAACGATTCTAGACAGTGTAAGAATGCAAACATTGAGGTCTGAATTAAATATATCAGTACTATATAGGATTTAAATTACAACCCGGCATCGTCATTTTAAAACGTACGAACTTTAAAGATTTTTATTCGCCTATTCAATTCCTAATGCTAACCTTGCTCGGCAAATTGCACGATGACCTCCTTGGTTCGCTGTTCGAATTCCAACTGTGTATTTTGCGCTTGCGCCTTCAAAATATCCCTAACGTCCTTCCTGCTTATCGTCTGCCAATCGTAGAGCCTATCGATTTTATTCAACGCCACGATGAACGGCGTTTTCTTGGTTTTAAGTAAATTTATCGATTCCAGCGTTTGGGGCTCCAAACCGTGCATGATATCGACGACTAAGATGGCGATATCGCATAAGGAAGAACCTCGACTTCGAAGATTCGAGAAAGATTCGTGACCAGGAGTATCGATAATCAGAAGGCCCGGTATTTTTAGATCTATTTCATTCGCCTGGAAAAACATAAACGGTTCAGTAAAAATTATTATACATGGTGGAAACGACGAAATTCATTGTTTCGATTAGTAAAAAGAAAAATTAGAAAAAATGAGCCCTATAATCCATCCCCTTCGAAGGACAGTTACACCCCGATTTTTTTAAATGGGAAGTATATGCTTGTGATATATCGTTTAAAAAAATAATGACAGATTTGAAAAGATCGTCCAAAATAAGTCGAAATGGACTTGACGACGAAATGTATAATTAAGTTGAAAAAAGTCATACTGTCATTATTTTTTATGAAGGTTATTTGGTAAAAAAGTTAGCTTGCTTTTGAAACTTTTGTACAGGAATCCCTATGTCGCATTTTATAAATAACACAGTGTATATGACGTTAATGTTAAAAATCATAAAATTACCCCCTTGACTATCTTGATTTGTTCTCTGATGGCGTCGATAGGAACATTTGTAGCGCCGATCTGTTGCGTAATACCGCCGGCTTCGCCATCTTGCACGTTAGTCCGTCGCAATTTATCGAGAATCTTCGTTTTCCCGGTATCTACGTGACCGAGGACGCAAACGATAGCAGCTCTTAGATTATCCGGCGATTTGTTTTTCTCTGCGTTTTCTTTCCTCAGCTAAAATTAACGAAAATCACCAAATTGCTTCTTGCAAAAAACATTCATCTTTACCTTAATTCTTTCTATAGCTTTATCACGAGCCTTTTCTGCTGCAGTTCTATCATCATCGTTCTCGGATTCAGTATCGCTTTCATCACTCTCGCTATCGTCCTCTTCCGAACTCGTTTCATCTTCATCTTCATCTCCTTTTCCAGATGCTGCTTGAGCTTTCCTTTCTTTCGATGCATCAATGTTAGCTTCAGACAGAGCTACAAAAAAGAAGCAACTGTATTTCTATACTTACCGATTGGTTATTAATTTTTTTACCGGTATCCACTGACGTTTCTTGCGAATCTTCTCCTTCGTCGGACGAAGAAGCATCCCAAGCATCTTTGACGTCTTCCGCCTCTACTTCTTCTTCTTCTTTAGGCGTTTCTTGGACATCAGGCTCGTTTGTCTCTTCTTTAGCGGGTTCTTGTATTTCGGGTCGAGGTTCTTCCGATGTACTTTTCTCGACTATATGTAAAATAATTTTGTTGATATTGATTGGGCTATACAGGGTGTCCCACGACGAATTAAAACTAGCAGTTTCCCATATAAAGATAGTTTTAATTCGTCGTGGGACACCCTGTAAATTTTTTTCAATTTCTTACCAGGCGCTTGGTCCTTTTTCTGTTTACTCGGCCTAATCCTGGTACCCGGACGAGGTTTACGTTCACCTACATCCGGCAATTCCACTCCTTGAGCTTTTAAATTATCTATCATAGCTTGCGCCCTCGCTCTATCGGCCTAAAAAAAAACAACTTGGAAATTTTTTTAATAAGCAAATTGCGTTAAATTCACCTTCTGTTTGGCAGTCAAAAGTTTCCCTTCGGCTTTTAATCGTTCTTTGCGTTCCTTCTCCTTTTGCTTCTTCTTCTCTTTTTTCTCCTTTTCTAATCGAATCGCCTCTAGCCTGGCGTTCTCAGCCTCCTCCTCTCTTTTGAGCCTCTCCTCAGCCTCCTTTCTTTGCTGTTCCTCTTCTTCCTTTAGTTTCTTAAGGGCTTCTTGCATTGCAGCGATGGTCTTTTTACCAGGCCCTGTAATTAGTTTGTTTAAAATGTTATTGTTATAAAAGTATATTAAGTACCTTTTTTGGGATCTTTTTCTTTTTCTTTTACTTCTTCTTCCTCTTTTCCGCCTTTCTTTTTCTTGTTTTTCTTGCCTTTTTTCTCAGCTTCTTGGTCGTTATCGTCTTTTTCTTCAGTTATCGGAGCATCTTCGCTAGATTTGCGATCAACAAGGGGCTCGGAGGGTTCTTCTTTGACTCCGTCTTGTTTCTTCGAAGCCATTTTTTTCTGTTTTTCGCGTTCCTTTTTTTCTTTCTTTTTTTGAGCGGCCGTTTTCACGGTGCCCGAGGATTCTACTTCGTCGGTTTCTTTTTCTTCTTTCTTAGCTTTAGTTTTTTCCTTCTTGCTTTCGGGTTGCTGGTCTTCGTTGGAATCTTTCTGGATTGTTGCACCGCCGGAGTATTCCATTTCCAGTTCCGCTAATACCTTTTCTATTTCATCATCGCTGTCATCGCGTTTTTTACCTTTCCTTTTCCCTTTTTTACCGCCCTCTTTAGCACTCCTATTTTCATCACTAGGTTTCTTTTTGCTATCTTTTTTAGTCGGTTTAGATTCAGTATCACTTTCTTCATCATCAATCGGTTGCGCATCATTATCGGAATCTCCATCATCTACTTGTAAGAGGGCAAAAGATGTTTTAACGTTAGAAATTATATCTGGTTCGGATTCATCGGAATCTTCCTTGGCTTTTTTACTTTTCGTTTTTTTATCATCTTGTTTGGTTTCCTTTACAGAATGAGGTCTAAAATGATTGGTAGAATGAAATTAACCTGTTTCTCGTGGAGCGATTTACTTACTTGGCTGACTTGAAATTTTTAGTTTGAGGTTTTTCGATTAAGTCGTTGGTACTATTTTCTACGTCGGAATCGCTGAAATAAATCCCCATTTTATTACCAATATGTGTTTAGTTTAAAATAGTACCGACCTTTCTTCACCTGCTCCTTTCTTAATTTTCTTAGATTTACCCATATTTTACTTCTATTAATATTACTGTTTAGATCTAGAATTTCTGTATATATTCTCATAGGTGTATACTTTGTTTAAAAATAAATATTTCTCAACAAACTGCTATAAGAGAACTAAATAAAATTCACCACATGTACAAAACACGTCCAAAAATTTTTTTGACATTTGCTTCTTCTATTCGACTTTGACATTAAAAAAGTCAAATGTCAAATTTACTGCTAAAATTAGTTGTCATATCCACGGTCGTATACTATAAGGTCTGGAAGCCGACAATAGTTCAAACTTATATGAATTTATAGCATTTCTAAACGAGTAAAATAATTAAGAAATAAGCTCTCTAAACAATTATTAGATTATGTAAGTTATGGCTGCAGTTCCAGTAACATAAATGTTGTCATTTTAGCAACTAAAAACCTGAGAGACCTTATATGATACGACCGTTATCATGTCATTGGTGCTCGGACTTGTAGAAGTAATTTGTGTTGCCTATAAATTAGTGTTTCAATTTTAAAATATTTCCTTTACTAGCAATTTATGAAAATGTTTTTAAAATTTTGAAATATGGTGAATTATATCTAAATAACAGAGAGACAAACTTGCAATCCCACAATATCTGGCTTTCTTTGTCCTTTAGAAGTTGTCTTTGTTGCACCCATGTTGCCTACAACTTTGCAGTTATCAGGTTATGTTGAATGGTTCCAAAATAACTGGCAGTGACACATCGTCTAACGAGCTAGAATATAGCGTTAAAATTTATTTCTTAACTTAAAGTGAAAGTATTTACTGAAAATATGCACTGAAAGTGTTTCTTTGTTGTTTTTCTTACAGTTCTTACAGTTTTATTTTTGGGGAAAAATGGGCGACAATTGTGGAAGTTCCCGTAAAAATCGCAGAAATTTTACCGACGAAGAAAAACTTTTGGTATACAACGTTTACGAAGGACTTCGAGCTCGTGAAAAAAATTTAAATGTCGGCGGGGCAGTTACATTATGCAGCATATTGACGAAAGTGAGCGAAAAAACAATATATAGGATAAAAAAAGAAAAAAAAACCAACAGTGTTATTGTTCCTTTGTTGGAAACGAGAGGCAGGAAAAGGACCGTGTTAGACGAGAACACGAAATCCGCCATTCGACGGGAAATTCACCAATTTTATTCGAGAAACGAAATTCCCAATGTCAAGAAACTATTCTCTTCGCTACGAGCCAACGAATCTCTGCCCAAAATATCCAGAAGAGTGTTGTTGCGCACATTAAAGGCAATGCATTTCAAATATTTAAAGCGAACCAAGAACAACGCTATTGTCGAGAAAGACGAGATTATTCTATGGCGTAGGACATTTTTAAAAGCGCTCAACGGGTATCGAAGTGTCGGTCGAAAAATCTATTACGTGGACGAAACGTGGTTAGAAGAGGAATCAACCGCCTCTTCGGGAAAAGGAAAAAGACTGATAATTACCCACATCGGCAGCGAAGAGGGTTTCCTCGATGAAGGCTTCAGTGTTATCGAATCGAAAAAAAAGGGGGATTCCTACGAGGACATGGACGCGGAGCGTTTCGAAAGTTGGTTTTCTAAAGTCATTTCGAAAATTCCACAGGGTTCTGTTGTTGTAATGGACAGCGCGCCCTACCACAGCAGAAGATCGGAAAAACTGCCGACAACGGCTTGGAAAAAATCCGACATTGCAGGCTGGCTCGATTCCAAAAAAATCCCGTTCGACAAAAAGATGCTCAAAACCGAGATATTAGATATCGCTCGATCGCACAAAGAAAAATATTTAAAATACGCTGTAGACGAACTCGCGTTGAACCGAGGTGTAATCGTGCTCAGACTGCCTCCTTACCATTGCGATTTGAACCCCATCGGATTAGTTTGGGAGCAAATTAAAAAAGAATTTATCAAAAACAATAGCTCGTTTGAATTGAATGATGTTAAAACTCTGTTGAGCGCCGCTATTTCTGGCGTTACAGAAGAAATGTGGCATAAACACATTCAGCATGTTATAAAAGAGGAAGCAAAGATGTGGCAACTGGATGAAGTGATGGAAACGGTTCTAGAACCGGTGATGACAAATTTGTATGATTCTGAAACTGAAGAATCTGATTTTGATGATTTTATGGAGTTCGAGGAGAATGGCGATAACGACTGATTTTTTTTTCAGTATACTCTCTTTGTAGGCTCTTTATTGGGCCGCTTATAATATGTTATGTTAGTTGTTATTTGTTATTAATATTTAAAAAATACAGGGTGTCTACTATAAGGAGCGCCAAGCTTCAGGAGGTGATTTATTACAAGTAATTTGGAACCAAAAATGTATAACACCTTTTCAAAAAGTTTATAGTAAATTTTGGATTTAAACTTAGATAGAACATTTTTTAAAACTGATAAATACTTTTATTGTATCAAATTTAATGCACTTTTACGGTATATGATCAAAATGAATGTGACTATACGAATAAAAGTGATATTTTTGTATTTTTGGAAAAAAATCAAAAAAAATTTAAACTAAAATGTAAAATAAAAGAGAAATAATAAACTTTTCGAAAAATTGTTATATGACATTTTATGCTCCAAATTCCTCCTGATGTTTGGCAGTTTTTATAGTAGACATCTTGTATAGTAAATCCTATAAAGTTGTTCAATGTTAATTAATTAAAAAATAGAAATAATATTTTCTTTGAATTATTTGATAGCATTTTATTTGAATTAAATACCTACTATTATTAAGTCGTATTTACACGTCTACCAATACGTTGAAAAATGAATCATTGCTATTTATTAATATAACTAATATATACAGGGTGTCCAGAAAATAGATGTCAATAATTCGAGACCGTATAGACGACATCAAAACAAGGGTATAACTTCATATAAATTTTGTCCATTTGAACTAGAGGCCTTTGAAGTATTTTTAGAGGGACCTAGTGAAAAATGTAAACTACATAAATTGTTACAATGCTACAATATTTATTTATTCAAAAGAACTGAAAACTACACATGAAAAAATTACACACAATATCATCATAATTTCAAATCGGATGTTCTATAAACCAAATGCTTCACTCGTTAATCCAGCCTAAAACATATAAATATATTTAGCAGATAAATAAAAATAAAAATAGGAAAAAAACGTTCCTACTGAGGGTAGAGTTATAAATACGTAGATAACTTTAACTGTTAATTGTTATTATGTATACACTGTGACAATTTAAAAATTTATAATGGGCTTTATCTCCCAAACGAAAGATGATATTAAACATATTCTATCAGTTAAAAAGTATCACCTAAATAACTAATTTAATGGTGCTCATCAACACCGTATTTGTATGGTATAAATTCTTCATAACTATTTTTTAATTATACATATATTCATTCATACCTTCTTTCCTTCCATCATAGCACAAGTCGCTGCATTCAAAGCTGTTACACAGTGATCGGCATCAACCTTGACTGAAGAGACAAATTTTACCATGTAGATTAAAAAAAGTATTACTAATTATTGTAATTACCTATTTTTTTGCATGAATTATATACTCCAACCAATTTTTCGTACATGTCCGGATCATCATCTTTAATTCGTCCCATTAAATTCATCATTTGTTCTTCATTCATTGTACCGTCTTCATTTTGCTAAAAAATATTTCAGTAAATGCTACACAAAATATCTTAGAGTGTGTAAATAGGTACTTACTATTTTGAATTTTTTATGCACACAGGATATCATGCATTTTCCTTCGTGAGTTGTTGGAATTTGATGAGCCATTAGCTGAGCAACATCCTCTAAAATATAAAAAATTTGATCTTTTCTCAAAAGTTTGTTATAGTACAAAGATTGTACCTGTGGAAGCATGCGTTTCTTCAATGCACATTTCCCCGTATTTAGTTACTTCCTGCATAAATTGTCTCACAATTTCCGGACTAATCTGAAAGATTATTAATAAAATTAAAAAAATAATAGACGTCTGATGTTTTTGAGTGTAACGAAGGTCAAAATATTTTTAAATGAGAAGATATTAATACTTTATTTTATTACTCGTATTTAAGAGTTTTATGTCCGGTTTTGCGAATTTTTATTTTAATTTATTGGTTGTATTTTAAGTTTGTTTGAGAATAATGGATAACAGGTAATAAATAATACAAATATTATGTACTTTTAAAGTTATTTCAAAATTATTTATCTATTAGATTTTAGCATCATCTTCATCATTATCTTCAATATCATCATCAACACAATTGCTGAAGATTTTCATAGACGACCTCGAATTGTTTTAGAAAGAAAGATCGTTATTAAATTTTCCTTATCCTCTTTCAAGTAATGTTTGCTTCTTTCCATTTTTCGATCCATTTCAAATTCACAAACTATCAAACTCCAAATATAATAAAATAACAATATTCACACGTCACAGTGACAAAAACCAAAAAATTCAAATCAGTTCGAAATCCTCATTTTTTGGAAAAATTTGAATTCTAAAGGTTCGTTTACCAAAAATATTTTTTATTATTTTTAAATAGTTAACTAAAGATTAAAAGTGTTGGTGAAACATCAAAATATTTAACTGGAGTTTAAAAGTTATTCATCGAATAACTATTTATAGCTTTATTTGTCGTTGGTGAAACCTGACATTTACAAGTTTCCAACACCTCATTCTGTTTTAATACTTACAGCAGAAGCCCAAGCAAAACACAGAACGAAAACCACAAAATATTTCATTTTTGCTTTTTTTCACTTTACAACTTATCAAATCGACAAACAAATCTTCTCTGTTTTTGTTGGGACAAATCCTGACTTTATATAGTAATTTTCGTTACCTCCGTAACTATTATTAATAAAAGTATCCATTATTTATAATGGTTTTTTATTCCTTGAATTAATGTTCTCGGTACATGTACAAAACTCATCGGTTTTTAATAAATACTTTACGGACTCTGACTACATTTTTCGACTAATTAAAAGAGAGCTACATTAAATTTACCAGAATATTTGCTAATTCTAAAATGTTCGTATTGTCAACATTATCTAACGTTGCATTAAAATGTAATTTGCATTTGGCATTACCTACCTAATTCTAATTTAATTAAATGATTCATTCGTGTTTTTAATTTTGTCATTGTTGAAATTGTTTCTGTTACATACATGTGGACAACTTTCTTTGGCCTAAGTAAGGTTTAATTTTTCACCTAGTTTTTAAGAAACCCTATTAGTCCATTAGGAATACATACATTAATATACTTTAATTTCAAAATAAATGTATAGTTGCCTTAAGTAGGTATGAAAAAATTGTTTATTAAAACAGGAAATATATTTTTCCCTTTATAATTACATAGTATGCATTCAATAGCTGATTAAACCAATTTTACTTTATCTTATCTGTTAAATAACCTAATTTAAGTTGGTACCTATTAACTATCTACTATCCAACGAGCAATTAGCTATAACTTAAAATACTTATATTCACTATTTATTTTAATTTGTACAGTTTGCACATTTCCTTATTCGTTTTTACAAGTTTAAGTTAATTTAAGACATGTTAGAACCAAATCTCACACTCCATATTTGGATTTTACAATGTGTAGTAATTTTTATATCATTACTCATTATATGGGTAATATTTTTATCGTTAAGAAGCCGTTTTCATTTAAGGGAAATTCCTATGCCACCGGGACATTTTATTTTCGGTCACTTGTTTGATATTTTAGACAAAGAAAGTAAGTAAAAAATATTTTCCTACAATAGTTTCTCATTTTTTTTTAATTTGGATCTACTATACACTAATGTACTAAAATTCACTGATGTTCGGTTTCACCAACAACAAATAGCGTTATTCGACAATTAAATTGGCGTTTAAATCAATCAACTAAATTTGGACAGTTAAAGTTTTATTTGATGTTTTCTATCCTCGAATAATATTAATTTGTAATATCTAAGTGCTTTTCTGATTGCGATTTTTATTTTAATTTATTGGTTGTATTTTTAGTTTGTTTGAGAATAATGGATAACAGTTAAAAAATAATACAAATATTATGTACTTTTTAAGTTATTTCAAAATTATTTATCTATTAGATTTTCAGCATCATCTTCATCATCATCTTCAACATCATCTGCTGAAGATTTTCATTATAGACAACCTCGAATTGTTTTAGAAGGATGGTTCGTTATTAAATTTTCGTTCTCCTCTTCCAAGTAATTTTTGCTTCTTTCCCTTTTTCGATCCATTTCAACGATCGATCACTCTCAAACTCAAACTCCAAATATTTAAGAGTTTAAAAGTTATTCATCGAATAACTATTTATAGATTTATTTGTCGTTGGTGAAACCGGACATGTGAGTAGTTTATATGCTTTAAATTTTAGACCAGTTAATAAAATTTACTAAATACGCCGTGAAATACGATGGTATTTTCAAAATATACGTTCCTCCAACGAAAGCCTCGGTTATTCTAACCGACCCTGAATTGATCAAGATTTTAACAACTACCCAACTGGATAAACCTAAGGATTACTTATTTTTAAAAAACTGGTTCGGACATGGACTTCTAACTGTTCCGGGTATGAAATAAAACAATTCCAATAAGCTACAATAATTTTAAATTGTTTGGTGGATAATTCATTTCAGTTAAACATTGGAAACGGCAGAGAAACATGTTAACCCCTCATTTCAATCGATTCTCTCAAATGGCACATTTTGTCAAAATATTCGAGAATTATGGAGACGAATTAGTGGCACATTTAGAAGGCACATCAGATGGAAATATAGAAATGTTGCCATTAATGAAATGGTTTGCCATTAACTCTTTTTGTGGTAAATCAACGTTCACTCCTTTTCGTTCGAATAAATTCAATCGTCCTTTTTATTTTTAGAAATCGCCTTTAGTCAATCAAAGGTTTTTCATGAAGCTTACAATCACAAATATTTCGAAAGTGTCGAAATGCTTCAAAAAATTTGCGTAGATCGTTCGACGTCGATGAAAAGGTTCGACTTTTGGTATAAATTTACCGAAACTTTTAGGCAGGAATGGAAAGCTTTAGATACTGTTAACAAGCTTTTCGAAGAAATCGTAGAGAAAAAATTGGAAGAACAAAATGAGAATAACGCGAATGTGGAAGAATATGAGAACTTCTTAGATATGCTGTTAAAACTACGAAAGGAAAATGGTCTTACAATCGAGCACATTAGACATGAAATAAACACTTTCCTATTTGCAGTAAGTTTTTAGTTAGATTTTTAGTGAATTGTTTGATTAGAGGAATTAATGAAATTATGATTGGTATGTTAAAATATTAGATAAATACGATGAATGATTCACTTTAGTCAATTTCCATACCTGTGTAATATTTTCATCACGAAAATTACTTTCAGAATGGGTCAAATTTTCTCGTTGCTGATAAGTTTGATAAGTCGTTTCTTTCTCCATAACTGGGTATTTTAATTCCGTAAAATTCGCCTCTGGAAATGCTACTCTATTTTTGATAATAAAATCATCACTGAATTGGCTCTTTTTGAAAAAGTAGCTTCTTTTTCTTTCTAATTTTTTGGCCAATTTCGTGGCATTTTCTGCCAAAATTACATTTGCTGAAACAATAACTATACACAGAATGATCTTCATTTTGGAAACTGCAGAGTGGAATAATATTTCTTCGAAAGGTTATTTTAACGTTTTAAAAGGAAGTTGAGTTAAGTGTTTAGTTACACTGAAAAATATGTTACATAGAACCCATTTAATTTTCTTTTATCATTGAAAATTACATATCATACAGAACTATGAGTAACAATGTGAACCTTCTGTTAGTGTAGCACATATAGTCAAAAATCATTAACCTCTATTATATTAATGCGAGTGGGCCCATTGTACGTAATAAAAGTGGTTGTAAAGTATATTATTCGCCAAGTAGGTTGTAAAATAGTGGCTATTTGACAAGGAATTCTTGTTAATTTTCTCTCTACTGTTCTAATTCAATGCAAGAACATGCGACATGCTAGTGGAGCCATAACTAACATCTATTTTTATTCCTTTATTTTTATTATTTTACCAAATTTATTTTTATGTTTTTAAAGGGTCACGATACAACTTCCAATGGACTAGCATTTACTTTATACGCTCTATCCAAAAATCCAAAAATTCAGGTAAAAATGTTCCTAAATTATTCTCAACGAACTTACTTTATTGTTTACTGGGTAATTACTTTGCAGGATAAGATTTTCGAAGAACAAAGTAATATATTAGGTGATAAAGTAAAAGTCACTTATTCAGATTTACAGCAGATGAAATATTTGGAATCGGTTGTAAATGAATCTTTGAGAATGTATCCTCCAATTCCATTAATTGGTAGAAAAGTTACTAAAAGTATGAATTTAGGTAAATGCCACAAATATAATACTTTAAATTATCGATTGAAGATACTCTATTCACTTTTATTTTAGCCGGGAAATACCATCTAGAGAAAAATCAAAATGTCGGAATTTTCATTTATGGATGTCATCACAATCCTAAGTATTTTCCTGAACCAGAAAAGTTCATTCCGGAAAGATTTTTGAATGGTAATGCAGCCAATTCGCTTATGACTTTTAGCTACGGTCCAAGGACTTGCATAGGTAAAATTTGTTAAACTTTTAAAGCTATAAACATCTTACATTTTGATTTTTTTGACGAAATATTTAGCTAGAAAATTCGCCATGTTGGAAATGAAGAGTTGTATTTTGAAAATGGTAAGAAAATTTCACATTCTTCCACCAAAGCCTGATGAGAATATACATCTATATGGTAGTGTGGTATTAAGAACTTTAAATCCTGTAAGAATTTCATTAAAAAAGAGAATTTAATAGAAATATTTCAAATGTATCTAGTTTTACTTATTGCCCAAAAATTTGAGTCATTTGACTGTACTAAAATATTCTGCTTGCATTTTTTTAAAGTAAATCGTTTATAATAAATGATTGATAAAATAAAACGAATTAAAATTAGTTGTGAATCTTGTTCATCATTGCTGTGGATTACAATTAACTAATTATATTACAAAACACTCAAAAACACTTAATTCCTATTATAAATTAGTAGAATCAGGATCACTCGATTTTTATGCTTTAAGCAAAGGTTTCCTGGGTTCCAATTTAATTTTGAATCCTTCAGCCCTCTTCAAGATAATATCAGCTTGAAGTTTGAAGTCTTCCTCGCCTAGATTAGATTTAACTCTGTAGTTTCTCAAGATAGTTGAAAGCAGAATTTTCAGTTTCAACATAGCGTATTTACGACCTGGAAGACAAGACATTTTTAATTCCACATTCACTTAGCGAGCTTATGATTTTAACCTACCGACACAACTCCTGGGTCCAGCTGAGAACGGAATGAAGGAGTAGTAGTGCCTGTTTGCAGTACGCTCTGGCAAGAAATTGTCAGGGTCAAACTTCTCAGGGTTGGGGTAAGTGTCAGCATCACGGTGAATCTTGAAGGTTCCAATGATGATAGTGGCACCAGATGGTAAAGTGTAGTCACCAGAAGCTTAAAATCGATACAATGTAATTTTCAATTTTATTAGCAGTGTTATTTTCGTTACCTAATTTTACATCCTGCTTGAGTTGCCTAGCGATAATCGGTACTGGTGGGTACAAACGAAGGGTTTCCATTAAGCATCTTTCCAAGTATTTCATTTCTAAAGTATCGGCGAAGGTGGCTGGCCTGTCAGAGTCGCCAAAGATTTCGTCAATTTCTTGGATAACTCTGTCTTGGATGTCTTGGTGAACTCCCATCATCGAAAGGAAGAAACTGCTACCGGCAGCAGTGGTATCGTGACCTTCGAACATAATGGTGTCTACTTGTTCCTTAATTTCTTCATCGTTAATGACGACACCGTTTTGGGATGCTTCGATTAACAAGTCCAAGAAGGCCATTCTCTTCTTTTCACCTACATCATCATCGACATCCAAATCATCCTTAAGACCGGCGGATTGTCCGTAGGAAAGACCTTCGACGACGGTTTTAGAACTGACGTTCTTTTCGTATTTTTGGGTTTTAGCATCTTCGGGTACTTCAGCAGTCGATCCACGGATTCCTGAGGATAATAAAAATTACACCATACCTGTTAATTAGATTAGTGATGACATTACCTTTTTCGAAATCTGCTCTCTTCTTCTTGATCACCTTCCTGGTCAAGCTGTGAATGGTGTTGAGCAATCCTTTTTGGTTCGTGGCGTGTTTCGTTAAATTGAATAGGATGTCAGGTCTGAGCCAAATCTTGGTGTGACGAATGTGCAAAATGTCGCACATTTTCATAACGGCTAAGGCGTAGTCGTATCCGCTCTTGTCCTGAGTTTTCTTGCTCACTCCCATAGCAGTTTCCAATAAAATTTCAACAGTAGCTTCGGACATGTAGTCGTGACAGTCGAATTCCTTTCCCGCTTCCTTTTTCAACTTTTGAACGACCTCCCGGGAGTTGGCGTTGAACAGGTCGATGAAGGATTTGAGCACGTTCAAATGGAAAGTGGGCGCAATGAGTTTCCTGTGAGCCCTCCATTTCTGGCCGGTAGAGATGAGAAGACCGTCGCCCAACCACGGTTTGAAGAATTTGTATTCGCTGGCCTTATCGATGTGCACGTGACTGCTGAGAATGATTTCCACGTCTCTCGGGTCGATCAAGAAAATCAAGAGTTTCGGTCCGGCCCAAAATTTGGCGATTTTGCCGAACTCGAAGGATCTTGAGTACATTTTTTTGAAAATGTCTGAAAGCGAAATGTTTATTTGAATAAAGCGTAAAGTCGTTTCTCAAGAACGTTTAGTTCGGTGCGATTAAAGGTTTTCTCAAAGACAACTTCTAAAAAACCTTGAACTTCGTTAGACATACTGGATGTTAATATTTTCGCCATTTACGGAAAATGATGTCGCCTGACCCCGTAATCTTATTTTTGTCCATTAAAATGCACATAAAACGAGACAAACATTGTATTCGTTGCACAATAATACCCAGTTAACCTTAGGTATAGTTCTGATTTAGAAGATATAGTTAAATAAAAACAAGTGATTATAGAACCATGTATCACTGTTTACCAGCCATTAAAGTATCAGTTTTTATTAAAAATAGTTGTTATTAAATTTGTATTAGACGGTTAATATTTAATATACTAGAAGATCTTACCGTGCGAGCTTCCAACAAAGTCCAATGCATTTCCTATGATGGGGTAACCTTCAGGACCGGGGATTTTGCTTGCCAATTCGAGCAGATGGCGACGGGAAATCTTCCAGTAGGCGTAGAATAGGGCAAGGGCCGGCAGCAGCAGGAAATAAAAAACACTGCTTGCAGATACAACTGCATTTTGACTGATTTGATCGGGACCTACAGTTGCCGTCATTTTGCTAAAGAATTAAACGTGTGATTAACAAAAAAATCCCGCTTATTGTGACTTTCTTGAGCAATATTTTTTAACCAATTATTCGTTTTTCAATAGAGAATAAAATTTAAAATAAATGCAGAAACTCACTACGAAAGGTTTTAACACTAATTCACATACGATTTTGTTTGAAATCAGTTGAAACTATGTTACTTTTATATCTACTTATTTCTGTAGTCCCCGAAAGACTGACTGGAATAACGTAATTCAATTATTATTTATTCCCTTTAAGTGAATAGAAAATGTAGGGTCGTAACCTGTATTCTCACTTTCTGATTCATGAATTTTAATGACCTATTGTTTGTTCTGCCCCAAAACACTTTCAAAATCAAAACACAAATTATTAAAAATAAGCAAATAATGCTGGAAATTAACAAAATGATATTGTCACATTATTAATATTAACAGTAAAATATATATTTTAAAACTTATTTGAACTTATTTAATTAAGTTAATTCGACAAATTAATAGTTGTTTGAGTTTTGATTTTATTACTTACGCTTATTAAATACTATTATTATATTAGTTCACTAAAGGAGTGCACTATATTTTGTACTAACCTTTTTGAGACGCAACCTCAAACTAACGACAGTGTGAAGATCTCCTTTCTTTTTATACTATTTATACGTGGTTATACAATTTTGACGCAAAATGAAATAGCAACCCATTTAAAATTCATGAAACATAAAAACAATAGTTAGGGTCAAGCTAGGCAAATGTAAATTACTTATCTGTTACGCACAAAATAATAACCAAGGGTTGAATAAATACAAAGATGTTTTAAGTACGCATAGTTCATCTATTTATCATATATTTTTATTAATAGATTAATTTAATATTATCTAGATTTGTCTTGCAATTACCCAAATAGTCTTTTATCTAAGGGTATGTTGAAAAGTTATCCAAAGATCACAATTAAATGTTATCGTTAAATTTAAACATTCCCAATTATTAGGCCGTGTTTATAAAAAGAAGCATAACTTTTGCTTTCAAAAAATGAAGCAATTGCTTTAAGGTATATGCATAAAAATGAGTAAAGGAAACGGTTTTGCTTTAAGGACCCTGCTGTTGTTTTAAAGCAAAATGTTTTGCGTTTTTCGTACTTCTCAATCTAGAATGCTCTGGAGTCGTCTAGAACTGTCTTGATTAATTTAAAACTGTCTAGATCAATCTAGAACGCTTCAGAGTCATCTAGAACTGTCTTGACTAATTTAAACTGTCTAGATCAATCTAGAACTCCAAAATTAGTTTCAGAATCATCTAGAACTGTCTAGAATCATTTAGAACTGGCTAGACCAATTTAGAACGCTCCAGAATCATTTTGAACTCTCTAGAACCATTTAGGACGCCCGTGATCATTTAACACGCTCCAAAATCATCGAAAACTGTCTTGAACTAAAGATTTCGACTAAATAAGAAGAATAATATAATTTTTCAACTGAAAATCGCGGTCTTTTGTCTGTCAGGCCGAGAACTTTTCACCTTACACTTGTATGTTTTATTTTTAATAATGTCAAGTTCTTAGTACGACCGTTCCTCTAAATGTATAAACACATTTAGGTAAGGCCATTGTACTATTTTCTACTATATTTCACCTAATTACCCAACTAATTAATTTTATTTACAATTGCAAAAACAGCTTTTGACGTTTACCATCACAATTTTTCATTAGTTCGTCATTTAATCGATCGAAGTACATAGTTAAATTTAAATACAATTCTCCATAATTTTATTTACCAATATTTAGCATGACTGCGTCGAATGTTAATGGAAGATGTTTTACCTACGTGATTGCATACAAGTAAGTATAAGTATAAAAGTGATGTCTACTGGAGAAAGGTATCTACAGACGAAACATGTCTACATCAGAATAAGTTAAAATTACCAGAAAAAAATGGTTTTAAATTTTAAGAACCTCTATATAAATTTCATGGTCTGTTATCATTGTTAGTCATATAATTTTTATTTTTTTCATCTTTTTTGATACAACTGTTGATATTTGTATAAGTGCATAGGTATTCGTTATATTTGTTATAATTATTGGTTTATTCAACGTTGACAAACGTCTAACAGGATATCTATACAAGGGTCAGGTGAAAAGTTCTCGGATTAACAGACGAAAGACCGCGATTTTCAGTTGAAAAATTATATTATTCTTCTTATTCAATCGAAATTTTTAGTTCAAAAACCTTTTAGTTCAAGATGATTTTGGAGCGTTCTAAATGACTATGTAGCCTTCTAAATGGTTCTGAAGCGTTCTTAATGATTCTGGATCGTTCTAAATTACTATGAAGCGTTCTAAATGGTTCTAAAGGATTCTGAAGCGTTCTAGATTGTTCTAGACAGTTCTAAATGATTCAGGCCAAGAACTTTTCAACCTATCCACGTAGATACCTTCAATTTTGAATGATCAACAGCGTTTTTGTGGAAAATACATTTTCCTCGACAAATTTTAATATTTTTAGCATGAGAAAAATTTAAAATTTAGGTTTGAATGCTTTAACACACCAGTTATCTGTTTTGCGCGCTGAGTGTTAAACAAATACGACAAAATTTTAAATAGCAATTATAAAATATTCTATTATATTTTTTTATTAATCGATTAATATTAACTGGATTTATCTTGCAATAAGCATAAAAGTAAATAAAGGGGTTTGCAATAGTCTGTATGCTTTCTTTAAAAAATAAACGTTTATAACTAGAAAATTTATTTATATAAAATTAATTCTTACCTTAAATACAATTACATTATAATCAGATTTTTAATGATTTACCTACTATTTCTATACAAATAACATTATTACCTCCTATACAATTATTATAAACAGTCTTACTAAAATTGGCATAATATTAAAAAGAAAACAAAAACACCGAAATGAATAGGTACAGGACAAAAATAATTATGATTTACTCGTGCGAATGCGACTGAGTGTGCCTGTCTTCCTCGGCTTTCTTGCGAATCTCCTGGCATTCTTCGCATTCCAGTACTTGCCCTGCAACAAGAAATTCTTTGATTACTCATTAATTAATTACTCAAGTCCAACGTTTGTTTGTGGATCAATTCGAATCCTCACCTTCGTGGTTGTGCCCTTGGTTCAAGATTTCCTCGACTTTATGCATGACGTTGTCTTTAATGGCGTTAGCTTTGTCCAAAGCTGGTTGCACCAAAGGCTCCACGATGGTCTTGGCCCTTTCGACGGCGGGTTCGACGGCGGATTTGGCCCTTTCGTAGACCGGCTCGACGAAATCCATGGCGGTTTTAACAGCGGGCTCCGCCATGGTTTTGGCCGATTCGTACGCCGGAGAAACGTTCGTCGTGACGTAGTTTCTGGTGGAATTGTAAATCTGCGAAATGATCTAAATAAGGGTGGTGTGGTTAGATGGATGATGATGGTTGCAGGTGATGAACAGTCAATAAATGATTTATATAATGTAAAAGCAGGATGATTTGGATGTGTCGAATAGGTACCTGAGCCGGTGGTAGTTTTACAGCGGGCACCGTGGTTTCGATGTAGTCCAATCCCGAACACAAAACGCTGTCCACTTTCTTAATGGGGCCTTCGAAGTTCTTGATGACTGGCGTAGCGATGGGTTTTCCAACTTCTACGGCTTTGTTTACGGTGCTTTCGGCTGTTGAGAAGGTCCAGTTCGTGACGCTGTTGTAATCCTGATAAGTAACGAAACATGTACAGTAAATATTTGGTAATGATTGAGGAGCTTTAAATTACTTACTTTTACTTTTTCGTAAAGGCTAGTAGCCGTTTTAATCGTGCAATCAACCATGGGTAATTTGGAAAATCTGTTGACAGATTCCATACATGTGGGACTCAGATCGGTGATCGATGTCACGTTTTCGTTCATTTGTTCGGCAGACATTTTCTTAAATTCTGCAAAAAAAACTTATTGCTTAAACTCTTAAACTCCAAATATAATAAAATAACAATATTCACACGTCACAGTGACAAAAACCAAAAAATAACCTGAACTATTCAGTTCTAAAGCTTCTTTTCTTGGAAAGATTTGAATTCTAAAAGTTGGTTTACCAGAAATATTAGTTTAAACTGTTAAATAGCTAACTAAAGATTAAAAGTGTTGGTGAAACGTCAAAATATTTAACTGAAGTTTAAAAATTATTCATCGAATAACTATTTATAGATTTATTTGTCGCTGGTGAAACAGGACATTAGATCGCTATAAATTATTAGATACTACAGATAAGTTTTTGGTCCATTTAAGAATGAAGAGAAAGCACATGAAAGAGAAAAATAAATATCTTGGGCTTTTATTTGAAAAATAAATGGTGTTGTTTGGACTTATTTTCGTGAAATAAGCTTTGGGCTGTTTTTCTTTAATATCTATTCGTTCGCAATTTGTAAAGGGCATTTAAATCAAATGTGACATTATCGTTTCTACATCGAATCGCACAGTATATGTTTTTAAGTCGGTCTTATACAGGGTGAACATTATTAAATTTAAAAAATGCCCCAATGTTTTTAACAGTGAGATATGTAATTTAAATTTTTTAGGTATTTTAAAAATAGTTTTAAGTGTTCTGATATCGAATAAACGATAATTTTTATTGTAAACGTGCATTAAATATCTAAGCTATTATATCAGTAGTTAAAAAATGATTAACTATAAATTAACAATTTAGTTTTTCTATTACTTTATAATATTTCAAATTGAAATCTCACCTTTTATTTAAAGTAAAATCAATAATTCTTAACACATTCAACAAAACGGACAGACCAGTTTAATCGGCACAAAACAGGAACAGCAAATGGCTACTAATCAATTAATTTTCATTAAAAATACATTGTAATTTTAAAAAACCAACGATAAGATAAGCGATAGAATGTCTTTTTATCTGCCATGGCACATTCGCAAGTACAGGCAGCCCAAACACCAATTTGTTTATGTAGTTATTGTGAGTGCTGCTCGATTCGAAACTGTACTTTTAAATAAAAATAAATGCGTTTTTACACGGTGCAATATATTGCAGCAATTTATTGCTCAATTATTGCAGCAATTTATTGTTGCAATATATTGCACAATGTGAAAACGCTCTTACGCTTGTATAAAAACAGCGTTGCAAAAGTGCAGCAATTTATTGCTTTATAGCTGCAATATATTGCACCTTGTGAAGACGCTCTAAAACTCTAAAGTAAATAAAATGGTCTTACTCTTAAGTAATTATCTATAATTTATTTTCTAAAAATAATTAATCAGTCGAAATAAATTGATTAGTAAAAACTAATATGAAATTAATAGTGGATGTCCTTGATTTATTTACATAATTATACAACAGCGTTTTGTAATTAAGTTAAATTGTTGTTTTTATATTTAATCTTTCATTTTGTTGTAAACTTGCGAATCACCCGATTTCGCAATTTAATCACGTTACTTTTATGTATTGTGCTTGAGTAACTACTACCTCAATATTTTTTGATTTAATGTTGATACATTCTTATGCATTTACATTTTTTTTCATGAATACCCATACTTGAATATTTAATTTTAATAGAAGAATTAATAGAGGAAAATATCTTAAATAAGTTAGATTTTTTATTAACACTTTATTGGGGTCAGCCAATTACAAATTTTATCAATTATGTAAGATTGATAAAATTTAACATCGATGTAAAAGTACTTGATAAAAACTCAATACTCAAGATTTTTTACCCACTATTTCAATGTGATTGCGTTTTCAAAAAATACAATTGACCTACTCAAAGTGAAAAATGGACCTCTAGAAGAAACTTAAATTGTTATAAACAATATTATTAATTTTGTTAATTTTTTACAAATTTGGAAAATATTTTTATTTTTTACTGATGCATATTTTGAACTTGTAATAAAAATAATTAAAACACAGAGAATAAAAAATTAAAATTTTGAAATTACATTGTAAATATCACATTGTAAATGCATGATTTTTTTAACTATTAAAGCCTTATCGGTCAATTCACTTGCATTATTAGCGCAGACTCAAATACTAATACTGCGCAAACTAACACCACTAAATACCAGCATTTATTGTTTTCCTTAATTGTAATAAGTTGGTTATAGAAAGTAAATAAAACTTACCGGCAAATCAAATCTATTGTATCACCACAAATAAGACGGAAAATAACAAATAATACAGGTAAGCAGGTACGTCGACAGCAAACTGTATTATCAGAATGTTTAAATTTCGTCCGACGAGATGTATTTATAGAAAAAAACTTTCCTGAACGTTCATGGAAAATGGTCGATGTACCTCGCACACTGTCGTGTCTCTCCACTTGAAATCATGATTCAACTGTACCGGCTGTTTCAAGTCCAAAGTCCCCTCTCATATGTGTGTGTGTGAACCTGCTAATCATAATGTAGGCTTACGTGCTATGCATAGACAGAGATATGTAGATAATGATAATTGCGATATGTGTATCGTATATGATGCAATTGATCATCGAGTGGTTTAAAATTGGAATATTTTGGGAAATTTATATGGAAATAATAGACAAATTGTGCGTCAGTTAAAAGTAATTATTTTATTAAGTATTATTAGTACTTTTCCTTACCTTGCATCAGTTCAGGTTTTGTTATTATAAGCATAAAAATAATTAGTAATAACAAATGTTTTTTCTATATAGTCGGTGCAAAACAAATATCAATGCACGTCACTACTGTCGTCATACTTGACAAGCATTGTGTCCAACTTTTAAAAATAAATACACAAAATACATAAAGATTAATACCTGCAGAATTTAATTTAATATTAACAAGGGATGATAGAAAATGTTAAAAAGCAGAATTAAATCATCCAAAAAATATATATTGTCAAAATTCAACGTTTGTATATAAAATTATTATTATTTTCTTATTGGTAGTTGTCATCCAAAAACAAATATGTTTTTTCAATATCTATTATATTTTAATGAACTACACTAATAAAAGATACTTCGATAAAACGAATTTTTTATTCTCTAAAATTGATTGGAGATTCGAATATAATAGTATAGGAACATTTTGTGGTAAATTTTATAAGAGACATTGATGAAAGCGCGTTTTAAAAAAAATGGAAGTTGATAAATAAGTTCCGATATTTTTCCTAGACGGAACTTTCGTAGATGACAATTTGCAGGACCTGTTGCGGTTTGTGATCAGAATTCGCTGTGAGATCTCTAATCGCCGCTTCTATGGCGTTCTCCCAATCTTTATCTTTGATTTTCTTGCCTCTCTTGCCGGCTAATTTGGGCATTGTTACCTAAAAATTAATTATGTTGGTTCAATTTAGGATGAAAACAACAATTTCCGGATCTTCGCCAATTACCCTTGGAATTATTATCACATTAATTTTAATGCGCTTTATTAAACTAAGGTATTAATTTAATTAACAAACAGAAACTCACTTTAATACGTATTGTTTGCATTTCAGAAAATCCACTACTACGTCTCTAATTAAATAAACGGAAAACAATTTTCCGATTTATTTATATCAACAGACAAAACACGAATGATTCTTTCAACTGTTTTGTCAATATATTGAAAACCATGTAACTCAAAACTTCCGTAATGTTGTACTTAGAGACGGGAGCGGAATTGATTTTCCAAATTAATTCTTTAATTCCTTAATGTAAAACAAAAAAAATAGCTTATGAGTTTTCTTACGTACTTATGAGTACCTAACGCTAACGTTAGGTACTGTAAATTTATATTTTTCTTGAGTTTGGCTAATTGACGAACAGTCATAATAACTCCTCACTTATTTACTAAGAATAACATTATAAATTAGTAGATAATATTCTTACTACAGTTAAGACTTTCATGAGATCCTGTTGAAATGCCAGCATATCAAGTCCCGGAGCATTTTCCGCCAACTTTCTGAAATTATCCGCTAGAGGCCCTCGAAGGGCTTGTAATTGCCTCCAAGATTGCGCGTATTGTCTACGAACTAACTCTATTATCGTTGAAGTTAGGGCAAGCCCTACCAATATGTATAAGGTACAGAGTAGCATGTATTTTGGCTGTTCTGAAACAAATTTAATGGCATCAATTCGAGCCATAACTTAGGAGAGTGTTTCGAAATAACTACAGGGTGTTAATTAATGCAATGCACTTATTTCAATGGTTGATTCTTGTGCTAATTTTGAGTCGAAAAGTTCATATAAAGGTATGTCCTCCGAAGCTTGGTTTTAGATATACAGGGGTTGTAAAGTTTTAATTTTATTTAGGTTTTTTTCATAAATTTGAAAAACGCAATATTACATTGAATTCTAGGATAACATATTACGGTATAAACCGAGCTTCAGAGGACATATCTTTATATGAACTTCTCGACTCAAAATTAACTCAAGAATCACCCATTAAAATAAGTAGATTGCATTAATTAACACCCTGTATAAAGGCTGCAATTGAAAATGAAAAGTTAAAACTAACGCGTCGCGTTCGAGAAAATTAAACTATTTCTTATATTATTCTTCTCACGACTGTAATAAATTTATTCTCCACGCGTATACCAACCCCCATCTAACAGTTTTTACCTTTAAATAGAAATATACTGCTAACCCTTGGACCATTAAACTTCATATTGATAACGATTCTTACGACACTGTTAAAAAAATTAATATGAAGTTACGACGGCAATTCAACGTGGCCTTTTCCTAATATACAGGGTGTCCCAATGAAAAGTAGCTTGATTTTAAGTACACGTTACCCGAACAATTATAAATTAATTATTAGCTAATAGATAAATTAATAAATTGAAAGATAAAAAGTTTTATCAGCATCTAATACAATTGTTCGAATTAAAATCTCGTTCAATTACAGCTCAACGATCAAAAACATAAATCTCGAAGCGCCATTATTTTTATACGCCAGTATATCGTGTTGAACTTTTATAACTTTTATAACTGTCTTTATCTCCACTGGACTCGCTCGGAGAAGCTCGAAATAGGGAAAAGAAGAATAATTCAATTATGTAACTATTTTATTTTATGTGCTTATTGATAGGGAACTGTTAAAGCAAAAGTAATGCGTCGATCGTGTGTGGTATCTCTACTTTATGGCGAATGATGAAAATAAAACCCATCTTATCGCGCTTGAGGGAGATATTGAATATAATTGCCCTTTAGAGAGTTTATCGATCAATGTAGTCGTTTTACAATTGCACTTGTACAATCGAATTATCGCGAGGAAATTTGAATAAATAATAAAAATGTATATTTACTTGGTACAAGATCTCCAAATCCAATAGTCGTCATTGTGATAAAGCAGAAGTAAAATCCTTCGAAAAACGTCCAATCTTCTTCCCAAATAACGAAGAGTCCTGCTCCTACTGCAAGATACACGAATAGGAAACAGACTGCTGTTAGAGCATATGAAGATGTCCTTCTTGCTACCATCGCCTTTCTACAATTCATCAAATTAATTTAATGTAAGGCAAGATAGAGTCGGAATAGACCAATGAAGTTATTACAATATTGTGATAATTCTTTAGGATATAGGCTGGAATTATCATAAAATTCGGGGATACTAGGACCCATAAAAAAAGATTGAAATATAGTCGAGTTAAAACGAAACTGCTAAAACTGGGTATAAGGGTTTCGATGTATTATTGAAACGGCTATTTGAAATCACAGCCCTTTGTCGCGACAAATGTGTCTTTTCACTTATTGAGGTCAAGCAGAATGCGGAAGGGCGATAAATTATTTTCTTTTTTTTTCCAATAAAATATACGAAAATCTCATTCTCATGAATATTAAGTAGAAAAGAAACTGCTGAATTATCAGAAATATCAAAATAGTTTTTAAACCAGCTATAGTCGGTGCAAAGCAAATATCAATGCACGTCACCTATGATTTACTACGTCATAAGTAGGCAGTGTTGCCGAACTTTTATAGAGTTTCTTAGATACAAAATCTAAGATTTTTCTAAAATTATCAAATGGCAAAATGACGAGAACAAATTAAAAATTATTCAGATTACTGAGATTACTACCAAAGTTTTAATCTGCTAAACGGGAACCCAGATGTTTATACTTTTTAAAATTAAATATTCCGGAAATGTTTTCAATATATTAAATCTTTAAATATTTCAAGGATGAGTGAATTTTTTCTGTTAAAAAACATTCGTCGTTATTCCACATTTTCACAATTTTTCCGCAAATGAAAATTTACGCTTTACTGAACAAACCAATTTCCTCTTTATTTTAAACGAACCACTTGGAATGAATCCTAGTAAAAAATTGAAAATAGCAATTTCAGCAAACGCTTCTGCGGATCCTAACAATCCATTAGTATCCGAACAAATTACATTTCCCGTTCATCCCGACTGATTTCATTACTTTAGGTATTACCTAGTAATTCCAAACGTGCCAATTATTCCGACTTCATACCATTTTTCATCACTGTCTGCGGAATATTTTTACCTTTTAGATTTAGATGGATCTGAAATTCTTTACGTTATTTAAGCAAAATTATTGCAAATAGCGTAACAAAAACTTTCTTGATTATGAATCATTCCCTTTTAATACACCGACAGAAATATGCATATTATGCTTTAAATTTAATGAGAATAATTGTATTAAAATCGTTTTAAGTGCACCATAAAAAAGGTTTATGCCAATAGCATTAAAAATCCATTGTCAGCCTTTATGTAAATTTACCGTACTTATTGTGTTAAAATTTACGAGATCTCTAATTCGCGATATAAACAACTTCAGTCGAAACATTTACAGCCGACACTTTCCAGTTTGTTTTCATTTTTCGTAAGTTACGAGTTTAATTTTGCAGAAATTTGAGAAAATACCGCTTTTTATTTTTGCGTTGAAACCATTATTTCCTTAATATACTTTTACATTTCCATTCATGTTATAATCTTCGTTTTTCAGGGGTAGGCGGTGTTAATTCATTAGAATAGTGTGTTCATTGGTCCTTCATGAGGATTTTCGTGCATTGATATTTGTTTTGCACCGACTATACCAAGAAATTACATTTTCATTTATAAAAAATTCCCATTATTCTCCAAGATGATCAATGTAATAATATCGTAAGGAGGAAATGCCCGATAAAGGCGATAAAGATTGTGCTAGTTTATACGTTTAGATAACATATCGTACTATAATTTGATTTTCGAAGCGTTATAATACATAAAAAAAAATATTATTTTAAAATATTTGAATTATAAAATAAACATAATGTAGGAAAATAACGCCTACCTTCTCTTACCTGAATCTAGGAGGAAGTGGTGGGATCTGTCTGAATAATGTCGAAACAGTCGATGCGAATAGTCTTCCCCAATCGGCTATGACAGTCAAAGTTAGTGGAATTCCAACTAGGGCAAACACCATACAAAATGCTCGACCTTCTGTGGTCATAGGGACGATATGTCCATATCCTATAAAATGTTTAGGTTAAATCATTTGAAATAAACTATGCCAATATAGGAAATATGTCTAGAAAAGAGGAATTTTCTTTACTGTATTCGATGATGAGCCGGTCCTAACATGAATAAGTTTCTCTTTAAATACCTATCCCACATGATTATTTAATTTATAATTAAATAGGTGTAGATAATTTTATTCTAAGTTTCATTTTCTTCTGCAATTCATTATACTATTTTCGACTATTGGGATCAAATTTCGTAGATACTTATTGTTACCTTATTTTTTTTTGGTACAATATTGGCACATAAATCTTCGTTAGAGTAGAACTCTAGACGTTTATTAGGGGGTATATAGGACCAATTGACTTGAAAAAATCGCCACATTCCAATAAGGATCCAAATAACCCTCTATTTTGCCCAATTTTGTCACTTCTTGGGCTTCTACGTTCGCGTGAAATATGCCGATAGAATCAACAATCCGAGCAAAAAATTGTATATATTCAATCTAAAATCTGTCATTCTGTGCCTGTAACTTATATTAAAAATTTAACAACCTATTGCTCGCCTTCGTGACTTGACTTCACAGCTCTAGTAGAATTTATATTATTTTCCCTATCGGGATTCGAAATAATGCACCCCTAATGAAAGTTGGCGCACTGCCTGGACTGAATTTATGGGCTTCATGTTAAATTAAATTTCAGTTTACCTAACGAGCATCTAATATAATATGTTACTTCCACCAGGGATTTAACGAATTTCAGTTGTTAAAATTCTACATCATCACGACTTAGTTATAACGTGTAATTAATGTGTTAATCATAAATTTATAAAATACTTCTACTAGCAGAGGATCCGAAGTAAGGTCAATTTGTACCGATTTCTTTAATAAAATATAATTTTCACCTGGTTATCAAATCGGTGCAAATCGACCTTACATCGGATCTTAGACTATACCCAAAACCTTGTGAAAAATCTATTCTAGACATGTTACAAAGATTTCAGTAAAACGGCTCTGTTCTTACCGATTGTGGTTAATACAGTGGATGAAAAAAATACGGCTTTTAAAGTAGTCCATTTCTCTATTTCGCCCGCATCAGGATATGCACTAATTCCTGCAAAGTAAGCGTCCTCCAGTATTTTATCATATTCAATTAACACGTTGGTTACTCTTAACTGCGTATACGTGTCGTTATTCCCTATTAGCTCTAATAAATCCTGCCTTTTCTTGTCGAGCATCGAATGAAAGTATTCCGTCCTGATGATTTCCGCGGGATACTCAAAGTGCCTGAATATCTGCAAAGAAAATTAAATTTCCAATTCCTTTATTTCAGGATATTGTTTAGGTACCATAAATTATCATTTTACTAAACACTCATTGTTTCATTTGTCGCCGAATTGAATTTGTAGTGCCTAGACGTCGAGTCATTGAATGCTTAACACTCGACCTTTATTCCCCTTCTCATTATTTACCAATATTCTATTTTTGAAATTAATTACAGTCGAATTATAAGAGTAGTATAAATCACACGGAGATATGAACGGAAAATATCGTATGAAGGTCGCATATAAACCCTTTTAGTAGATGGGATAGAAAATCGGGTTTACACGCGAACGTGTGCCTATACAGGGTGTCCCACGACGAGTTAAAACGCAGGTTCAAATACCTCTGACGTTTCTAGTAGCACCCCTACAGAAACCGTTTTCATATCTTTTAGAGGATTTAAAATAATTTATAAGAGTCTGCATCGGTTAAATTTTTCAAAAAGGAATTAATAATAAGCAGTTTTGAAAAAAGTGTTTTAGACAAAAAGTACCCTAAAATTTTACGTAGATTTCGAAAATATATGAATATACAGGGTGTTCTATTTGAAACAACAAAGTTAATGCCTACTTCCGGTATATTCGGAAATGGTACGACTGTCAAAATATTTTTAAGAGGTTCCTTTTGTTGTATAACATATACATACCAAATATTATTTAAATCGGATAAGTAGTTTCCAATATACAGATAGTTTTAACTCGTCTTGGGACACCCTGTATGAAGGAGGTGCCTTGAAACAATTCATTATAGTCGAAATTGACTCGATGCAAAGCGATTAAATCAAGATATTATTGAGCGATAATTAAATCCATCAAAAATCAATTCCAAATTAACAAGCGCTATTAAAAAGCCTTTTACTATAAATATCTAATTATTTTTCTCTCCCTATTTATTTGAGCTAATATTTTTTCTATTGCTTATACACTTCTGGAGAATATTTTCTTATAGTATAAGTAAAAATAGACATAAGTAGCGTTTTTGATATTTCCAGTAAATATTTCCGTTAAACTTAAGTGTATTAGGATGTGGGATCTAATAGATTAATAGTGTAGTGATTGTTTTATAAATTGTTTAAAATCATTTTAATAACAACTCAGAGCAGTGAAATAAGAAGAATAATGTAATTTTTCAATTAATGAAAATCGCGGTCATTTGTTATCAGGCCGAGAACTTTCAGAACTTTTCACCTTACCCTTGTATGGTGAGTTTTTGGCATAACAAATTGTAGGTAGTCAAAAGTTAAATATCCAGAACTTAAGTAGAATATCGAGTTTTAAGGAAGGAGATGCAATCATTTGTGATGGGATGGAGGACACGGTAATCTGATGAATTTTTCATTTAAAACGTTCCTTTTAGTGTGATGTGGAATTAGAGACACCCGTTAATATTTAATTGTTAAATTTACTGCTTGTGTGGTAGCACGAACACAATAGCTCTAAAACAAGTACTTATACGGGATGTGTTTGCAAACAGTAAACAATAATTATTTAGGAAAAAACGGCTGCACAAATTTATTTAAGTTTTTCTCCATCAATAAAAACCGCATAATTTTATATAAAAGCAGACTTCACGGGAGATTAACCACGTCGTTTGGTATTTTTGGATTATTAAATTTCCAAAGTTCTCTAAGTTAAATTGCCTACATTTCATTATTTCCGGCGAACACTTCCGAAGAAAAACAATATTTCCATAATTTGTTCCTTTCCAAACAACAACAAACTGTAAATTTAATAGAATAATTGATTTGTTACTTACCAATCCGCCCGCTAAAGTGTATCCCATCAATATCACCAACAATCCCATGTGCTGGAAAGCATTCTTCAATCGCAGCTTCTTCCACCAATTCCGTACTCGCGATTTTACGTCCATCGTGGAACTGATGTAAACTCTCGTGCGGGTTTGGACCAAATTATCCATTTTTGCTTCAGTCCGTTTCCGATTTAAATTTAGAACGTTCAAAGCCGAATAAAAAAATAGTAATTTAAAATGCCGAAACAACCAATTGAATTTAGTTTGTTTGGTAGACGGACATTCGTATTCAAACCACCTGTTTGACAAAAACGATAAAATTACTGTTGTGAGAAGTACGAAAAATAGAACGAATATTTTTTTTGTTCAATTAACGTTATTAAATTTATATATTTGCTGAATTGTGATCACTTGTTGGTTATGTTTCTCACGAAGTTTTTGTACTAATTAAGGGAGGCCCTCGTCCCAAAAAAACTTCTTCAAAAAAATGAGTTCTACGAAAATTTAATAAAACAAAGCTATCAGATACACCAGTAGAATACATTCCAGGGATTCGGAACAATACACACAACTTCATCGATCACTCTGAATGTCAACATTTTATTGGGCCAAAAACTTTCGCCAAAAGTTTGGATTGATCTTATCAGTTATAATCGTCAGTTAAACGACCGTTTTATTTGATTATGATTCGAAACGATATCTTAATTTGCAATTAAGAAGAGAAAATCGTAGGAAGATTAAAATTTTCAATTACAACACGCGTGAAAATTGTTTTAAGGGTTTGTAAGTTCGTTTAGAAATTTTACATTAATACAACACTCCCTTCCGCAAACATACTAAATATTTCATATCTGTAATAGCTTTATCCACTTACCCACAGTCGTGTAAATTACAGTAAAATGCAAGGAGTCAAAATATTAAAATGGGTACTTTTAGATAAAAGCTTGGAGACATCGTCGTGAAATTGGGCAATTCACGGGAATTTTAAATTGACTTATAAACTGTTTTGCATGCAGAGCTCGGCAGAAAGTTGCATACACTTCGCAAAAAGCAACGAATTCGATAACATAAATGATATATTGGTCGAAGGTTTCGCTCGCTGCAGCCATTGAGCAAATCCCCCAATTTATTCGAAAGAAACATATAGCTTTAGCGCTTCAATATGTTAGAATATCTATCTGGTTTCGACTAAATTTCTCGTTCGGATTTGGTTTTAAAATTAGGTTAATTGCTGAGCGAAATTATGCGAAAATGAGCATAAAATGTTCGTTTAATCGATGTGCAGATAAATTTATAAATTAAAGTTACTACATAATTAATAGCCTAACGCAGTGCGTGTTAACAAAATAGTTCTGTAATGCAGTTGCTTGTTGCGCTATTCATATATTCAAGTCACTATAATCACTTAAATCTTCCGCATTTTATTTTTACCGGCCTTCAATTTAATCGGTATTTTTCAGGCCATTTATAACTTCTTGATACAAATATTTTTACTAATTAATGCAAAAAGAAAGTGGCCCGGTGTTGGTCAATATTTATCGCATGACAATCAACGATTTTTCGTTTAGTTATAGCCCGTATACAGATTGTTCTAACTTGAATTTTGAGATTAATAAGAGAGTTTTTTTTAAATATTTTAAATAAATAAATTAATGAAATTTCATACTCATGCTTGCGTGTATTAGAGTGTAGTTCACTGTCCGATTTATTTTTCTCTATCTGAGAACATAACCGTTATTGGAACAATCTGTATTACAATTAGCACATAAAATAACACTAAAAGATTTATATTTTTCGATAAACACGACATTGAAATAAAAATGAGAGCCGGGAAGTGTGAATCAATAGACTGCTGCTTTTTGGCAACATGAACAATTTCTGCCTTGAACTTTATACGTTCTATTTCATTCACTTTAAATAAAATTGCAATCGCTTTCTTCGGAGAGTAAAAGCAGAATCGGCGGACATACAATTGTGATTTGTCGTCGCCTAATTGTCTATTCTACACTTGCATTTCTGGAGCAGCTCGAATTCCTGAGCGTTTTAAAAATAAAACTGTTTATATTCTAAAAAGTTTTTCCACTATAAATTTCACTTTAAAGCATCCAATTGGAATGTATTATATTTCAGTTGAACTAAAGGCGGTTAATTAAAGTTTAGTAAACGTTTAACGAAATTAAAGGATGTAAAATGCGTATTCAAAAAGACTAAATAGAAACTAGAAAAAAAAATGTGAAAGTTGAATTAATATTTATAAAAAAAATCATTGAATTAAAATTGTAAAAGTAGATAATTTTTACTAATATTATTAAGCGATTTTTTTAAAAATTTAAAAAGTTAAAAAGTAATAAAAATATTAGCTACTTGTAAAACAAAAATCAAATATAAAAAAGTCAGCATCATAGGGGACAAGCAAATAAATCCTGTAAAACTTAATTGGTTACTACCAAAACTTACCTTTCTAATTAACCAAAATTCGAACAAACAACAACTGAACTAATTAAGAGATCTATCTCAATCTAAAAAAGAGGCAATAAAATTTAAATTGTTTGTAGCCGTTTGTTTGTCGTCGAGCCCCGGCGTGTCGCGTAACTGCCAAACAGACGCCCAGCACCGCGACGGACGTCCTTCTGGAGCCGACGAGGAATAGTGACTATAGCAAGATGCGCGTCTACGATTTCTGTAGGGCTCACTTGGCAGTCGCATTTTGGTTGTACTTACACAGTTTGCCCATTTGGAAAAGTGAAACAATATCTTTTTCGATTTCCAATCGTGAAAAAATAATTCTCTACTATTATGTAATAAAAATGCAGGGTTTTCCTAAATATGGTGCACATGCGAAAGTGGGTGATTCTTTGGCTTATTCCATGTTTAAATATAGGTACAAACAATTCGTTATTTATTTACAGGGTGTTGAAATATCAAGATTTTTCTTGTTTTTTTCTTTAGAGCTCTTGTAGTTTTAGAGATATTTAACTCAAATTTGGTATACAGAGTGTTCCTAAACATCGTGTACATCAGAAAGGGGGTGATTCTTTGGCTTATTTTATGACTAAAAGTTTATATAAACGTGGATCTCAAACGCTTGGTTACCGATCTACAGGGTGTTGACATTTCAAGATTTTTTTTGTTTCTTTTTTAGAGCTCCTGCAGTTTTTGAGATATTTAGCTCAAATTAGGTATAGTATATATAGGGTTTTGAGTATAATTTGAGTAGGAGGGGGTCACTTTCAACATTTCTCGTAATGTTGTTTGATACAGGGTATCCCAATGAAAAGTAGCCCATTTAATCAGCTTGTAACGAACCCAGTATATGTAAATGTATTTTGAAAGGATAATCAGGTACAAAATGTTTAAAAAATTGCATCCATGATTATAGGTAGAACGAAAAATTACACAAACTGTTCATTATGCATAAATATGCACAAATTATGCATAATTTTTTACTACTTAATCACAATTTCAATGAGCATTTTGCTCTCCACTACAGTTTGGTCATATTTTTCCTCGGTCCAAATCATTCTTTTTTAGAATAATTTTTTTGTGAAATGTTAGATACAATTTTTCCCCATTTGTATACAACTTTTTAGGACACACTGTCTGTTTATATGAACTTTTAGTTATGAAATAAGCCAAAGAATTACATTCATCCGTGTACGATATTTAGGAACACTCTGTATATTGACAGTTTTGATAAATTGGGAAAAGAGGATTAAAGTCTGACAAGCAATATAGCCTGAAACAATCTAGTTTAACGGGTCAACGCTAGTAAACTGGGCATTTAATTGAAAATACCAATAATCTCATTTACTATTAGAGCTATTGGAATGTTCCTTTAATTATTTTTAATTAAATTAAACGCAAATAATGTTGTTCCTAATTGATTCCGCTGTTCGGTTTATCCGACTTTTGTCGTTTTCTATGTGTATCACGATGCTAATACCAGGAAGAAACCGATCGGAAAATTCAATTATGCAAATTTTTTTGGAACGGACCCAATGCGAAAATGTTTTCGTAATATTCAGTCGAAAAAAGAGCATACAAAAACTCGAGTTCGATTCAGATGCTTCGCGCTTCGATACTGCAGGGTTTATAAAAAATGCTCTCTATGTGCCGTGCTCATTTTATTCGCAGAGAGCAGAAATAGCTCCCTCAAATTCATAATTCGCGGGGTAATATACAGGGTGTCTCATAAGTTGATACTTTTTTTAACTGCGTATAGATCTTTTAATTCTAAGCACTTTTTTTTAAGTAAAATTCTTTAAAATTCTGGAAAATAAAAAATATGGAAATTTTTAAAATTTCTTTAAAGAAGTAAAAATGTTTCTTTTCGATTTATACCGGGTGTTATAAAAATGTAATGATTTTTCCAAAAATTTTTTCCAGAAACAGTTTATCATTAAACAGCGAATATTATGACATTGTCAAGGAACCAACCTATAATACAAAAAAAATCATTCAAATCGGATGATAAATTCAAACAAAAAATAGCATCAAATATGTGGCAAATTTATGAAGTTGCGTTAATTTTTTCCAGGAGTTTATATATTTCTAACCAATATTTTATGTTTTTCAAAATTTACTTAATTTTTTTTAATCTTTATTTACTTATATTTTTTAATTTCCTCTCCTTTAACACTTCCGGAACTTCCTCGTATTAAACAACAACAACCGTAGAGAATAAAACAAATTTATACTTATAACAAATTCTATTTACAGTCGTTCATAAATAATATCTTTTCGCTTTATATACATACATACGTATTCAAATGCATTCCTGGCAAAAACAAAAAAAGACCTATAAAAATCACAAATTAAAAAAACAAGTCAATAAATATACGTTTTCACTCGCTCACAACTAGCACATAATTTGGTGCCGTTCTAGTATGCAGTCTACCATCATATTTGCAGTCTACCTCATCCATATTTTGTCCACCATGTATATTTAAATACTCATATTTAAATCGAATCACTCCTTGCTACTCGATACAACGACCATATTCAAAAATTACTGTTAAATCGCTAACAGGAAGATAAGTTCTTATCGATCAGTTAACGTCATATTTTGGCATTCACCAATGTCAGTTAATACTTAACAGTCAGATAAAAGTAACAAGAGCAAAATCGAACTGATAAAAGAAGTAACTGACTGATAACTTTAAAACAAAGGTCGAAATTGTGAAAGTTCTTCCGAAAATAATGGTAGAAAAAGTTATTAAGTAGATAGAAATATTTCGAAATATAATTTAATAATAGGTTCTGATTGAAGGAAGATTCTGTTAGATGGAATAGCCGCTGGAATACGATTATAGTTATTTACTTCTTCAAATACATAAATTTGACATTTATACTAATTTAGTAATTTGTGGTTATAACTTCCGCATGAAGTTATTTGGTTCGTTAGATGGTTATTTTTAAGAAAACTGTCTGTTTACTCTCAGTTACTTTAAATATCGTGGTGAATAACAAATATTGTTAACCGACTGTTAAATTTTATCAGACTGATGTCCGGTTTCACCAGCGATAAATAAATCTATAAATACTTATTCGATGAATAACTTTTAAACTTTTAATAACGTTTAAACTGAATAAACTTTTTTAACTTTTAAAAAGTTAAATATTTTGACGTGTCACCAACACTTTTAATCTTTAGTTAGCTATTTAACAGTTTAAACAAATATTTCTGGTAAAAACAAAATTGTGTATTTTTATTGGACAGTTAAAATTTATTCATTTATTCAGTTATCAGGTTGATTACTGATACTTTCCCGATTCTCGGTAAATTGAATCACCCACATACTGTTCTCTAAATAATACAATACCAGTAAAAAGTTTTCATACGCTTAACAAAAGGTCATCTTCAAAAATCTCGCCGTCATATTCCGTAACAAACCCTTCGCATAAAATAAATTCGGGTAGACCGCACGCTAGACCGGCATCCTCAATTTTTACGATTATTTTTCTCTCTATCACGCCAAACCGGAATCGACGTGAGTCCGACGCTTCGAATCGCAACGCTGCACCCCGTGATCGGGCGTCGATTTCAAAATATCGGGCTGGCTCTGATTGACGCCGACTTGGTTCAAAACCGTCTGGTTCACCGCCGATTGATTCACCGACACCACGGTGCCTCTGCTCAGCGTGCCCAACAGCGGCGTGCCCGGATTGTTGATCAGCAAATTCATGTAGTCGGCGATCAGCAGCGTCAGTTCGAGTATTTTCGGTTTGCTCAATGAGAATATCAATTTCTGAGAGGGTTGCTGCTGATCGTTTTGCGTCACGACCAACATGAAGTCTTCTTGACAACCGCCGAATGTTAGGACGTTCGTGTAGGGGTATCTGACTCGTTGTTGCATGGTTGCCAAATCTAAGACCGTTATGGCGTCTTCGTTTACGGCTAACCACGTCATCGGAGAGTCTGGTTGTCTTAGACGAGCCTAAAAATTAAGTCTAGTTAATTGGTTTGCTATTCAGAATCGGTACTTTTTCATAAGAGAGATAAACAACAACAAGACAGACTGTATACCAGAGAATATTCGAGCTAAGTCATGATTAGAGCTTGGAGAATATGCATTAAACAATGGCAAAATATGCATACAAATATGCACTAAAAACCTTCAAAATATGCACTTTTATATGCGTTTACGTTCGGTGAAAAAATCAGAAACAGCCAGATATGAAATTATTTTTTTTTGAAAATTTTGTTAAAAGAATAAGATAAGATAAATGCAGACTATTGGACCTATAGTACTTATTAGAACATTGGTGAAAGGGATAGAATCATTTAGTACTGTTTAGAACCATTTAGAATGTTCAAGAATCAATTAGAATAGTCTAGAATCATTTAGAACGCTCCATAGTCATTTAGAACGCTCCATAGTCATTTAGAACGCTCCATAGTCATTTAGAACAATCCAGAATAATTTACAATTGTCTACAAACATTTAGAACGATCCTGAATCATTAAGAACTGCCCAAAACCATTTAGAACGCTTCAGAGCCGTTCAAAACACTATATTTAATTCTCAAAGTTCTCAGAATGAGCATCGGTTGTTTCTATTAGTTTGCAAGTAACTTGCAAGTAATTATCACCGTTTTTGTTATTTGTTATTTAAGTTACATTTATTATTACTTTTTGTCAAAATATATTGAAAAATGTAGAATTTCATTTTGCACAAACGCATTTTGCATCTTCTCCAGGCCCTAGTCCCTAGTCATACCCAAACTTCCCAAAAACAAATCACAAACAACGTAATCGCTAGGTTTATCGTAAATACCTGAAACAAACTCGCTCCGAAGTAAGGCCACTTCCTGGTGGAATTCAAGTAAGCCCTGACGCAATCCGATTGCGTCTTGCCCTTCAGCGCCCTCCACTTCGCCATCAGCTTCGCCTGCAGCTCGGCCAATCCCTCCTGGTCCGCTTGGTCCCTGTACCGGTACGGGTAGAACTTATCGATGGCGCTCAAAGCCTGATCGGAGTGAGCCGCCAGGATCCCGTGGACGTCGTTCAGAGCGCTCAAAGTACCGGAATTCTGCGCGGACGCCGGCGGACTCAAAGTACCGTTTCTGGTCGATTTGAGGCTTTGGTGCGCGTTCGAGGAGCTTTGATGTCTCAGAGTACCGGCGGCGCTTTTGTTCGTCAGAGAACAATCGCCCGCGTCCATTTGAGCCATCAGCGAAGCGAACTCCAACGCCGCCTCTCTGGTAACCGGAAACCGCCCGTCGACTATCTGCCTGTTGATTTGGTACGACAGCAACAGCCGCTCTTTCTCCGTCTCCGACTTCGAGCTGCTCTTCCACCACAACCTTCAAACACGAAAACGACGCTAGAGAAAAAAAACATCGTTAAAAATACTCGCACGTACCGGCTCTTGTAGGTCAACCGGATGACCTTGCTGTTCTCGAACTTCCCCAGGCCCTTCTCGCGCAGCGCGATCTCCCACTTGGAGATCAAATCGCACAGCTTGGCGGCCGGATCGAGCGTGTGCTCGAGGTCCCGCTCGATGGGATCGTCGCTGAAGATGGCGAAGCCGTTGGCGACGCGACAGCCGATCTCCTGGGCGAGGCTGTCGCGGAATTCCTTGACGGACGTCGAGCCGTCGAAGCTGGTGATGTGGTAGGTGCCGTTGAGCAGGTGGACGGGCATCGAGTGCGGCAGCGCGTGGTGCTGGGGGTTCTTCAGGAGGATGCTGAGCACCTCCATGCGGGACGGTTTCAATTCCCGGCCACCTGAAATCGCCGACACGGTATAGATCAATTCGGCAGAGTTGAATACAGCCTTCGAGCTACGGGTCCGTGCGGCAGAGACCATCGATATTTATAGCGATTTAGTGAGCTCGCGCAGCGAGCGAGACCTTGGTTATTTAACTGACTTTGCGTAGGAGGCCGTCAGGCCTCCGAGCTGCGGGTCTATGCGGCAGAGCCCATCGTTGTTGACAGTTATAGATAAATTCAGCAGAATAGAATACCGCTGTACCACTAGTTAGTGGCCATTAACATCATACTAACAAGCCTAACATTTCCTATTCATAGTCGCATATTTCTTTCCCACTAGTTAAAATAATGCTAGCAGAAAAATGAATATGGCAACAACGGAAATAACTTAAAATTTTAAGTTATGGGTGATGGGAAAAAATTAAATTCCAGTGAACCTTACTTTTGGGAAAACCAAAAAACTTTTTACGGGAAAACCCGTTATTTAACAAAAATCATGATTATTAGCCAATATTATACAATTTGACCAAGTACGTTTGATACCAAAGTTTGAACGGTTTATACCTCTTAACTAGCTATCTCGTTATCTCGTAACTAGCTATTGGTACTTGAAAGTACAACAATTTTATCCTTTTTTTCTTTCAAAACGCAAAAAATAGTTAAAAAAAACCAAAAACTGTTTTTTTTTTTCAACATATTTGCCAGTCTTTTTGAAGTATTGGGACTACCAGCTTTTGAAATAAAGTATATCGATATTAGTTAGCCGTTAGATATTTATGGAAATGTGCATGTAAGAAACTGAAGAAGTAAATGTATTAATACGAAATCCAGTTGAAATTCAAATATTAGTAACGATGAGATACTTGTCAAAAGGGTAGTAAAAACACAGTAAAAATGCAGGAGATTTCACGCTCGATTTCACGCACTAGACGTTTGCTGCCTTATTCATAGTCATATTTAGTGGCTACTAACACACTACTAACATCCCACTAAAAAAAAATCGTATTCATGCTTCCATGTAGTGGCTACTAAGATGTTATTTTTGTTAGTAGTGTGTTAGTAGCCTACTAACAAACAGTAGCCTAGTATTTAGCCACTAAATACGACTATGAATAAGGCTGGTGGTGTATTCAACTTAGCTGAATTTATGAACTGAACTTACCTGCCAGAATGGTCCGTTCGAGCGCCCGTTCGCAGTACGCCGCGTATTTACCGCATTCGGTTCGATTTTCGGCGTTGCGCCGGAGATGAAGCTTGAGGAACCAAAGCAGCATGGAATTTTTCGGTACGAACAGGCTGACGGCCAAAGCGAGCAGCTGCCATCCTTGCAGCAACGTGTAAACGGGCGGACCTTTGGGATCCTTGTGGTCCTTGTAGCACTCCTTGTGGTCTTTGTATTTGTCTTCTTGCGCGGCCTGCGTGTTGGACAAGGCGATTTGTTGATCAGACACGGTGCTATTTATGCTTGGCGTGTTCGTTTCGCAGGTAAAGAGACTTTGCGTGGCGCAAAGGAGCAGCTGCTGAAAAGAGTATTGGTGTTTCTCTTCGAGTCTTTCGGTGCGACTAAAAGACTGTATACAACGATAGGTGTTGTATCTATTTTGTGAAGTATCAGAGAGTGATGTGATAAAACGTGTGCGTTAATGAACAATGATTTTAATGTAGTCGATTGTGAACATATTTTTCCATTGCAACGAATCAACTCAGATTGATTGTAAAGCTTAATTTAATTTATTATTAAAATGCATTTATTTACATGCGATTGTATTCTTACTAATTTAATTGAAACGTTTTTAATTTTTATACTTCTTTAGATATTTTTCGTAATTACTTTTAAACGTAAGCAATTAGAGACAGAAAGATGGAAAGAAGAAAACATACACAGGCTCAAACTAACTTAACTATTCTAGTTTTCTATTTAAACAATATTGGATTGGCAATGAAAAATAAAACGAAACGAAAAAAAAATGAAACACCAACAATCTCATCAGTTGCAGGGAAAAACACCAATATGCTGGAGTTTACGATGAAAATGGGAGAAAGAAGAATGAGTTCATGCATATTATGTACAATGTGGGTAATGCACAAGAAACGATACAAAAAGCAATCGGCAGTTTTCTTGTACATACATATCAATATAACCAATGATTAACTTACTAATAGAATTTTTAACTTGAATTCTAAAGAGATTCTCAAGACAGTCTCTCATTGATTATAAGATTGAGTGCAGATATAATTTAATATTGTTGACAACAAAGGTAGGGTGAAAAGTTCTCAGCCTGAATCATTTATAACAATCTAATACTCTCCAGAATCATTCAGAACAGTCTAAAACAATTTCTAACGTTTCACAATAATTTAGAACGATCCATAATCATTCAGAATGCTCCAGAATCATTTAGAACGTTTCAGAATCATTTAGAACGCTCCAGAATCATTTAGAACGCCCCAGAATCATTTCGAACGCTCCAGAATCATTTAGAACTGTCTAGAACCATTTCTAACGCGTTAGCATCATTTAAAACGCTTCATAGTCATTTAGAACTGTCATTAGTAGTCAATTCGACTTAATAAGGTGAATATTGTAATTATTTTAACTGAAAATCGCGCTTTTTAATTGTCAGGCCGACTACTTTTCACCTTACCCTTATAGGTATTGTGGATGTATTTGTGCTGTTCATATCAAATTTTCTAAATCTATCCACAACATATTACAAGCTATTATAACAAATGCGTTTATATCGGATGAAACTTAATAACTAAAAATCGTGCTAAAAGCACTGAGCGGGTTCAGTAAAAAAATAAATATAATGTAGATCTAATTTGACCCTATAAATGATATTAACCGAAACACTAATAAATTGATTATAAATTTATTGTATACGAGTAAAGTTTTTACTTTTATAACGTTTTTTTAAGATCTACAAATTAAAAATGTTTAACTGTTTCCGTAATACACAATTCAGTTTTGGACAAGGAATAGAATACAAGTATTGGTGAATAACAAATATTGTTAACCGACTGTTAAATTTTATCAGACTGACAGTTATCAGGTTGATAATTGTTCATAACACGGATAAAAGGATTTATTGTAAACTTCATAATCCCATAATACACTCATTTTGCAGAAAATATTGACGTGCTATGGAATTTATACCAAATGTTGAATAAAAACGAATCACCATTAAACAGTTAAACATATTTAGAATCAAAATGAATCGATAAAAACAAAATAAAAGAAGCACACTTACGCTTTTTTTTAACAATTTTTGTTTGGATACCTGGACTCCGAGTTTGGGCAAGGGGGCGCTCTTGCTGGTTTGCTTTACCAGAGCGCAAATCAATTCGGATTGCAAATCCGGCATGTCCAGGCATTGTTGCAAAGCGTTCTGGGCCAGTACCACGTGATAATCGATGCCTGCTTGATCGACGGCCGCCGACATGAATAATTGAAGGCATTTGAACAGCTTTATGGCTTCGGCCTAAAATGTTTCCAACATAATTTGTGTGTTAGATTAATTAACACGTTAACTGCCGACTACGAGATTACTCATAATTATATAACGGGGATTAAATGACTTTGGCTTCTCAGTCCGGAATTTGAAAGTTGTCGTGGTTAAGGGTTATCGTTTTTTTTCGTAAATCGAATTTAAAAGTGAATAAAAGTGACATTTTTGACAGATTTCAAAATAAATTATTTGATGGACGTTGCCTGTTCGAACCAAACGAACTACACCAAAGCTAAAGACTTTTTCGTTATTTGCAACGTTTGGTCGGTTTTAATGGATGGGAATTAAAGAATTCACAATAATTCGCACAATTACATGTTTTTTGGTCATTTATATTCACTAAAAACCGAGATGTGATCAAATTAATTTAAAAAAAACTCACACCGATGACAACGACAAAGAACAAACTTCGAACTGTCAAACTTGTCATTTCCGTTACGACGGGATACGTTGACATTTAACTTGATGTACAGGGTGGTTTTTCTTGAACAAAATCGGAAAAATTGATATACGCGCGGGGTGTTTTTTCATCTTAAGTGAAAAATCATTTTAAATTAAATTGAAATATAGTACAGGGTGATTCGTATTTAAGGAAATGTTAATTACATAAACCGAGCGAGCGAAGCTAGTTAGGATTCGGCTATACAGGGTTTCTCATAAGTTGATACTTTTTTTTTTAACTCAGTATAGATCTTTTAATTCTAAGCAACTTTTTCAAGTATTTTTTTTTCTGAAAAATACAATAGATGGAAATTATTAAAATTTCTTTAAATTTCGAATATTTTCCAATACCATCACCATACAGGTGTCAAAAAAATAATAAATAATGAAAAATTATGTCAGTTATGCATCAATCAAAATGGCGACAATTTTGAGCAGTTCCTTTAACTTTTAATTACCAGGGCGGTATTAACTAACTTTTTAATCATTAAAACACGAGTTGCCCGACCTATCTCTTATTATAGGACCGTGGTTTTACCTGTAAAGTTTCTGATGGTAGGCTGGTTAATGGAAAATAGGATGGAACAGCGCCGTCCTTCGTACAAGGCACGTGTAGTAATATCGGATGTCTCCATAAGACACAGTTCGGATCTCCATCGACTTCCATCAGTTTGTGTACGAGTTGTTCGTATTGAGTGCCGGTGTTCGGTCCACCTCCGCTAGCCACAGTCAAATGATACAACCAAGCGTCTTTTTCCTACAATTAAATTAACAGAAGTTAATAATTATTATTAATACAGAGTGGCCTAGAACTTACGCCCCACCGGGAAACGCCTTAAGGAAACGACAATGGAGATACCAAATCTGCAAACGAAGGCAGGAAAAAGTTTTTCCTTTGGTAAATAAAGTGGTTTAAAATCGACCAATCCCAGTAGAAATTGTCGTTTCCATAATGCCTTTCCCACTGGGGCGTAAGTTCTGGGCCTCCCTGTATAGTCTCTTGCACAACTTTACCAAACGAAATTTTTAAGACATTACCTGTTTGACTGTAAAATGCAAGTAGGTTGGCGCTTGATTATTAGGAAATATTCCCACGGTGAATTTAGGCTGATCGGAATCCTGTTCTTCCGAGTCTGAATCGGATAAGTGCTCAATCTCCTCTACTTTGGCGTCTCGCATGTTTATTTGACCATGAGGTGTCTAAAATGATAATATTTTCGTGATATTTCATGCTAATTCTTCTACAGATACAATATAAAAATAAGATCTAGGTAATAGTACTCACTGGGTCCGTAGACTTCTTGAAGTATAAAAACATTTTTCCTATCAACACACACCAACATTCGCGCGGAATACCATTCTTAACTTTCTTCAATACACCCTGTAGAATGGGTTTACTCTCATCTCTGCTTAGAAGTAGTTTAGTTGCGTTTCTTCGTTGCACGTTTTGTAATGTTCTCACCTGTATGGTAACGAAAGTAATGATTATAACATTAGAAGAGGTTTTTTAATCTTACCCAGTCTTCCATAGCAGTCATAGAATCTGCCGTTAGATAATAGGTTTTCTTTCCAGTATCTATTTCAAAGGTGTTGGAGCCATCGGCTCGAGTAATTTTACAAATTTCGTCTAACATTATTTGTCCTTGGGGTTTTCTGTTGATGTCGCTTTGACTTTTATAATACGTTAGAATGCCGTTTTTCAACACGAACCATTTTTTTCTCCACGTCTTCAATTTACCTCCTACAAAAACGTTATTTAGCATTTCACCTATTTAGTTGAAACATATTCGTTTACCTAATTTAGCTAACGATCCGCACTTTTCTAGACTTTCTATTCTCTTTGGACTATCTAAATACGACGAAGCTCTAAGAAGCATCGAGGATTCTAAGCTAGTGGTATCACAACTTAAAGCATCTGGCGGGACTGCATAATCATCGGACATTCCAGATTCGAAGGAAGTATCTGAAACACCTTTCAGTCAATCGTTAATTATTAACATCGAACGTACAACAAACGAAACAATAACTACAAATTTATATAAGATCGCTAAGTCGATCCGATCGAGTACCTCTGGTTTTACTTTTACTCGGCGATCCGCTGCTGCTGGATGCAGTTCGTTTGCCCGGACTAGAACCTGTAGTATCACCGGAACTTCTACTGTGAGTGTTCGTACCATCCACAGCCTAACAGAAACACCAATGATTCTCTATTTGCGACAAGAAATTCTCTCATTCTTACTGTTACGTTGTTCCCTTCTCCATCGCTGGAATCGTCGGAGGAATCTCCAGTGAAAGGCATCGACCTTATCTGGCTAGCTCTTCCTTTAACTGTAGCGTATACAGGAACTGGAATATCTTGGTAACCAGCTTGTTCCGGACCCAAATCGCTCGGAGTTGTTCCGGTGAGCGTTAAACCATCAGCAGCCACCTACACATTAAAATATGAGGTATACTCGAATCAAACTTTGATTCCAAGTATTCCTACCTGATAAATTCTATCTTCCCAGCTGGGAAACCTATGAATAGGCGGCGTAGGAGCTCTAGGCCACGTCACCTTCTCCCTGCTGGGGGTGTAAATTTCTGCGTAATCATGAGCAAGATCAGGATCGCTGGCGCTGCTGCTGGGTATCCGTCCTATACTAAGATTATCGACAGCGGCGCGCAATTCATCGGTAAAAGGATCCATACTCGAAGTACTCGTTCCGAAATTAACGCTGGTCACTAAAGTGCTGGGTATCACAGGTTCGAAATTGGTGTTAGTCGAAAGGCAAACGGATTGGTGTCGTCGGTGTTTCTGGCTAAGAGGCGCGCTGCTCGGTTGCGGAAACTGCGATTGAATACAATTTAGCGTTGGTGAAATCGAATCGAAACGCGCAACGAACCTGTCGCGGTTCCGGCGAGCAACTCTCCGATCTCCTGCGCTCGTTCAGGGCCAAGTGGTTCCTCAGCAGCTCTAATTGTTGATTGCATTTGATGTTCTGCTCGCGCAACGTCTGGTTTTGGATCTCCAACTCCTTGAGCTTGTTGGTGACCCACTCCTTGATTCGAGCCGCTTTGGCCTCGACCTGCTTGGCGTCGTGCAGTCTTAATTGACGTTGTTCCTCGACTTCTCCTTCGAGGCGGTGGATCTGAGCGCTGTTGGGGTCACTCTGCACGGACCACGCCAACTTCTGTTCCATTATTCGTACCTGAAATGAATGATGTATGTATAACTACGTGTTATTTGTTACTGTTACAAACAAGTTTCAGTTTTCTAGGTATTGCTTGAATCAGGAGGCTATGAATTATTAACAGACGAATAATATGAATGATACGTTGAAGTGGGTGCACGAATGTATTTTTTTTAATATAATTGTTTCATCAATACGTGATTAAAGGGAGCGATATTGTTATTCTATTCATTATTACTGCCTGCGTTGGGTCCGTAGGGAAAATGTACATTTGGTTGTTATTACACCAAATTATAGCTTTTTCGTTAATTGAAACTTAATTAAATGTACAATTTAATTACAAGCGATCATTGTATACGTGTAAAGGCAAAAACCATCAATCAACTTATTGGAAAAACTTATCTTTTTTTCTCGTCAGTTTTGGCTCCCTAACTTTAACATTGACATATGAGTAGCGATGATAAATATGGTGTATTTTCATCTTATGTTACAGGATCAATAGACCTAGGGTGCATTTGACAGTTTCCCTTGAAACGTTTCAACTAAAAGCCGGGAAATTAATCAATTCTTATCGAATTTCTAGCCGTTAAAAGTTTCTCGGATAATTACAATGTCAAAAACAGTAGCACTTTCAATTTCCGAGTTTGATTAAATTAAACAATTAAAAATACGATGACTAATAACTCTTTAAAGTAGCGCAAACCAATTGGACTGTCACCTTTTATGTATAAAAGGTGGCACCGAAAGCACTTAGAGAAATTAGAAATAACAGTTCTATTTTTACAACAAGCCATCTTCGTGGCTGCAGAAGAACGAATGTTAACAAAACATTTCTACCATAAGCACTTAACGACCGTAGAGAACTATTTTGGGATTGCGACGAGAGGAAATTGTCATTTTTTTTATTTCGTTTTGATCGTTTTGAAGGAAGACATATTGGTAAACAAATCGGCGTTGCTTTTAATAACTAATAACCTTCTATAATAATAAGTAGGTAATTTATTTAATATTCTATCTGTATTCTACCAGTTAATACAATAATTTTTGATTAATTTTGATGATAATTTTGGTTTATTGTATCCGTTAATATGTAATTGTTAGTATTAATTAATATTCAATTTGTATTTTATATTGTTTAAGTTATCTCTTGTGATAAAATAAACCGCTATGAGTTTACTAAAATACACAAGTTTCGTTTCTAGAAAATAACAGCCAATTTGTATGATTCAACGGGAAGTTTATCGTTAAGGAAAACCTACCTAGAAGTAAATTTGATAATGATAAAATTGCCTATTCACATTTTCAGTAGTTAAACTTGTTCTTTTAATATACGTAGGTTGATCTTACAAAGATTAATAAAAATATTTTCAAGTTAAAATGAGGAAAGCGAAATTGCCTTCAATACAGAGAAAACAAAAAAGAATGGTTTGGACCGAGGGAAAAATATGGAGTGGAGAGCAAAATGTTTATTGAAATTGTAATTAAGTAGTAAAAAATTATGCATAATGAACAGTTTGTGCGTATTTATCTCTCGGCCCAAATCATATTTTTTCGTTCTCCCTGTATTCTTTCATGCATTTTTTTAACATTTTGTAGCTGATTATAGATCTACAAGTCATGCAGACAATTTTATCAAGAATAATTCTTTTTGTGAAATGTAAGATAAACTTTTATCGGCATTTGTATACAACTTTTTTGGACACACTGTATACTGCACCGTTTAAAAAACACTAATAATTTAGTAGTGCGATTTATAAACAAAATTAACTAATGCACATAAAAAATATGTAATTACCCATATCGATTGTTATTGTCGGCTGTCGTCAGTTCCACTTTCGGAAAATTAAAATAAACGGAACTACAAAACCTCAGATAAAAATCCAAAAAAAAAAATAAATAAATCGCGTCGAAATCTCGGCTCGAATCGAGACGTGTGTACGTGCGAGCGCGTCGCGTTAGCACGTCCTCACCGAAACTGTTTCGGCCGTTTGTTGCAAGTGCGCTTCGAGCATTCGAAATTTTCCAATCGGATCCGCCGCGGTGCAAAAGCGACCGCCATGGCGGCGACGGACGCCTTCGCGTCTCGACGCTTTGCGGCCGTAACGAAACGAAGCGTCCCCAACGGCGGTTCGGCGGCTCGACGGTTCATCGCCCACGAAAACGCTCGGCGTTAAATCGTGTGTATATTTGCATTTCGGGATGAACACCGACCGGATTTTTTTTTCATTTTCAGGGGTTGTCTGCAAAATGTTGGCTTAAAAAGTTGCTCGCAAAAAGGCAAAAGGTCTCCGAGAAAACGATCGTAAAAATTTGTTTGTGGATCGTTGAAAGAAAATTCAATGTATCACCGATTATTATGAATCACTTGCAGCCAGTGCTTTTTTGTATGTAGGGGAGAGTGGAGGAAGTTGTTACTAGGGCAAGTTGCTACAAACCCAGTAAAAATGCGTATACAGGGTGTCTACTATAAAAACCCCCAAACTTAAGGAGGTGATTATACAAGTAATTTTGAACAAAAGATGTCCTATAACACTTTTTCGAAAAGTCGACAGTTTCTCTATTATTTAACATTTCATTATTTAAAATTTTTTTAATGTCTTTTTCTACATAAATTGTTGAATCTAAATTTAGGAATGTAAAGCAGAAACACTGCCCCGTATTATTTTAAAATTTGGCGCCGATTCAGTTGATAGTTTTTATGAAAAAAAATCGAATGTAAATTTTGTAACAATTAACCCCACTCTCCCCTACGCATACAGTCTACTTTTGTGTATCATGCGTAACAATAAGCAGGTCGAAATGAAATAGGGTGCGTACGTGTGGCTGGCCTCCCCTTTTAAATATTTAGGCAGAAAATTAAATGAGTCATCTGCTCGTGCATGATGCGACATCCATTTTTTATTTATTATTATTAACGAGCAAAATATGCTCACCCTTTCGCAAAGTTTACTTAAACATATTTTGCATCATGCTTCCAGCATTTGCTAAGCGAATCAAAACGAAACCAACTTAAGGGCGCCACTTCAGGGTACTTTTAAATGGGAAAACATAGGTTCAGTAATTCCAGTAAGATTCAAATTTGGCTTCATCAATTGATTTGAATCTTACTTATGTATACCTAATATAGAGACTCCAAGCAATGAAATCTCCTATTTTTAATCTTTCCTACTTCATTATAAATTTAAGAAAATTGCAATTAAAAACTGACATTTATTTGAAATGCTATTTAAATGGCGAAAGTAATTCTAGTAAGACTCGAGTTTCCTCGAACGGATTTGTGAATAATTTTAGTAGGATGAAGAATACTTATTACAGAACGATGTCTCCTAGTTTATATTAATCCACAGGCTGTATTAAATTGGAAAAAAACTAATTAAAGTATTTTAGCAAATGATGATGATAGATTCCTGTAAATTATGGTGTCGCCTGACATAAATGTCAAATTACAGAACAATTTTGTAAATTTGACTAGCGACAGCGATGCCAGTAGTTTCCGTTTTTCAGATATTTTTGGATAATTTGCACTTTTTTAAGGGCAGGTAATATGAAATAAGGTATTTCCAGTGCACCGGAATACTTTTAGAGCACTTTAATGAGTATTTTTAAAACCCTACTTTTATCTTTTCAAATTGCAGGGAAAATAATTGAATTTAAAATATTCTAAAAAGGATATCTTATTTTACTTTCTTGTACGTTTGATTTTATGTCAAGTGTAATCAAACACGGAACATCTACTAGTGAGTTAAAGTAATCTCATCCCATCTATTGTGGAAAAATTTAACCAAAAATAGTTCTATATTACCCCACAAATTACGAATTTGAGAGCGTGCTTTAGCGGCCTTAATTGGGAATTCCAATTAGGAACCTAAAAGAGCTTTCATTTAGCAGTCTGTATTAAAATAATTTCGTATAACTTCGGACCCTCGTTTTCGCTTCGACTGCACCGCATTGAAAATCTCTACCAGAATGGTTTAATCTCCTATTTGTTCTCGAGTTGTATGGGGGAGACCAACATCGCCCCAACATCGCACAGCGGAGGAGGGGCGGTTGAATTTATCTAAGGGAGCTTCTCAAGTAACATGCTAATGTCGCAGCAGGGTCGTCTAATGGAGATTAAAATGCGCAAAAAATCGAACGAACTACTAATGCCCGAACTTTCCGGTTGGAAAATTAAAATGGTGGAACGCCGAATGAAAAATTAAAGCTCTTTGAAGAAACATGAAAGCTTCATAACGCTATAAATTTTGCGATAATCTACGTTCGAACTGTTCCTGAAACTCGTCTAACTAGCCGCGATAAGGAAAATAAATGCGACTAGAATTTAATTTTAAAGTATGCCGTGCATGAAACGTAACTTATGAGAAATCCTCACTGTTTTAAAATAAAATGCCCCGAGCAACTTTATCACAAAGTTAAAGAATTCTGAGTGCTGCTGGCGACATGCCAAGGAAATGTAAAAAAGACGAGAAAAAGAAGCAGGAAACGAAAAGTTTTACTCATTTCCAAGTACATAAAGGATGAAAAGAGTTCAAAATCAATAAAGCATCTATCCATAATTATTATGGTTCGCATTTAGATAATAATACGTTTCTACCACATTTATTCACATTTAACCTATGAATAAAATTACCGACAAACAAACATGCATTGTTTTATTTCACAGTGTAATAAATTACCTAAACACCGCTCGCCCTATTCTCTTAAAAAGACTATTTATATTTACGCATCTCTCCCTTTAATCAACGTAACTCCCGTTTTTAATGCATTCGAAAAACTGAAGCTCCCCCTTTCTGGACCCATAAACGCCGCCATTTAATTTGACTGCCATTATTTTTTTTTAATAATAAATCTTCGGAAACGGTCGTTTCACTTATTTATGGGTCCTGTGTATTTTTTTTTCCTGAAATTAATGTCGAGCCGATACATTTCGATTTGTACGAGTCTGCGGCTCTGCGTTAATTAAATTAGGTTTTCCAGGAAATGCACGGGAGGAATATTATTCGAACGTATAAGGGAAAGGTGAACAATTTATAGTTATTTTTGAAAAAAAAATGTATAACTATTTTTAATTATCCTATGATATTCAGGAACAATATACAGGGCGTGAATTAATAAGTGCGACAAACTTCAGGGGATGATTCTGCATAAAGAAATAATGATATTTTGCTAAGTAAATATATGTTAATATATTAATTTACTTATATTTTATGTATTTATATTTATATTTATATTTAATATTAATTTTTTTCTTTAAAAATTACCCGTATGCGCGTCAGTGATGAACATAACTTTTACAATTTTATGTCAAAAAATGCGTAATTGTTACCTCTCAAAACCAACCAAATTTCATTTGAATATCTCGTTTGGTAAAGGTTTATAGTATAGCAAAATTGCATTATTTTTTCATGCAGAATCACCCCCTCAAGTTTGTCGCACTTATTAATTAATACCCTGTACAATGATGTGATGTATTTTTGAGTCTAACAATCACCAGGAAAATACAATTTCTTCTTAATATGAACCGCATACAAACCAACGAACAGTTCATTTAATCCTAGAATTTCCATTAAATAGAAGAAAAATCCATAATGTGTGTATAAAAATAGCATAGATTGATAAGACTTTAATGACCTCTATTTCGTTAACGCGATTTTACTGGTATACACATAAGGTCGGTAAAGCGCAAAAGGATTTATAGAAATCCTTATAGATTTATGGATTTATAAAAAATCCCGGAACACGACAAATTTTAATTATAATTTGACATTCGTCAACGTCAATATGTGAAGCCTATCTTCAACCCCCTTCGAAGGAGAGTCACAAAAACCAAAAAAGATTTTTTTAAATGGGAAGTATAGGCTTCTGATATATCATTTGAAAGGGTCTCTTTATTCTCTATTCAAAACTGTTATTGTTTTTAAGTTTTTTTTCAAAAATTAACATAAAAAATAAAATCATCTGATGGATTAAATTCGATATAATATACTCAGTATGTAACATCTAATTGATCACAATGTAAAAAAATACGAATCTCCCCACCAAAACTGTTATTTTATGCATTTCTGTGCACATATCTCTAAAATAATTAGATAACCAATGAATAAGTTTTGAAATTTATATTAGGAAACACTTAATTTGTTTTTAAACATCCTCTTACATAGCCTATGTAATACTTAATAAGGTTATATGGGATCTGGATCGAAACATTTAAATTATTAATAAGAGAGGTTATCTTAGTATTTTCGTTTCTATAATGTTAAAGCAGCTTTAAATAAAGAAACGTTGAAACCAAAAAAGAAATCTTTCGAAAAGGCATATTTCTACTAATATATCATCCACGTTATGGCATGCTTGGCTCGAAAAAACAAACCTCTATACGTCCGATACAACTACCTAAAAATTCAATAAAACCACTCACATTTTATAAATTATCACTCGCTTGAAGAACACCCCATCAAAAACAAAAACCGCGAACGTTCACAATATGTTAACAAAATAGGCAAAAACAACACAAAAGTAGAAACAAAAACCGATGGCGCTCTTCTTGTTTTTCTGTCAGCTGAAAGACGCCATGACCGCCAGCAGCGTCGAGACGGAAAATAATCAATAAACGCACGATAGCGAAAGTTAAAACGGTTGCATGGCAACCCCTCAACTCCGTGCTCTTTGTCTGTTACGCAGGGGTGGCTTTCGAACGTGAGAGCAACGACTTGTGAACAAAAATTTCCAGAACTTGACAATCAAAGAAGTAACTCACTGATTATTCAGTTGATGAATTTCTCGAATAGTTAAATATTTTTCATTATAGTAAGTGATAAGAATAATTTAAACCAATTGGTTTAAATAACTTTTATAGTATCCTTCAATCCTTACCTTATCCTCGGCCTCTTCAGCCCGCCCTTCGGCTTCCAACACCCTTTGCTCCAACTCGGATAGCTGAAATAACAAAAAGGCGCAATTAATTTCATCATCTTAAAAAAATATTTTAGTTGTGCCCCGAAAGGGAATTTCGAAGCGTTTTTTGTACAGAAACCGACGGGATCGGGATAAAATGGAGCAGTTGGCGTCGTCTAGCGAGCGACGCCGACGCTTCGAATTCGAGCGAATCCAGCCAGATGTCGCTAGGAGGACCGGAATTCGCACGGAATTGAAGTTTGAATGGAAACAGTGAAACAGTGAATCAGTGACGCAGTCGTAGTGAAACTTCCAGAAGTGCTGTTCGTGTAAAAATGGGAGTTATTTTGAATTAAATAATTTAGAATTAAATCTGCAAATTTAACAAGTTAAAATGTTGTATTCATTTTATATCTCTTGTATTCAATAAAGTTAAAAAAATTGAAGCTGGTAGTATACTCGAAGATGTTAATATAAAACAGTAGGTACATAAATGTAAAAAAATGGATAATACACATAATTACCCATAAATAGAAATAAATTATATACAACCGATAAATACTCTACTCTACTTCAACTCTCTTTTACCATAAGAGAATTTTGATTATTCTGTTTATATATGTATAAACATTCAAAAAATATTCAACGTTGATACATGTAACGAAACAATTAATATTTCATATTGAATAACCAGAAAAAGAACCCGCGGGATAAAATCTGCGGAAAATCTCGGCTACTCTTATACCGCAAATACAAGTTTTAACACCTATTAAATGATTTCCCTCGAGATAATTGCATTCTCAAACAGAACTCCAGCAGTAAATTATACCATTTTGAAAATTTCAAATGAATAATTCCAGCGCAAACAAAAGGTAAACAGAACTGTTGAATACCCGTTCGGAGTTAGGCGAACGAGGTATTCAATTACTAAAAGGGTAAATACCTCCGAGCAATTCGTGGATAATATATTATGCGCCTTTGTAGCCAATTCACTGATGTACTAATTATTCGAAACTGAATACCTATAACACTGATAGTTGTGTATTCATTAGTTTCCTTAACGACTTTTTTTATTTTGTTTTATGAAAATTTAGCTCATTTTATTGAAGAATTTAGCGCAAAATTCCACCTCCAAACACCCGAAAAAAAAATGATTAAACTTTCTGTTCTAGTATTTCTGTTTTAAAATTTGTTGTCAAATTTCTAAACTTATTTTTCTTTCCATTGTATAATACTGCAACATACGCACACGAACAACTGTCGACGAATTGAATTTTTCTTTTTTTCTTCTCTTAATTGATTGTTGAAAATCACCTATTTTCATCATTACAAAATAAACACACAAGTCTCGATACTCATTTTTGATATCGCAACAATTTTCTTCATAATACAATTAAATAACCATTTGGTTTTATTCGTTTCTCTTAGAATAAAAGTTTTAAATAAACAATTTTCGCTTAATTGACGTTGTACTTACTCTAAAAGCGATCCAATTTGATCATTTCATTTCTCCTTTTACGAGTTGAACCAAATACGGGAGCACTTAAAAGCAAATAAAATATCCGAGTCTGGAGGCAACAAAACACGGAAAACTAATAAATATATATTTCAGACGACGCATAAATAAAACACTACTGCGTACATGGAAAATATATCTAAAATTGTTTCTCTTTTTTTTATTTATATTCGCATTGTCTGAATCCTATCCTGCCATTCTGTGTGATTTATCAGGACTGCATATGACACCCGTCACCCGTTCTTTTGAGCACGTGCTGTCTCTAAATCCCGATAGGAATAGAGATTTTATTGGGAATATCCCGAATAGATATTATATACGGTGGTCGTATTGTATAAAAGATAATTTGATACATGTTGGACCAATACAGAGTAAATATAGGAAAAGATAACGGAGGAAAAAGGAAAATTACACATATCTACATTTTTATGCACAGTTCTTATGTATTTTAGGTGCTTAATATGAAAAAATGAATCATAAATTAGTTAACTATACAGTGTGTCCCAAAAAGTTGTATACAAATGGAGAAAAAGTTTATCTTACATTTCACAAAAAAATTATTCTTGATAAAATTCTCTCAATTCCGCAAAGTTAAAGTTATCCTGAATCCTGCGTGTTTTCCGTCTAAGAAAATACGAACAAAGACGGTGTCTAATAATAAAACGTTTTAAAGGTTTCTTTTAACGTCCTCGTTCATTACTCTGATGAATCCTTAAAAACGAGAATGGAAAAATCTCCACGTTAAGAGAAATTGAACTTCTTCAAATAATTAAAAGACGACGCAATAAAACACTACAAAGTAGACGGTTTCTTTTAGTTTAGCACTCTCTTTTCATTCCAACATTTTTAATTAGGTAATAAGGAAAATGTCGACACCACAGTTTCGTAAATTATTGATTGCAATTAGGCGTGATCGATATAGGTGTTAATAAAATGCACGAATATAAAAGTTATATGACAAACGGCAATAATAATCCATACTGTAATAAAACCGTTATTGCTTTAATATAATCTTTAATAACACATATGAAGTTAATGATCAATAAAACATTATGTCAGGTAGACGGGATTGCAATTTTGATCAATAAACGAGGTTAAATAACTCGTAAATTTCTTGTTTGAAAGAAGCACTTATAGAGGAAAAAAATTGTTATTTCCATTAAATTTTGCTGGTGATTATAACTTTTATTTAAAAAATATTAAATATTCAAAGTGAAGAGAATATTTTTGCAACGAACGATATAAAGAGGAAAGCTCATATAATTTCGTTCCCTAAAAAAAGTGATGGAATGTCTAGGGATTAAGCTAAGCAGGAATAAGCGACATGAATATTTTAATGAATTTTTACCTGTATAGATATGTAAAACAGCTTTTTGACTTTTTCCCAATGGGAGCTCCTATATATCTAATTAATTTCAAATAAATCCCTTATTCTTTACGTGTAGTTTTAATTAATAAACACACCGTATGCCTTATACCTTTACCTATTAATCAACGGGGAAGTCGTGCATTTAAAAACGATGATTAATATATCACAGCAGCTTGATAATAAAGTGCATGGAATGCGATAATCGCAATAAATCAAATATATTGGAAAAAGTAGAAACAAGTTAGATTTATGACGGAACTAACCGTAAGATGATTTATTTTTATCAGATAGCGTTCAACTCCGGAGTAATTCCAGAAACCAACCGAGGATAATTTAAGTTTTATATAGCATTCATTCCTACGAATTAAGTTATTGGAAATTGGTGTTACTTGATAAAAAACTAACTTACTGATTATAAGTGTCAAAAAGGAATAAAAAAGCTCGAAATGTACACCGTTAAAAATAATTAGCTTTCGTAATCGAATTAAAATGATCATTTTGAACAGAAATAATATTGGCTACCATCGCTACCATCAAAATTCCAACTTTAATATTTTTTTGGGGGTTGGAGGTAGAATTTTACGCCGAAAATTTATAATCTTCAATAAAATGAGCTAAATTTTCATAAAACAAAATAAAAAAATAATTACGGATCCAATTATGGGGAAGCGTTATATGCCACAAATTTAATTGTAACTGCACAAAAGTTATTGTTATGACGAAAGAAGCAAGCAATAATTACTTTCTATTCTTTAGTCGGATCGCCCGTTTATAAAAATCATCTACACTCCCTTCCTTTACTCATTCGGTTGTCACGGGGAGTATCCGAAAAAAAAAATGGAAGATACGAAAAAAAAAAACACACACCACACACGCATTTTGTGTTATGATGAACGCGTGCGTACGTGCGATATCCGCAGAGGCGCTATAAATAACAACACGTTGACAATTCCTGCGAGATTTGCGTGATGTAGGACATGTCAATTGGTACAAATGTGCAAAAGCCGGCTGGCACAACAACCCGACACGTTATACAAATATCGACAGTATGAATACAAAATCGAGTTTTCTTATTCGATGACGTTCCGCTATCAACTGTTACCAATGATTTTCCAAGAGGAAAATTTGTTTCCCACACAATAGGACAATAGTCTAGAACTATTTAGAATGCTCCATAACCTTTGAGAACTCTATATTTAAGAGTTTTCTGAATGATCATTGGGTGTTTATTATTTTGTTATCGAATCAAGTTTAACGTACTTTCATTATCTATTGGCAAAATATATTGAAAAATGCAAAATTTAACTTGCAAATTTGAAAATATGCTTGTATGCACTTTTCATGCATTTTGCATATTTTCCAGGTCCTAAAATGACGTATACAAAAATATTTATTTTAAAACTCAGCATGCAGAGCAATGCATTTGTAAAAAAAATATAATTGACAAAAATAATAATCAACAAAATGACTGATTTTTTACTGAAAAAATGGCAATAGAAATTATGCCCTTTTGTTGAGAGGTTGGTACAAACAAGAGAAATTATTTGAATAAAATCTACCAATAAAAATATTCACCCCCTAATTCGGTTTCGTTCATTATCCCAGAGACGTTGCGGATAAAAATTAAAAAGTTCCAACAAAGTTCGAGTTTCGCGCGTAACAAAATACATAATTCCCAAGAAAAATATATCGCGGCGAATCCGAATTGCAAGAGGTGCTTATTTATCTCTCGAGGGCCCCGAAATTCGTTCGGTAAATCTTCCGAAACTTTCGGAAATTAAATTTTAAACGTTGCGAATAATTCGGCGTCGATAAGGGAAACGTTCGGCTTTGAATCGGATTAAAAGTTTCGGCGATATTCAAAGGGACACCTGATAATAAAAAGGGCCCTCGACGTCGTCGATAGGACGAGTTACGAGAACGTCTTCGCGGTAATTTCCGACAGCGACAATATTCATAAACATATTCGAAATTCATCTGCGAAATTTCGATTTCGAGCCCTTCATAAGCAAATTCAATTCGACATTGATGTATCGCTCGAACTGGTGTAGCCCTATCGATATATTACCGGAATCGAATTTTGCGGAAAACAAAATACCGAATTAGGAGATGGTGTTTTCGTAGGGCGAAGACCGACCTTCGTACTCTCCCCTTGTGTACACCCGATTTCCCTCCTTTTATCCGTCATAATGGAATGAACATTTATCGGATCATGATATATCAATAAAAGTAAATAGTGTGGTAAGTAGTGGAATGCCTTGATAACGGAGCAGTCAATTACGTACACCCCTCTTATTCAGAGGGTTGATTGAAATGGATTGTTTATGATACGTAGACGTTTACATTATAGGAAAAAGTAAATTTAAAAAACTCAAGCCATTTGGGTTAAAAAACAGTCTTTTGTCTGTACAGTTATACAACACTGATAAAGGGACTTTTCTGGTAAAAGCGAAATGAAACGTTTATTTAGAGAATGCGTTTAACAATTGTCTGGTTTAAAAAAACAGACGAAGCTTTGCTGCATCATTCTATTATTTACCTTAATTTGGGCTTTTCCGCGGAAAATGACGCACGAGCGAATTCGCCATCGTGATCCTTTGCAGTACGAGAGATAATGGAAACTTTAGAGGATTGCACAAAATAGATTATAGTGGTTAGTGTAATATCAACAGAAGAAATCGATTCAAACGAAACGAATCAACAATATTACACAATTTAATATACACACACTTAAAAATATTTTGCATATTATACAGGGTAATTACTTTCCAAAAGGCATAAACATCATTTAAAATTAACAATAAAAGCAATTTAACAAACGACATTTTAAATAATAAATGAGCAGTGGCATTTCAACTATACTATAATATGCAAAACATTTTTGAGTATGTATAGGTTGTAGATAAATCATTTATGTGGATAAAACTAAAGATATATTCAAATTTGAATTGAACGTTTAATCGAACGAGCATATTGGATAGTTCCAGTTAGAATACCTCAGGCTCTTCGCTTATTTAATGGAGAAAACGAAAACGCATCGATCGCCATGCACAATATGCAGAGTGTAGGGAAAATAGAGCAAAAAAGCGAGGAAAATTACGTGCATTCACGTCTGAATAAATACCAGACACTTTGTTTCTATTAATCAAAGTCGCATTTACCAGGAAAAACTAGAAACGTCGAATAATTCTCCCATTAATTATTTTTTCGCTAAAATTGTTTTGCATTATTCCAGCACGTAATCCGACGCTACATGAGAGCAATGTAATGGAACTCTGTAAATATTAGATACCTACCACGTAATACCTATATAGCTAAAAATAAATTACGTAGATTTTAATCCCCTTTCTTTAATTTCTTTATACGAAATCTCAACTTTTTTTTACAAGTTGAAACCATTAATATTTTTTCTAATTAAATTCCCCCATTGAAGATTGTCGGACTTCAACACGAGCCGCTTTTTGTTCAACAAAATTTGGCGTACCCACAAATCGGAAATGATTGAAATATTTTCTTTTAATTTCCTTCCGTTTTATTAAACGAGCTTGGATAAATGATTTTTTTTGTTTCTGGTTCAAAAATAATTTAATAAAAATTATTTGAGAACGGGAATATTATTCGTTTCTTTGATTTAGACATTTTCTACTTAAAATTTGATATGTGGAAAGAAAAAAATACTTTATTCATATACCGAAGCAAAAAGAATTATAAAAAGTAATATTACAATGATATACAGGGTGTTTCAGGGCATTAGGGAGACATTTCTGGACGTGGGTTCTTATACTCAAATGTCTTCTGATTACTCCCGAAATGTTTAATCCCATAATTCTGAAACACACTGTATAATAATTAAATAATGATTTTATGATTACAAATCAATTTGCGAGAACTGTTTCTGGCAATAGCGAGCATCAACTAGAGCTTGCAAAATCAACTCAATAAGCGAGATAACAACTGTCACCGGTATTACCGAAAATGGTATACAAAATGAAATGACAACTGTAAAATTCGAATCAGCCAGAAATTTGGCTTCAATTATTTTCAACCTAGCATTGTTTTCGGCAGTAATACCAGTAAATTGCACGACCTTTCCCGGCCCTTTTGTTATTTTTACGTCAACATTGTTGATTTCGGGCCATCGAGTATCCGAATAAATACGTAGTAAAAAAAAGGGAAAATACAAAAGTGTGGAGATATTTGGTTGTGGTAGAATTTTTCATTTTATTCGCAAGTGCTAAAACAATTTGCCCGATTTCACCAACCAGTTCCTAAAGTTAGGTAATACCTAAACCGGATTCAGTACAATTTTCGTTTCACCATGCTCTAAGTAATACCTAAAGCTAATAGGAAATGCCTAAAGTTAGGACAGCTCACAGGGCTTGCCTAAAAAATTTAGGAAATACTTAACCATACTTTCCATGTGATTTCATGTTACTTAAGACTTGATTGTCTTTAGATGAAAATTTAAAATGAGAGGAGAGTTTTTAGAAACTGGACGAAACTGATTTTTTTTCGCCTTTTTCGATACATAAAAATACGGCATTACAAATATTAGATAGAATTGAAGTACACATGCATGTAAAGATCCATTGTCCTGGAGGAGAAGATGCAGAAATAATTTAGAAATCGGAAAGGCTATTTTTCTATTAATGCATAGACTATATCTTCAGCAGATTTAACAACAACTAACATAGTTTAAAGATGGCCCATCAACGGATCATCTCCGCTTATTCGGTTTACACGTCAAACTTAGGCAATGCTACCAATAACATTCAAAAAATTGTCGAAATCAAATTTTCACCTAGGTATTTCTTATTAAGGCATTTCCAGTGTTGGTGAAATCAGGCATTATTAATTTACTTCTGCCCTTTGCTCAACTGCGATTGAAACACATGTCTATAAAATGTAAACTTAATTTATGCGAATGAAGATTACCTTCCGCAACATGTCCTCGAGCGAGTCCATGTCGGAGCTTCCGTTGTTGTTGTTGCTTGGCTGCACCATGTGTGAATGTGGCTCCTCTTCGATAGTACTGTCGACGTTAACGTCGCACTCCCAGACGCCCCCCAGGGGCCGTTTGGCGCGCGAGCCTCTCACTTTCAGTTTATTTTCGACGTCACGAATGACGCCAAACACGATTCGCCTACGTTACGTTCACACTCATCACTCGGTCATATTGAAATCCGCGGCGAAATTGTCAAATAAAACTTCAGTATTCGCTTAATTACTTGGTAACGTGCAGAAGAGAAATCTGCAATTAAAGTAACGTTTCGATGTTTAAATAAAACCGCCCGTTAAAGGCGCGAGCATTAATCAGTTTACACGTTGTAACGATAGTTGGAATAATTAGGATTAAACTTCAAAGTTCGGGAACAACAGAAGTTTCCCTATTTCTCGTCAACGCTTTAATCACCAATCTCATTAACAAGTTGCAAACAATATTAACTTAACCATTGCCGAAGTCTGTACACAGATAAAACGGTTGTAAAGGTGACCCAAACAAAATCAAAATAGTACCTAGTACCTAATATAACCATCCCAGTTTACAATCATTTATGAATCATCATTATCCATAAATAAATTTTTGAAAAAAGCAGCACAAAAGAAACAAAGCTCGGTTATAAAGCAAAAGCTGATCACAAGTTATCAAAATTGGGCACCTTATCCTAGCCTTATCACAGGATAAGGATTTATATTGGGGAAACGATGTAGGAAAGAGTTGTGATATATTTTCATCATGTGATTAGTTTTAATCATGTGATGCTTTGGAGAAAATGGGGATAAAAGTTTAATTATTTTGATCACAATATTTGTAATTTCTTCGTCAGACCATCGTCTATTTTTAAGTTTTTGTGCAAGTAGGTAAGCACATGCGGTTTTATCAGCGAAAAAAATCTCTTTTTACATGAACAGCATGCAAGCTTTCCATTGTCTGGTGTCTTCAAGTACACACTTTCAGCCTCTAAAATCAGTCTCTCCTAAAATGTTACATAACTCTTTGAATAAGTAGCCCGGTGAGGTAGAAAATGGGTTCGTTCGACACCCTCTCAGTGCTCATGGGGGTAAATATTGATTACTCAGAGCCAAACGACCCACATATACGATGTCATCGCCGTGTCGAAAAATCAGAGGCGCCATTTGGCGATAATAGCTAGTAGTTTTGATAATTTTTTCTCACGCTCAAGTATATATTTAGAGCTCGAGGATTCTTATACATTTTTTTGATTCTTAGTTTGTAGTCTAGACACAGTGACCTTTATATTAGATGCCTATCACCAGTAATAATTACTATAATTGATGTAGATCAAATCCTTAATTATCATCATAATCTAAAGCAAACTATGTATTTATAAGTGCTTTACTCTTGATAAGAAAATCTCAAATTTCACTAAAAATTGATACAATCTCTGTACCTACACCTATCGTAGGAATCGTTAAAGGAAAAATACCAGATTATTGTTCATTTTATCTCGAAATCAACAAGAGCGGGCGCCCATGCATTGGAAGTCTTTGATCCTTTTTCAAATGCGGCATACGAATTACTCCCGTAAAGGGAAAAATTGCGAGAGGTACGTGGCAGTTGAATGATTGGCTACCATTTTGCGAGCTAAAAGCGAAAGGCCCCTATGAAATAAGATTAATTTGCTGATGGTCTGGACACAAATGCGAATGTTTCACCTTTTTTTTTAAACGAATCCGTTGGTTTGATTCAGGATAAAGCCGTTCCAAATGAGGGCAATTAGTTTAAAGGGAAATAAAGGAAAGATTGTAGTGTTTAATTATCATTAGTTTCATTAACGCTATATGTATTCGAGCAATGCATTATTAACTATAATGCGATATTAATGAGAACTTAATCTGAAGCGAGGGAATTGATATTAAAGTCTACGAATACTATAGAAAGTGGAAAAAAATCATTACCCATCCACTGCGAGAAAATTCATATTTTTTGGTAACAACAATGAACAACTTATTAAAAATGCATTAAAAATTATGGAAATAAGTTCGATCGTTACAGTTTAAAATAAAGTAGGTATTTTTGTACTTTATTGAATTGAATAAAATCATGAAAAATAAATTATAGATTAGAAGACAGCAAGTAGAAAAACTTTTATTATATTAAAAGCGAGCTTTCGTTTTCGGTGGAAAAGAAAGCTTCTATTTGAAACCTAAAATCGATTCCCTAAACCATTATAATCCGTCGGGTGTTCAGAATAACAAGGTAAACAGCGTTAAAAGAAGTGGACGTGCGACATAAATAACATGCATTTACTGGGAGTGATAACAATTTGATGGATTGTGCTTCGATTAATTTACAACGCGTTTTGTTTCGATAAAGAAAAATTGATTCAACGAGCGATCGGTATCGGTTGTTCACGTGCTACGAATAAAATGTAGTCTCGATGTAATTAAAACGAAATTATTATGTTCGTATATGGTAATCTTGTTTTTTTCATGTAAGTAGGTAGGTAAATATCGATTTAATAAGATCGATTGCGTGGAAAGCTGAAGGAAAGCCCTATAAATATGAACGTTTCAGGAATTCCGATAACATCGACATGCTTATAAATTATTAATGTCTCAGTTTAGCCAAATTAATAACACAACTTTGAACAATACATTACATACAGAATTAATTTTGACTATTAATATTAGGAAAAGGTGATGGGTAAGGTACCGGAAAATATGGTAAAATTATTTATCTTATGCTATAAAACATCATATTCATCAAATTATAAAAAAAAAAAGTTGTTTGCTTATTAAGTAATTTTACTTTCATACTATCTAGAACAAATTTATACAGCTTTTGAATTCTGTCGTTGCCAAATTAATATTTATTACGGTATTTATTTAGGAGGGATTTTTTATGCGACATCAAGAACAGAATAAAGGCATCTGGTTTGAAAAAATTCGACTCTCCAGAAATGTAAACGTTCGGAAATTGTTATTTGTACAATTTATCTAAGGGTCGGTGAGTTGTGTTCCGAGGGCTTCACGGAAATTATGTTTACTTAGATTATTTTATTTTCATGTGCCATTTAACAAAGGATATAATCGATAGACGGAAATGGTCCTTTCTAGATTTTTAACAAGGTTAAAATAAAATTTTGGAAACTTTTAGATAATAAATCGAATTCATTTGATGGTTTAGCGATAATTCAAAGGAGAAAATGTAATTATTATCACTATCGTTTTATAAATATCTTTTTAAATAATCAGATAATCAGAAAGCAATAAGATATGATAAGATAGATAATCTCACAAGTGAAGTATCCTGAGACAACGTAATAAAGTTGTGTTGCTCTCTTTGGCCAAAATAAAGGCAGTCTCTTTTTAAATGAATTTATTGAAGGAGCAGATGCTACATACTGGTTTAGTTGATCCCACCTCATTTATCATTCTGTGCGATCAACCGCGCGCTATTCGCTAAGTGCAATAAGGGAATTTCATACTTTAGAAGAACAACGATCGTTACGTATACATTTTCCGATGGTTGGTAAATTGTTCTCGCTAGTTCTAATAAACGTTGAAATGAAATATTGCGAAAACGTACCCCCCGTCATGAACTTTTCATTCGAACCTCGTTAATTATGTTTTATACTACAAAGGCCAACAGCTAATAAAATTAGAAAATTTTGAACTGGAAAACATTAAATTTATGATTGATTTAGGAATAGTTGCCCACCTCCCATTTTAATTCGTATACATAAAGCACAACTTTTTCTCCGCGTTCTACGAGGTTTGTTCAATTTAAAGAACACAGAATCAGAATTTTCTAAATATACCTTCCAAATTCATTTAAAATACCTACGAGTACATTTTATTCGTAATTAACTGATATATCGAATTGATTAAATACACATTTAAACAGTGCAAATGTTAACCAAAGCAAATGAAATTAAAAAAGACAATCTGCAATTAAACAAATAATGGAATTTTAAAATAAATTTTTCAAATTAATTGTTTCTGGGTAGGTAATTGATTGATACAACTGCAGCGTAATTTTAATTTTACTCATTCATGCAGACTATTTTATTATATTGATTCTATCGAAAAAAAAACTGTGAAATGTTTGAATTAAATTACCTCTGTTTCTATCGATTATATTCGTTTATATTGCCCAATTACAAACTACAACTAAGAGAAGCATAAAATGTTTTTATGTTTTATACTACAAAGACCAACAGCAAATAAAATTAAAAAATTTTGAACTGGAAAACATTAAATTTATGATTGATTTAGGAATAGTTTCCAACCTCCCATTCTCAATTCGTATAAAGCACAACTTTTCTCCGCGTTCTACGAGGTTTGTTCATTATTTCATGTAAATTGTCCACCCTTATTGAACGCCCCTCATATAATAAATTATTATTTTTCTCAAATCCGGTGTTATTATCATCATCATGTGTATGTCAATACTCGTTCGGCCAAGCTCAACGTCTAGTTTCCGCTCGACAACGCGAAAAGCTACACGACACGTGACAACTGACACGAAAACACTCGCCGCCTCGCACAGTAAGAGGCCTCGGATTATAAATGAACTTTTTCGTTAATTCCAATTTTACTCACGCGTCAATCAACCGTAAATGGGAAGAGGAAGAGGAGCTTAAATTTCCGATTAAAACAATCGCTGCTACTTTTTTTTGTAGAGTTTTCTAATTATTCTTCCGGCTGATGGAAAACAATCCAATCGACTGGTTAAATTATAATTTGGTGTTTATATCTCCCCGTGGTTCTACTCACCGTCGATGTAATTAATTCCAGCGCGTTATTGTAACTATTTATTACATTAGCGCGGAAAATCGTTTAATCGCATTAAAGAAAACCGCCGGGATTAGAGATGAATATTTTAGCGCGAAATTGCACCAGACGTATTCATTAAAGTTTGTAGCACGTACAATTACGATGCAAATAGGAAGTGTACCGGAAATACATTAAAATGTTCCAAAAAACATTTCCCCAATTCGCTTTAAAACACTGGTAAAAGTTTCATTCCAACAATAAATTCGGGATTTATCTATACGCAATCGGTTATTCAGTAAAGCGCCGAGAGCTCCAGAAATTATATTTTATTATCAAAGGAACTCGTTTAAATTAAACCTACTTCCCGTTCGGAGCGGATAAATCAGAATAACCCTTTCTTTTTTTCTCTTCGCGTCAGATCATGAATATTGAATTTAAAAGTTTTTAAAGTGCGGAAACTTTCTCCGCCAGCGGTTCGGCTACGTATTCACCTCTTTTCTTTTCGACGATTTAAAGGAAATCTAGAGAAAAGCGACACGGTACTAAATTGCTTTTATTAATGATGTTTACTTAGCGGGTGAAATTTTTCTTGCGCGACACGAATCCCGAAAAGGTTGATTTTCTTGAAGGACAAAAAAAAGGAAACCGAGGGAAAGAATACCGAGTGATGGCAGTCTGTACGTTCGAGATAAGAAATAATTTTTAATTAGTAGATACAATTAATTAAGGAAAAGTCGAATGTATTCTTTTTATAACCGCGATGAAAACGACATAGATATTAAAATATTCTGCAATATGGAATTGTAAATATTCCCTGTAATGTAAACACATTAAATGTTAATATGTGAGTCTTTATTACCTTTGTAATTACACGTTTGTTAAGATTACTATCATTACTTTTACTCAAATTTTAGGTAAAACTTTAAATAGTTTTTAGTGTTAGGTGTGAACTGGAAAATATACGGATAATAAAAAAGTAATGTGTTCAGTGAAATAGCTCGTTTATGTAAATAACCGGATTAAGTTAGGTACATCGTTTTCCCTTTTAATTAAACACATTCTTATCACCTAAGCAATTTCCTTCTTCCTCCTGAATAATAATAATTTTCTGAATAATTCGTGGGAATTAAGTCCTGTCCGTCACAGCCGCCAAAACTGCTTAAAGTTCAGTAAGAAAGCTGAATATCAATGAAAATTAAGAGATAATGCGGAGACTTTACCCCCCATTGTTAAGAGTTAATCAAGCTATTTAATCCTGTTCTCCTTCAGGAACTCTTCTAAGCAAATGGAATTGGAAGGAGTCAAATTTAATGAATACAGCCCATTTTTTGAATTGCATACCTAAATCTATTGTAATCAGAATTTTTTAAATATACCTTCCAAATTCATTTAAAATACCTACAATTTATTCGTAATTAACTGATATATCGAATTGATTAAATACACATTTAAACAGTGCAATTATTAACCAAAGCAAATAAAATTAAAAAAGACAATCAATTAAACAAATAATGGAATTTTAAAATAAATTTTCCAAATTAATTGTTTCTGGGTAGGTAATTGATTGATACAACTGCAGCGTAATTTTAATTTTACTCATTCATGCAGACTATTTTATAATATTGATTCTATCGAAAAAAAAAAACTGTGAAATGTTTGAATTAAATTACCTCTGTTTCTATCGATTATATTCGTTTATATTGCCCAAATACAAACTACAACTAAAAGAAGCATAAAATGTTTACTAGCATAAACCACTACAACCGTTTCCTGGGATTTCAAATAAAGATATCCTTTGAAGCTTTATGTCATGAAAATTTCGTTTTCTTTGCAATATAAAGAAAAATCTACTACCTTTATGAAATCTTGATGATACTTTTCTATCAACATTACGTTTATATACAATTGTTTTTAATGTTATTTTTTAGCGTGTTTGTCCTCAGTACCACTTTTTAATTGACTGAATCTTTTGTTTTTGTGAATCATTCAATCAAGGTAATCTTAAGTAATTTATATATTTAATTTTTAAATTCTTGCAACAAATAATTAGGAAAGAAAAACATATTTTTTAAGATAATTTTTAAGCATATTATATGACTTGTGTAAACACTATGTGTATCTAACACCAATAAAGAATTTGTTTAGAGCAGTTTAATACTACTTATGTACCGATGTAATTTCCAAAATTTTTCTGGGTAGTATTTTGGTAAGAGGATTATTTAATTATAAAAATATTGTCTACAAAATTGATGGTTAAATTCACAAGAAGTTACCAATATTTCTTAATATTTAATTACATATATTACCAAAATAAAAGCATGCGATAAAATTTAATGAAATAAATATCAATAATTTTTCAATTTTGCAAATAATCCAGTTTAATACTTTCACTGCTGTCACAGTTTTCTTCAAGGACCCAAAAATTAATTATTTGCATTCCTCTCGATTTATAAAAGTTTTCAAAAAAAACTAGATACTTGTCAGATATCATTAGAATTTTAATGTTGTTAATTTGTTTGTATTCTAGTGACTGCAAGACAACAGTGAAGGTTTCTAATCAGTTTAACGACATTTAATTTAAAAAAATTCAATAATATTTTTATTTCTGAACCGTATCTCCACCTTGTCAACCACCAAAACATAATCTTAAACACCGAATCAGGCACTAAAACAAACAATATTTCGAATGGCAAGCGCACGCTAAAATCGTTTACAAAAAAAATCGCGAGATATCGAAAGCTCTGTTCGGAGCAGAGGCGAAAAGCAGCTGAGCAGCGCGCGGCGGCCGAAAAGCACGAAGCTTGAAAGCCCACTGGCGGCGGAACCGCTGCCGCGAAACAGTTACAAGCGGAAAAGCTCAAAGCACCGTCCGCACGCCGGCCCTTCAATCGGCATGCGCGGCATTCGCACAAATCTAATCTATAACATCACATCATGTTCTCTGCACAATTCAATATACGGACGGACAGGTGCTGGGATGGATTGGGTGACGAGTTTCGGGAGAGATTTCGGTGTACGGGGTGGCGGCGTCCGACGTCGATGTAACGCCGTTAATTCGATTTGGAGCAACAAGCGGATCAAAATAGCTCCCAACCCGGCGAAACATTTCTATACCAAATAGAAAAAGGAAAGGATTCGATGAAAACATAAACGATGAATTCGATAAGTGCTAAACGAGAATTACGATATGATGAATTTCTCCAAAAAGCTCTTAGAATTTTGTCCTCTATTTAAATTACGCAGAACTTATAGACAATGTTATTGGTGATAGACAAGCCTTCACATGTTCATGCAACTATGTATCCAGTGCAATAGTTTGATCCAGGTGTTTTGCAACCATGGAACGAAGTTAAATCTCAAAAAGGAATAATTGATAAACCATCGATAACCAGTTCATTTGGATTCTATTGTTACCAAATACTCCTTGCAAACTCTAAATAATTTCTAATGTTTTCACACCTTCCTTTGCACAAAAAGAAAATTCTTTTTCTTTGAGATTTTTTTTCGTCTTCCATAGTTACAAGACACCTGAATCAGACTGAATAATGGACGCACTGGATAGTTGCATAAACATGTCAAGACTTGTTTATCACCAATAACATTGTCTATAAGTTCTGCGTAATTTGTGAAATTAGAGCACAATTCCCAAAACTGGAAACATTTTTGGAAACATTCTAAAAGCACTCAAATATTAATATAGAAGTCATCGCATTTCAACCATCTCACACAATGATCTAGTATTTTATGGACTTTAAAGGTAGACAACATGTCCTAAATACACAGGATCCTATCGAATATGTTCTGATAAATAAATACAATAAAATTTCAAATTTATTAAAATCCTTTTCGATGGCCTTTAAAAAAATACGTTCGTTGTAGGTGGAATCCGATCGCGAATCAGTTTGATTTATTCCTTAACCTCCGGAGGTCGTTTTCCGTTTTTTTGTGCCGTGTCATCTCTTACGAGTCTTCATCCATTTTAACTTTCTTTTTTCGCACAGTTTCCCGTTATATTCACTCTAGGTATCTCCTGTAACTAAATTGATGACCGGGCAATTTTTGCACCACGACATCCGCCGGACGGGAAAATATTGCGTCTATTAAATACAGCCCATTGCAAAACATTGGAGTAATTTTGGATGGAATTATGTATTTTTAATAACGTAAATCAATGAATTGGAACTTTTAAACCATTGTCGAGAAGTCCCAGAAGCTGTATTACACCGAAATGTTATAGGAATAATCGTAAAAACCGGATGATATTCGCAATTGCGGTCTCATAACCATTAGATGGTTCCGCATTTATGCTTATCACTGCATCTTGAAACCGTGTAAGCATTACAAATGAAATCCCTAATACACACTTGGCACTGTTTCCAACGGGGCTACTCGAAGTGGGTCACATCTCATCGGTGTAATATGAGCACGTCGTTCAAACTGATCCTTTTCGATGAGACGATGCCAAGAAAAAATTACCACACTGCATTTTCCACCAAGAAAATCCCTCCCTAATCCTTTATATTACTATTTTTATCACCTATACCTCTACGTTTAATTAATTTATTTTCGATCGTTGCGTGTGGATACGCTACTGTTTAATTACCTGTCCTTTATTCGGAGCCCTAACCCAAATTAGGACGCACTACATCTGCATTAAAGGAAAGTTCCTGATCCTAATCCTAACGGAACGTAACAACATTGCCGACCGAAAAAATTCAATTGCCTCGCCGCATTCGGGATTTTCCTATTTTCACTATGTTTTCATCGCAATCTGAGTGAAAGCTTCCTCCGAAGAATTCCAATTATTGCTGGGTTTGTAGAAAAGTGCGCTGCCGTTTGGGACGTTATTAGATTTTTTTGAATTTCCTCCGAAAACGAATATTACACGTACATGTTCGAAATTGTAAACTACAATCTCTTTCCCATCAACTCTTAGCAGTGTTAAAACTCCTGCTGCTGTATTCGCGGAAATTCGTTTTCCAATTTTTCGAAAGGGAAAAAATATCAGAATATGAAGTAGGTACAAAGATAACTTTGCATTTATACAGGGTGGCCCAGAACTCACGCCCCTTGAAGGGAAGAAATGTCAATGGAGATGCCAAAACTGCAGCCGAAAACATGAAAATATCCATTGTCGTTGTGAGTTCTGGGTCACCCTGTATATGATAAACCAAATAAAGTTAAGAATGTTTACAAGATAAAGAAGATACGTACGTGATACGTTCTAATATACATCTGTATTTCGTTAAGATTAAAGTATAACTCGTTAAGAACACTAATAAAGTTAAAGTACTCTCCGACTTTACTGATACAAACAATATTGTTTGCTTCAATTAAAACTCCGCGTAGCCTTTCCTGGCTCTAATGTAAAATATCTGGCGAGCATTTCACAATTCACAATTCTCCATCTCCATTGTTGGAGAAACTTCTCCGCGGGCATAACCGTTGGAGTGTAAAGTTCGGAAGGGAAAATTAAATTTTAATATCTATCGCCCTTTTCTCAAAACGCGAAGACAAATAAATGGCAACTTAAAAGTTTCTTTCGAAGTAAAGTTGGCGGTTTTCGGAAAACAAAAGATGAGTTTAAATTTGCATACAACAGGTAGGGAGAAGGGCGGATACCATCGGATGATTAACCACGAATTTCTTTTGTTCAAAGTTTCACTGTAACCGGAAACTCCCGGATTACGAAATATTTCTAACGCAATTTAATTCAACTCCTTAATTACATTGTTGGGCGGTTCTTGTTTTTTTTTGCAACAAAATTGTACCAATTTAATTTGATAAACTTTTGATAAATAGTCGCATTTATAGACTCTTTTGCGCAGAGTAATTTTAATAAAAACTTCATTCCTATTATTATATACGTTTTTTTACCTGCCTTTTTTTGTATCTACGTTGAAGATATCACCGAAAGAGATGATTTGCGGCGACATGCGATGCCAAATTTATGGCTTACCTGAAACAAGAAAAAATATACGGTTATTTACGAGTAAAAATGCTAAGGGAAATCGACATTTATGAAACGCTTATTTCATTCCCTTCCGGTTACGAAGACAGGTGATAAGTCTGTCACTTCAAACCATCTACACAGCCGAAGCGGAAATTGGGAAAATCAACTCAACTTCACCCTCTTTTATTTACATCTGGCAAAACGCGTGGCTTCGATCGAGACATTTTTTTACGAAATTGTCGGGTTTGAAAATATACCCAATTTCTGATTGTAAAGTTCGTACGTTTTAAAAGGAGAATGACGTTATTTTTAGTAATATCATTCCAATAACATTTCCCTAGTGCCAATGTTAATTCTGCCATTTGACTAGGGGAATTTTACGACGTGCGGTTGAAATGCCGATGCGCTGTTGCCATATCATTACTGTCAAAATTATGCTACTTGTACTTGACAATTCAAATAACGGTTGTAGGTGGGTATGTAAAAATAATACTAAAATATAAATATTAATATTCTTTTATATATTTTTTAAGTTACATATTACAAAAGTTATACCTATAAGGTATATAAAAACTTGCAGAAGACTTTCATAAATTTTAACTTACACCAATTAAGTATCTAAAAAATACCAACGCTGCATAAAAAAATTAATAAACACCAAACACCAACTAAATGTCCTTTAGACATCACATATATTTATTTCGATTCAAAATTAAGATACACTCCTCCTTTCGCCACTGATATGATTCCAGGCAAATATGTAATAGGCATTTGAGTTTTTTCGTTCAATTGAACGCGAAATTTGCTCAAAATAGCGCAGATTCCCACTTTGACTTGCAGTTTTCCCAATCTTAGTCCTAGATAAAAAAGTTGATGCATTATAAATACCTTAATTGTGTTTACAAAATTACCTATACATAATCTAGGACCTTCGCCGAAAGGTAAATACGCGAATGGATGCCTTGCCGATTTATTTTCCGGAGAGAATCTCTCTGGATCAAATTTTTCCGGATCCGGATAAAACTCTGGATTTCTGTGAATTGAGAGTACAGGAATATCAACAGATGTACCAGCCTTTATAATTAAATCGGTATCTGGAACCTTGTAGTCCTTAGTACAAATTCGTGGGATAAGCGAAAGAGGTGGATGTTTTCGAAGAGATTCTAATAATAAAATAAATAAATATAATAATTTGCATAATTAAAAAGTTGATTAATTTAATACCTGATACTACTTTCTCAAGGTACTCCATTTCACCGATTGCTTCGTAAGTTAATTTGCCATCGAATTTCTTAAGAACGGTCTGGATTTCTTTTCTAACTTTGTCTTGAATTTCTGGATTTTGCGACAATTCGATGAGGATGAAAGTCATAGTTGTGGCAGAGGTTTCAAATCCAGCCAAAAAGAATACAAACGCCTGTGCTGCCATTTCGTTTATAGTAAGACATTCGACGCTTTTTCCGTCTTTATCGACTAATTGGGATTCATCGATATTCGTTACTCTGCCGAAATTTTTCAATTGGATAAGTAGGTGGAGGAAATCCTTTCTAAACACATTGTTTTTCTCTCTGTAATTTACCGTGTCTTGAACCAATTTGATAAAGAACATTTCTGCATCAGCAGGAGTGAATGATATGTTAAAAAGTTTGATCAGCTTTACTGGAAACAGCATCGTGCATAGAATCTTTATTTTCAATCTGAGACCAAATTTGAATGCTCGAACTCCTTGTCTCCTGAATTCCGAATCAGGATTATTTATACTATTAACTTCCAAACCGAAACCAACATTACCGATTATATCAGTGGTAAATCTCGCTAACAAATCTTTCATTTCTACAGATTCGTTAACTATAGCGTGCTCGTTTAAAACAGTTTGTAAACTTATTGTATTCTCAACCATTGTCTGAAATATCATCTTCATTTTACCTACAAAACAATTTATTTACTTAACTAGAAACATGGCGATGGTAATTAACAACTATTTGTAAACGGATATTCCTCATATTTACCTACCAGAAGTAAAAGCTGCTGTTAATTTAGATCTCATAACTCTCCATTTGTCGTCGTTTAGATTGAATAAATTTCCACTCAACGGATCGGCGTCTTCGTCTACAAGAATACCGCGATTGACGAAATGTTGAAAATCGGTTTGCATGATACATTTCACCAATTCCAAGTCGACGGGAACGAAAGCTGGAGCTAAAAATTTGTAGTAACCGAAAAATTTGCGACCTTCCTTTATAGCTTTGTTGTAAATATCCGAAACCATCGAACTCATCGGTACATCTCCTACGATAGTGTTTTTAATGCTACCGAAAAAGAAATGCGTTTCTCCTTGTAGTACATTCCTCCTCTTCCAATAAGAACGTTTATATTTCGAGTAGGCATATAATAAATAAAGCACAACACATAAAACACAAAGGAACACTTGCAGATTCATATTTGTATAAACAGTTTTAAATATTTTTAATGTTGATAGTATTTACTGTGAGAGAAGCTACATATCTCGAGTGAATGAGCACAGCATTGCGCATTCTCGTAGATACTGGCTTGACCTTATCATTGTGTAAATATATAGAAACTGGGCGCCATTAATTAGAGAGACGTAGGTATATAATTGAATATCCGAATAGCCGTTGATATCATTATGTATGAGTACCGTTTCAGATGGAACTGATGTATTTATTTTAATAAAAAAAATTAAAAAAACTTTTAGCATACACTTATTGTCAAAGTCTAGGTAAAAAAGGCTACAAAATCCCAAATGTTGCAACATAATTAATAAGTTGAAGTGTTTGGCATAAGCAATTTTGTGCTTTGAATTTCTTGGTTTTGCGATAATTCGATAAGGACGAATGTCATAGTTGTCGTGGAATTTTTAAAACCTGCTTAAAAAGATAAACTCGTGTACTGTTATTTCAGTTATTTGATTAATAGTCTCAACATCTTCTTTATCATCATTGGTAATTTGAGTTCATGGATGCTCGTTATTTTACCAAATTTTCTTAACTGAACAATGAAAAAACTTTCTACAAACATTGTTTTTATAACCCGGTAATAGACAGTATTCTGAACTACCTTGATAAAAGAGTTTTTATGATGAAACGAGATATTCAGTAATTTAAATAATCACCATGGGAACAACATCGCACAAAGCAAATATATTTTCAGGCTGATGCCAAAGGCCTTTAATACCTATACCTTCGTAAATTCGGAATCGGGTTTCTTTACACAATCGATTTCCAAACCGAAACCGACGTTACCGATTATATCAGCAGTAAACCTGCTTGCCAACAAATCTTTAATTTCTACAGTGTCATTCATTGCAACGTGTCTATTAAAACGAATTGCAAATATACAGTATTATCATTAAGCTCTATTTAATATAGAAAAAGAAACCATCGTATGCTTTCAAAAAATGAAGCAATCGCTTCAAGTTATACATATGCTTAAAAAGAAGTGAATGAAGAGATTTTGCTTCGAGGACCCTGCTGTTGCTTTAAAGCTAAATGTTTTACGTTTTTCGAATTTATAAAATAAAGCATCCTTTTAAAGTTGCTACAAATCACTGCAATTACAAAATAAATTTAATTAGTTATCTCATAGGTATTGTAAGTGTTCCATTTTTTAATCTGTTCTGTTAATCTGTTTAATCTGTGATTTTTTAATCTGTATGAATAACATAAATACAGCAAAATTTGAAGATTACAATTTTAGAAAATAAATAATAATAAAGGAAGTAAGCAATTTAGATCTCCAAATACTGATAAATAGAATTTCGAATCACAAACATCAAACTCAATTAAATCACCTGCTACTCAAATTAGAATAAACAATGTAGGGAATAAATGAAAATGTTATCTTCATTCATATTAAGCAAACATAAACTCTAGAATGCAATTGCAAACAAGTCGGTTATCCAGGTCTTCCAGATCATATTTGAACCATCGTTTGTGTCGTTCAAGTCATAAAAAATGCCGGAATGGCATAAAAAGGCGCTGAACATTTCAACGATGGAACTTACGAGCTCGAAGTTTTTACGATAGAAATCCCGCGGTCCGGCACGAGACGGCAATCGTGTTTATTCTGGAAAATGCCTCCGCTGATTTCCTATTGTGTCAGTTTAAATTCGAACTGGCCACTTCCTCCGCTTCGCGCATCGGTCAAGATGTTTTCTTTTAGAAGGAAGTTTAACGAGAAAATTGTCCGGGGCATAATGGAGGCGAATTGATGACGTGAAAGAAGAGATTTTTTACGACCGCAACCGAGAGTGGAGAGCTTAAAATATTTTTCTTTGTGGCTCGGACCGGCCGAGATTGGCTTTATTTATGGGTAACGGGTCTTACGCGGGGGGATTTTCTTGAAGATATTGGCCTCGAAAGTTAAAGGGGGATTTAAATTATTAAAGAAAGGTATAGCGAAGAAGATTAGTTGTCGGAAGGGTCAATTCGAATCTGGAGATTTGAGTTTTATTTGAAAGATTGCATAAAATAAGTCGAGCGGGGACAATCGCAAGTGGGGGAATTTATTCAACCTCTAGACTAGACAACTAGATTAGATATTATGTATTGCTTTGAAAAAAATCGTTTATCGTATTTTTAGGGTATTTTACAAAATTTCAAATAGATAATTATCGTTGTCAAATTCTATATTTGCGTATAAAACTTCTAGTTTTAAGTGTTTGACTGCGCCGATCTTTCATTAGACTAAAATCTATTGTTTTGACTTGTCCTTGTGATAAGAAACAATTTCTCATGCATTTTACGAAATTTATCATCGTTTTATTAAAGAAAAATATTATTAAATAATTTTTAAAAATAATAAAAATAATGATATGTTCGACCAAATAAGGGTAATATTGAAAAAATTCTACACTACAGAACATCTGAATGAGATTTAAAAATATTAAATGTTTAGATTTTAATCTTTAAATAACACAGAAACGTAAATAGCAGGTGTGTAAAATAAGATAATTTTGTAATTGTTCAATAATTTAAACGTAATTAATATCTACTTACTTCAATAAATATCTAATACACTCATGCATACTTTCGTTGATTAAATTGATTTTTTTATGTGAATTAAAGATTATTTCGATAAACAGCTGCAGTAAATTAAGTATTCCCAATTATTTTTATTGATTCAGGAAGGGATCGGGATACGTGTTTTTCTGAACATCTTAAAATTCTAAATATTTATCAAGTAAATATATGTTTTTATAATTATGAAATGAATTAAACTTAGTTCATTTACATACGAAATAAAAATTCATAGATATTATTAAAACACCCAGTGGTGGGGTATCAAATAATTACTCAAGTTAGTTCTCAATTCTTCAGTCATGTAAGGACAACTGACTTTGTTCATATATGGTAAATCTGTACATTTTCCCAAAATGTCACTTTGAATCTACTCAAGAATTATTAACAATACGATCAAACACGCACACACCGGATGCTTTAAATTTGTTACACCTGCGAAATAACTAAAACTCTTAAGTTTTTTTGTCGGTTTGCATTCAAGTGCCTATGCCTAATTATTTACGTCTCAATCCATTGTTATTGAATGAAAATTATCTATAAATTTCACACCTGTATTTTCTGCTATTGATGTCACTCAATCTGTAAGATTTTTCTAAAGATAAATCAAAGTATATCATAAAACGATTAATATTATAATTTCGATAGAACTTACCTATATATAGTGGTATTGAGTTATGTGTAATAATACTCAGTTGTTGTCCTGTAAAGGAAGAGCACTAATAGTGTCTAAAATAGTGAATAGATAAGATTATCGAGTGAATTAGTTTCCGCGATGCAATCATCAATTACAACGTATTTAATAATTCTCGTAGTGGCAGCCCTTTATATTTTAGCCAAATATAAATTAACCTATTGGAAGAGAAGGAATATTTTTCATTCGCCACCGGACCTCGTCTACGGCAATTTGAAGAGTACCATAATTGAAAATAAAACGTTTAGTTCCACGATCTTGAACATATACACCGATGCGAAGCAAAGAGGACACAAATTCTTCGGTATATACAAATTTTGGAGCCCTTATTTCATCCCCATCGATTTGGATTTGATCAAATGCATTCTCCAACAGAATTTCGACCATTTTCCCAATCACTATTCCTTTCTGAACGAAGCTAACGATCCGTTATCGGAAAATCTGTTCTGTCTGCACGACGATAAATGGAAGGATATGAGGTCTAAATTAGCACCGACATTTAGCTCAGGTAAATACTGCAGTATACAAATTATAATCATACCATTTAGTATAGCCTACGAGGATAGGGTGAAAAGTACTCGGCCTGAATCATTTAGAACTGTCTAGAACAATCTAGAACGCTTCAGCAACATTTTGAACTGTCTAAAATCATTAAAAACGCTCCAGAATCATCTAGACCCGTCTAGAACCATTTAGAATCATTTAGACCGCTTCAGAACCATTTAGAACGTTCCATAGTCGTTTAGAACGATCTAGAATCATTTAGAACTGTCTAGGTTCTGACCTAAAAAGTAAAATAAATTATAATTTCTCAACTGAAAATCGAGGTCTTTCATTGTCGGGCCGAGAACTTTTCACCTTACCCTTGTAGATAAGTGCAAATGTGTTTGCATTTTGGCCAATAAGGTTCAATTTTCTGAGCTACATCTAAGATTTTTGAATCACTCTTCTCAGGTAAACTGAAGATGATGTTTCCCACTGTTATCTCGTGCAGTAAAAACATGCAGAACATATTAAAAGAACGCTCCGAAGCCAATGAACCGATTGATTTCAAAGACCTCTTGGCTAGATTCACTACAGATGTGATAGGGAACGTTGGCTTTGGCGTCGAAACCAACAGTTTGAAGGACCCAGCATCGGAATTTCGCCAACACGGAATTAACGTGTTCCAATTCAATCTCAGAGAAAAATTTTTGTTCTTCCTCATAATGGTACTTCCGACGTGGCTGATCAAGAAACTCGGGTTTTCCCTCAATCCGCCGGAGAGGACAAATTTCTTCACGAATTTGGTGGAGCAAACTGTCCGATACAGAGAAGAAAACAACGTGTACAGAAAAGACTTCATGCATTCGTTGATACAACTAAAAAATTTCGGCAAAGTACATTGCTTGGAAGAAGGATCGTTGGTTGGCAAAATTAACCAAAGTGATCGTACTTTGTCGATCAACCAAATGGCAGCACACGCTTTTACATTCTTCCTAGCGGGATACGAAACTTCTGCAACAACGATGACTTTTGCTTTAATCGAATTGGCCCAAAACCAAGATATACAAGACAAAGTAAGAAGCGAAATTAGGAAAGTGCTCGGCAAATATAACAATGAAATAACATACGAATCTGTCACGGAAATGGACTACTTGGAACAAGTAGTGTTAGGTAATAAATTTCCTTGACGTCTTTGAGTGAAAATATTATCAATAATTTACTTTTTAGAAACATTAAGGAAGCATCCTCCAATTTTCCTACTGCCTCGTGTATGCAGCAAAGACTTTCATATACCCGGCACAGACGTTGTTTTGCGTGCTGGTACACATGTGGAAATCCCAGTGCACGCCATCCATCGTGATCCAGAGCATTATCCGGAACCGGACAAATTCGATCCGGAGAGATTCAGTCCGGAAAACAAAGCGAAACGGCCCAGATGCGCTTATTTGCCGTTCGGCGAAGGACCGCGCATTTGCATCGGTGAGTATTTTGAGTTTTAATATGAATAATTTATAATTCATTCGAAATAACGATTCCAGTTGGTAATAATGCTTTATTAACACCGTTTTCAGGCTTGCGATTTGGAAAAATGCAATCTAAAATAGGATTATGTACGATTTTAAACAACTACAGAATTACGTTTAATGAAAGAACTCCGCTGCCCGTTGAATATGGACCTGGAATCGTTTCGCTTGCCAAAGGTGAAATTTTCATGAACCTCGAACCGGTGCCACAGTAATTCAACACAAAATGCTCGTGTATGCATTTTTTTATTAAGTCAACGAAGACTTTTTGCAGCATCTAAAAATGCCTTTATGTACCTAATAATATCTTTTAACACTCTCATTTTGAGCGAGTCGAATGAAAATAATTCCATTCGGTACACGAAATTTGGCATATATAGCGATAGTAAATTTCCTTTATTTTTCTTTTATCGACGATGAGATCTGTTAATGTATAAAAGTCTTTGTATAACGTAAAGGCCACCAAAAAGGAAAATCTTCGACTGACCCTTTCGCAAGGAACTAGATGATATCACTCAAACTAAACACGTTTATGGTCAATTACACATAATTTAGTTGACATTTATATACGCATTCGAATAAGTTAAGTCCTTCCATGGGAATTTATCATAGCCTCAAAATTTCCATATTCTCATTCCGTACACGAAATTGTGAAAAAACCATTATGATAATGCCCAATCTGCTCGATAAATTCCTGCCTATCGCTGGTTATGTGGACTTGTGCCCCACATCACCTATATTAACGGGAATTAATAGATTGTGATAGAAACTACGGTTAATTAAATTTCTAGTGAGCACGCAATAATCCTGTCTTATCCTAGCCGAGGCTATATAGGCATATTGTCATTATCCAACAGATAGTCCTTTTGGACTTGACTGGCATTGAAAATGTAACATTATATTCATCAAAAAATTTACTGAGTTTATCATCGAGAAATTAGATATAGTTTTATTTATTTATTTCATTGTATATGTGTGTTAATTTTATACTTTTTGGCATGTAATTGAATGTTTAGAAGTATATGAATGTTGTAAATATAGAATGTAAGATTTTTTTATAATTGCTGTAATTGTATTATTGAATAAAATTGTGATAAATAAATGTTAAAATAATAATAGAATTGCTGTATTAAATCCAACATATTTTACACCTACATTTCGTATATCCGACAAATTCAAATGCTCCAGATGTAACATTTCCCGAGTGCATAAGAGTTCCCTTTTGTGTACATTTTTATCTAGTGTCTTGTTGTCCCAGGACTCTAGCAATCAATATAGTGATTGTCTCTTTATCAAACGATCTCGAAACGACGATTTTCCGCAATCTTTCCATACCATTGACGTAAATAAAAACGTTGTTATGCTCATTCGCGTAGGTACGAAATGTGCATTGAATTCGGTAGAAATGGAGTTTTCCGCTCATTTATTTTGACGGGTTTGCTTGATTTTATCTCGGAAAGAATATTAAGCGTTAGAGAAAATAGGGATTGCAGATACCCGAAGAAATTTGTAGAAAAGTGTTTGTCTGCTTATATTGAGTCTGTTATAGTAGTATTAAAAGCGATTTGAAGCTGACATGAAACTGAATTTCGTGTCATTTTTCGGTAAAATTTAATAAAAGAAAAGTCGACTTCAGTCAGGATTTTAACGTCTTTATATTAAAACTCATGAACTTACATTACATGTAGACACGGAAACATGAAGGTGTAGAATTATTAAAGTCTATTATTTGATATGGTATGAAAAGAAGAACTTGTAATCGAAAAGTTAATATTAAATTTTAATCCATCAATCATTGGTATTAAAACTCTATATTTAGCCTAATTTTAGATGACTTGTTGTGCACTAATCAAGACTAATTAACATGATTTGTCCGGTTTCACCAACGATTCACCAACGGTTTCACCAACTTTTAAACTCCAGTTAAATATTTTGACTCAGAAATTTGTGTATTTTTATTGGACAGTTAAATTTATTCATCGAATAAAGTCTTATCTGTCGTTGGTGAAACTGGACATCAGTGACATTGAATTAAAGTAGTTGCAAAAAGATTTGTGTCTGTTTGATGTAATTGTTCGTATTATTTGTCTAATTTAAAATTAAATCTGGTAACAATAGTGCAACGCAATATCTTAACAGAAAGCAAAAGTGCAAAGAAACATAAAGATATGAAATTGAACTGTTTTCTTTGTGCAACAGCCATTTAATTATAAGTAGAGATTCCCTCCTTTTATCTTTCCCATTAATTCTTTTCCTCACGTATCTATGAAGGAAAACTTTCAATTAGAACGAGGGCAATTTAATTAATGTTCTACGCAAACGGATACGTTTCGTTGTTCTCCCTTCTTTGTTTGCAATTTTTGTTTAATAGAAATAACACAAACAGCACCGAATTAAATTGAATTTGATAGGTTTTTTTTTTCTTAGTGTACGTTCGGCAATTTTAGGGAACATGTTCTTCCCTGTACTTTAAGAAATCATAAAGAGATTAAGGGATTTCTGGCGAGGCCATAAGCCCTACGCACGGAAAAGCACTTTTGAAAAGTTTTCCCCGAAAACGGCTTATCGAAAATAATAAACTGAACTGCTAAACAAACATCTAAGTGACTCCGGAAGAACGAGGCTATCATAAAAATTACATAAGGAGGGGAGAAAAGCAGCGCATAGATTTACATATATGAATGAATATGAAGTAACTACCTGTGTAGATGGAAAGCAAACAAGGAATCTTTTTTATGAAGTTTGTCTGCACTTAATTTAAAGCTTTAAAGCACATTCACTTTGTGTTTTAATATAGAGGAAAATTTGATGATTTAACTAATATTTATTTTATATCTAATTTCATACACACCCAATACCTAATATTATAAAATAATATTAATAATAATGAATATTAGCTAGTTACTTTTCCAAACGTTCCAAATTCAACCAAACGTCGTCTTTAACAGTAATAACCGTATTTAATTCATACTCTATAGGCAACTTGGTCTTTTCATTTAATGTAATATTATAATTTGATACTACTGTGCATAAACCAAGTTTGGCTTGGAGTTTTCCAAATCTCAGAGCTAAAAATTAAATAAAAAAAATGATGCAACTGTAGATTAAAATTATAATAAATAGTTGCTGAGTTTTTTAAGTGTATATTTACCTAAACAGTTTCGTGGTCCATCTCCAAAGGGAAAGTAAGTCAGGGGAGGTCTTCTGGCTATGCTTTCCTTGCTAAACCTTTCCGGATCGAATTTTTCCGGATTCGGGTAATACTCGTGATCGTTGTGAATAGCCAGTACCGGAATAAGTACTTGCATTTGCGATTTGATTACCAAATCGCTATTTGGAACTTTAAAATCCTTGTTACACAAACGAGCTAACCGATGAAATGGAGGATGCTTTCTCATTGTTTCTAAATAAAAACCCGTATTTTATTTTCGTATTATTTTCTTCGTATTTTCATACTTACCGCAAACTACTTTTTCTAAATACTCCATTTCCACAACAGATTCGTAGGTTAATTTGTTGTCGTTCTTTTTAAGAGTTTGCTTAATTTCTTCTCTTAATTTTTCTTGGACGTCTGGATTTAGCGCCAATTCGAGCAAAGCGAATGTCATTGTAGTTGCGGAGGTTTCGAAGCCAGCAATAAAAAATATGAAAGCCTGCGCGGCCAGCTCGTTCATCGTTATTGTACCCGAAACGTTTTTATGGTCTCCCTTTAAAGCCGCTTCGTCATCTTCCAACACTTTACCTATATTTTTTAATTGAATCAGAAGATGCAGAGCATCCCTGCGAAAGACGTTGTTCTTCTCTCTGTAGTCGACGGTACTTTGAACCATGTCCAAGAAGTATGTTTCGATTTCTTTTTTAGTAGGCGAAAAACCCATTTCGTTCACGATGTTTACAAACCACGTTGGAAACGTAGCAGCAAGAAAAAGATGAGTCTTCTTGCGCCAGTTGTTTTCGAAAGTATATTTGCCGTACTGCCTCAATTGGCAATTGCCATTTTTCATGCTGTTAAATTCTAGTCCGAAAGCTACCGATCCTATAACGTCAGTTGTGAATCTGCCCATAACATCTTTAATATCAACAGGCCCATTGGCGTTTGTGCAATCTTTTAATATTTCTTCAAGTCCTGTTGTACATTCTAGCACCGTATCGAACATCATCTTCATTTTACCTAATAATATTTTTATCGATTTATTTTCGTTTTAGCTTTTTTAATCTTAAATTTACCTGTTGTAAACGCAGGAGTTAATTTTGTCCTAAGAACTCTCCATTTATTATCCGATATGTTGAACAAATTACCAGAGAGCGGATCTCGTTTTTCGTTTACGTGAATTCCACGATTTAAAAAATGGTCAAAATGGGTAAACAAAATACTTCTGATTATTTCTCTGTCCAATGGTATGAATTGCGGAGTAATAAATAAGTATACACCGGCATATCTTTCACCTTTGGCTTTCGCTGCTTTGTAAGCATTCACAACTGCATCTACTAGTGTGATATATTTCCCTTTTCGAGTTCTTAAATTACCATAGAAAAATGTAGGTTCTAAAGCAACCACATTTCTGCTGCTCCAATAAGTATATCTCCACTTTACAAACAAATAAAAAGCTGCAGCAAGAGCCACTAATGCGTAAATTAATGAAATTAACTCCATTTTTATGAATTGAAAATTTATCTGTAAAATAACAAAAAGTTACATAAGAACTGGAAAATACATATACTCTACTCTCTACTCTCTACTCTCTACTCTCTACTCTCTACTCTCTACTATCTACTCTCTACTCTCTACTCTCTACTCTCTACTCATTATTTTTAAAAGAAAATGTACATATTGCATTTAGTTGTTAAAAAAGATAACGAATTTTTATTAAGATGAATTTAGTAACGAGAAACCTAATTATTAAACCAAATAAAATTTCTTACTTACATGATTGGAACAAACAACTAAAAAACATATACATCAAGCGCATTTAAATAGTCTATAGATCTATAGGTCTATTTAAATAAGTAATCCATCTATTTGTAAAAATACTTACAAAGGATATACAGGGTATTGTTCAGGGGTTGATATAATTCAACGACTATTTGAATTTGAATTTTTATTAGGCCGATAAAGTGTCTTAAAGGTCTACATTAATTTTGCCACATACGAGAATAATGTGTATATGTATTGGTTGATTCGAAAGTTATGCTACAAACGAAAGAAAACGAAAGAAAAAAGTCTTCTATAACTTTTGAAATAACTGTCCTTTCCAAATGAATCGTCCTATATATGTAAAAGCTCGACGTGTTAATAAACATGTTAAAATGCGTTAAAAATCATGTTAATACCACACTGTTGTCTTGCCTTATCTTGACGTCCTTAAGTTCGCCAAAGCGCGCCCTCAAATTCATAATTCGTGGGGTAATATAGAACTATTTTTGGTAAAATTTTTCCACAATAGATGGGATGAGATTAGTTTAACTCACTAGTAGATGTTCCATGTTTGATTACACTTGACATAAAATCAAACGTACAAGAAAGTAAAATAAGAAATCCTTTTCAGAATATTTTAAATTCAATTCTTTTCCCTGCACTTTTACCTTATTTTATATTACCTACCCTTAAAAAAGTACAAATTATCCAAAAATATCTGAAAAACGGAAACTATACTGGCAAAGCTGTCGCTAGTCAAATTTACAAAATTGTTCTGTGATTTTACATTTATGTCAGCGACTCTTATAAGTAATGTGTATTCAAAGTTTCGATTGAATTGCAAGAAAACTGATTTTTGCTGGAACGTAATTAAATAACTTTTTATTTACATAGTTTACAACTAAACTAGCACCATTAAGACATAAAATTTGCATGTAACAAAGCTTAGTATTATTGAATAAAACATGCAATTGTAAATAATCTAATAATACTAATTAGCGTACAAAATGAAATAATGAAAATAAATAGTTTATGTAGGTAAACACATCACAATAGTTATTTAAAAAAAATACAAACATTAAAGTACAATCATGAATATAAAGATAAGAAATTTCGCTCTTCCTGTGAATTTTATTGGTTTTTGTCTTACTTTAATTATTTCTTTTAATCTCTATAGCCTATTATACTCGTTAAAAAGGTTGTAATCATATTTAATTTCAGCTGGTTTGTACCATTGTACATTTATTTATTTCGCTGATTACGAAAATCAACCTCTTTTCTTTTCTAAATGCATTTGATTCCATAAATCGAAATTAAAAGTGAAATATTTGACAGATTTCGGTTTTTCCAATAAACATATCTCCACTATATACAAAGAAATAAAAGGCGATAACAAGAGTAATTAATACATAAATGAATGATATTTCTATTTTTGTTGGTACGTATGCACCTGTTAAATCATAAAATACATATTATGAAAACTGGAAAATGTGTTTTTTACATTAAATATAAGCAAATAATTGTATACCAAATTTTTATTTTTAATATTTGTTTAATTGTTTAATGTAAAGACGACTTGTTGACGTCGCAAAAATTCATTTGAATATGTTATGTTTTGTTACTTTTATTTTAGGAACAAATTTGTATTACAACAACTTAAGGAATATACGTTTTCTGAATTCAAGAGATTCAAAATAGAGCTTTATTATTTATTTAGACGCTCCAAGTTTAACCAAACATCGTTTTTAACTGACAAAATTAAATCTCCACTATATTCTATAGGTAAACGGGTTTTTTCATTCAATTTAACATTGAAATTTGATAATACAGAACATAAACCGACTTTGGCTTGAAGTTTTCCAAATCTTAGCCCTAAAAATTAATCATCAAAAAAAATAGTTTATTGTGTAGAGATTTTTCATACGTTACCTATGCAAGTTCGAGGACCATCTCCGAAAGGCATATAGCAGCATGCAGGCCTACTAGCTTTATTTTCTTCGTTAAATCTTTCCGGATCGAATTTTTCCGGGTCCGGGTAATACTTGGGATCGTTATGAATAGCAAGTACTGGAATGGATACCTTTATGTTTGATTCTATTACCAAATCACTGTTTGGAACTTTAAAATCTTTGTTACATACGCGTGGTAAAAGAAACACGGGTGGGTGTTTTCTTAATGTTTCTGAAAATAAAAAAAAATATTAGGTATTTTACATATTATAGTACAAAGTGTAGGAACTTACCAGAAATTACCTTTTCTAAATAATCCATTTCCATTATAGCATCGTAGGTTAATTTGTTGTCGTGTTTTTTAAGAATGTGTCTAATTTCTTGTCTCAATTTTTCTTGAATATCTTGATTTTGTGCTAATTCGAACAACGCAAATGTCATTGTTGTCGCTGAAGTTTCAAATCCAGCAACGAAAAAGACGAAAGCTTGTGCCGATATTTCATTCAACGATAAACCTCCCGAAACATTATTATGATTTCCCTTTAAAGTTTCTTCGTCATCCCCCAGCACTTTACCCATATTTTTTAATTGAATCAGAAGATGCATAAAATCCTTGCGATAAATATTGTTCTTCTCTCTATATTCGACGGTATTTTTGACCATGTTGATGAAGAAGGATTCAATTTCGTTTTTCGTTAATTTGAAACCTACATTGTCCAGGAACCATCTAGGAAATGTATTCAAGATCATAATTTTAATTTTCCGACGAAAATCTGGTTGGAAGATGTATTTGCCGTATTTCCTAAATTCAGAATCTGGATTTTTCATACTCTTAATGTCTAATCCGAAAGCTACTGATCCTATAATGTCAGTTGTGAATCTGCCCAAAACATCTTTAATATCAACCGCATCATTAACTGCTTCACATTCATTCAACATTTCTTCAAGTCCTTTTGTACAATCTACCATCGTTTGAAACATCATCTTCATTTTACCTGACGTAAATGTAGGTGTTAGTTTTGCTCTGAGCTTTCTCCATTTTTCATCTTCTAAGTTAAACAAATGTCCAGACAGTGGATCTCGTTCTTCGTTAACGAACAATCCGTGATTAGTAAAATGTTCAAAATGGGTTTGCGTTATGCATTTAATTAATTCTAGATCCAATGGTATAAAGTGAGGTTTGAGGAATACATATAAACCAGCAAATTTTTCACCTCTAGCTATGGCTTCTTTATATAAATTCGACGCTGCCTTTATTGGGGTTACCCTTTCTCCATTTGGGTTTTTTAAATTGCCATAGAAAAATGTAGGTTCTAAAGTGAAAACATTCCGATCTTTCCAATATGAATATGTTCTTTTGACAATGAAGTAAATAGCGACAATTAAAGTTATTAACACGTAAACTAATGAAATTAATCCCATTTTCTTATATTAGGTACGTATCTCTAAAACAACAAAACTTCTTATCTAATACACAATTAAATAAAGTAGATAATAATATTACTTACCTGAGTATTTTAGCCTGAACAAATTTCAAAACTGGTTTGCGTAATATTTTAAATACTGGCAAGAGATTTCATCTAGTGATGACTAATATATCAGATCTATAATATGAATAACCCATACCTAACGTTTTATTTTATAATATGGTACTATAATATCGAATGCTCCTATTGGTCGAATCAAGTACAGTCCAATGTACAACTAATCTAAACATACACAACTGGTTACTAATACGCCGTTGTACAAACTGCATACTCCATTCATTATCATATAATAACTGTGCAAGTTGTGACAATTACTATTATTTAAGAAGGTCGCACACATACTTTGATCGAATTGTGTATTTGCACGAGGAAGCTTTGTTAACGTATGGCAATGACAGGTTTGAACAAAAAAAAAATAAAATAATTAACTTTCTAGCAGTTATACATTTGGGTATTTTATGTAAAATATTTGTTCTGGAATGATTGTGTAATGTGATTAAATCAATCATATTTTACAAAAAACTGCGAGTTAAATATTTTTATTAAACGAATTAAAAATACGTATATTTATTGAATAGCGTTTTAGTGAAATACTATTTACTATTTATTCAAACGCTCCAAATTCAACCAAACATCGTCTTTCACTGTCAAAACGAAATTTCTACTGTACTCTATAGGTAAATTGGTTTTCTCGTTCAATGTGACATTAAAACCTGACAATACTGAACATAAACCAACTTTGGCTTGAAGTTTTCCAAATCTTAGCCCTAAAAATCATTATTTTACTATACATATAGATTTGTAAGATAATATCAATTAGTTGTTTACCTATGCAAGTTCGAGGACCTTCTCCAAACGGTAAATAAGTGCATGGTGGTCTACTTGCTATATTTTCTTCGTTAAATCTTTCCGGGTCAAATTTTTCCGGATTCGGGTAATACTCCGGGTCATTATGAATGTCGAGCACTGGAATGGTTACCATCATATTAGATTTAATTACTAAGTCGCTATTTGGAACTTGAAAATCTTTACTGCACCCGCGAGGTAACTGATTCACTGGAGGATGTTTTCTTAGTGTTTCTAAAAATAAATGCATATTTTTCTCGTTTCGTCGAATTATTAAATACGCTTACCAGAAATTACTTTGTCTAAATAAGACATTTCCATTATAGCATCGTAGGTTAATTTGTCGTCGTGTTTTTTAAGAACATGTTTAATTTCTTGTCTTAATTTTTCTTGAATATCTTGATTTTGTGCTAATTCTAACAACGCAAACGTCATTGTTGTTGCGGAAGTTTCAAATCCAGCTATGAAAAAGACGAAAGCTTGTGCCGATATTTCATTCAACGATAAACCTTCCGAAACATTTTTATGATTTCCCTTTAAAGTCTCTTCGTTATCTCCTAACACTTTACCCATATTTTTTAATTGAATCAGAAGATGCATGAAATCCTTGCGATAAATATTGTTCTTCTCTCTATATTCGACTGTATTTTTAACCACGTTAATGAAGAAAGATTCAATTTCTTTTCTCGTTAATTTGAATCCTACAGCTTTTACAAACCATCTAGGGAATGTGTTCAAGATAATAAGATTAAGTCTCTGGCGAAAATTTGCTTCAAAGATATATTTTCCATATTTCCTAAAGTCAGTGTCGGGATTTTTCATACTGTTAATTTCTATACCGAAGGCTACTGATCCTATAATGTCAGTTGTGAATCTGCCCAAAACTTCTTTAATATCAACCGGCTCGTTTACAGCTGCACACTCATTTAACATTTCTTCGAGTCCTTTCGTACAATCCACCATCGTTTGAAACATCATCTTCATTTTCCCTAATAAATTTTTTCTGATTATCTCATTAGTTTTGTTTATTTTAAATTTACTTTACCTGAAGTAAATGTAGGTGTTAATTTTGCCCTAAGATTCCTCCACTTATCATCTTCTAAATTAAACAAATGTCCAGACAGCGGATCTCCTTCTTCGTTTACGTAAAATCCATGATTTGTGAAATGATCAAAATTAGTCTGCAATATGCATTTCAACAATTCCGGATCCAATGGTATAAATTGAGGTGTAACTAATACGTAGAAACCGGCATATTTTTCACCTCTGGCTTTCGCTGCTTTGTACAATCTTGCCATTGCCTTTATTGGCGTAAGTGATTCGCCATTCGGAGTTTTTAAATTGCCAGTTAAAAACGTAGGTTCTAACGTAAATACGTTCTTGTTCTTCCAAAATGTATATCGCCATTTTACAAAGAGGTATAAAGCGACAACAAGAGTTATTAAAACATAAACTAATACAATCAATCCCATATTTTATCTGCAAGTTAATAAAATAAACAAAATAAATCAAATATTGACGAATGCATGTCTCTTACCTCAGCCTGTGACACAATTAAAGAACAATTCATACGCTCACAACACTTTATATTATTCTGCAGGTAATTTATCTCTTGATTGGTAAAAATATTTATAATGGATGTGGCATAGTAATGTTTTTCGCTTACTCTAATCGCGAAGTACTTCAGTACACTTGTATAACAATTACTGATCTCCTGATACAGAGAACATCTAATAAAATCCCACTGCTACATTCTAAATGACATAATTTCAACGCACATGGTCGGTACATTGTTGTTGCGTAAAAAATTCGGATGTAAACTATCATTAAAGCTCTAATCGCCGATTAATACCAATAATACTTTGCAACAGATAATACCTGTATACAGGGTGGTCCATAAGTAATGACGCTATAGATGACGATAAGATCTAACGCAACTTGCTTTAATAAAATATTGAAAATAAAAAAGATACAGAGGGGCAAAGTTAGAATCAAAGAAATGATTTTTCGCAGCGGTTTGAAAGATTTTGGACGTACGAAAGTGAAAATTTGAAGATAACTGTTTAAAGGCATGAGAAATCATAATATGATATCCGTTTTGAGATATTTTCTACAGGGTACCACATGAGCTACATGAGTATTTAATTACTCGAGACTGTTTATTTACTAGGAGGAAGAAGCGATAGATTGTAGATTGATTGATTATTTGATAGATAACAAATTGGAGCGATAGACTATACCCATATTAAAATAATACAACCAAAACTTGGGGAAGAATATTTCAGATTATTTTCCACAAGAACAAGAAAATACTCCTTTTAATCCTACCATCCATTACTTACCTAGAAAAAACATGACAAATGTTTGACCATAAGGTAAAAGATAATGATGAGTATACTAGCTATTAGCAATCCGTTATCTTGCTTATTTTATAGTGTAAATATTTGCGAATATTACAAAGAGCGATGGAGACTGCAATCGAAAACCGAGTGTTACAATCGAGCGAAAATAAGTGTGGTGTAATTGAAAATTGTATAATAAAATAACAATTAGAAATTAACCTTCAACCCAGTCAATCGATTTATTAATTATATCTTTATTATATTAAGGTTTCTAATTACAAACGGCTGTGGAATTGCGATGCAATAGAAATCAGTTGCCAGCGCAGCGTGGTTAGGAATGTGAGTATCCATTTACCTAAACTTTAAAATATAGTTTTTTTTGTGATAAATTGAAATTTTAAGTTCTCTAAATTTATATTGTTATGAAACAGTTTAGTCTATAATTATCCATTTTTAAAGATACATATGTAACGAAAAGTAAGATTACATCAAATATTTTGTTAATGTTTTAAATAATTATTATACGTATCATATACCGACATTTCCAGATAAGCCTCGAGATTACCCAATAATATTAGATACAATTTTTATTTCACAGGCAAACCATTATTGAAATTTTACAATCTTCAATAAAATGTGCTAAATTTTCATAAAACAAAATAACAAAAAAATCGTTACAGAAGCTAATTAAATAATGTAACAGAGATAACAATGTTTATTATTAATTTAAAACAATAATTTTACTGTTGGGAGTGTTGGATGCCTCACAAGGCTCGTTTAAGAAATTGTAAACATCTCTGTCAATTCAACTCATTAAGATAACATTATTTTTAGCATATGCGTATTCCTTTATGCACAGTGCATACATACGTGAAGAGTTCAAGATGTTCGCCCTAGTGCTAGTTTTAATACCAATTGTTGTTTACCTGTACTTAAAGTGGAATTATAGTTACTGGAAACGAATAGGTCTCGAGTACATAGAACCCCATTTAATATACGGCAATACGAAGGAATTCGTGAAAAAGGAACTTTCGTTCGGGGATCAGTTTGCTAAGTTGTACAAGGAGTTCAAGTCGAGAGGCTTGAAACATGGCGGAGTGTTTATGCTGCAACGTCCCGTTTACATACCGGTGGATTTGGATATTGTGAAGAACATCCTTCAAAGAGACTTCAATCACTTCATGAATCACGGGATGTTCTTTAACGAAGAGGTGGATCCTTTATCGGGACACCTCTTTAATCTCGAGGACGAAAAATGGAGAAAGTTACGAGCGAAATTAACACCGACTTTTACCTCAGGTAAGTGAAAACTTGGCACTTCTTACAAGCAAATATATTTGCTCGTTTATGTTTAGGCAAAATGAAAATGATGTTTTCCACGATGGTAGAATGCACGGAAGCTTTCCAACAAATTTTACAAAACTACGCTAACTTAAACGATGCCGTCGACATCAAAGATATAGCATCAAGATTTACAACAGACGTAATTGGTTCCGTTGCTTTTGGCATTGATTGTAATAGTTTGACAAATCCTAAATCGGAATTCAGGCAATTTGCTAACAAAATCTTCGAACAAACCACAATCAGACGATTTAGAAACATTTTAGCATCGGTAATTCCCAGACGTGTTCTCATAGCTTTGAAATTCAAGCAAACGAATCCTGAAGTGGAAGATTTCTTCATGGGCGTAATAGAAGGCACAGTGAAATATCGAGAAGAAAATAACCTGTTTAGGAAAGATTTCATGCATTTACTGTTGCAGTTGAAAAATAGAGGAGAAGTCGCCGATGACGATCGTGTTATCGTTGATGAGAAAAATAACTCGCATTTTCTTACGCTAAACGAAATAGCCGCGCAATGTTTCGTATTTTTTATAGCCGGTTTCGAAACGTCTGCTACCACTATGACCTTCGCCCTGCTGGAAATGGCATTGAATCCGGATATTCAAAAGATGCTAAGAGAGGAAATTGAAACCGTTTTGGCAAAACATGACGGCGTTGTCAGTTACGAGGCTGTGATGGAAATGAATTACTTGGACAAAATTGTTCATGGTAAGTTTTATTTACGAATTACTCCAAAAATAGGCAATAGAAATTAATTTTGAAGGACGAACATTCAGATCAGTATAATGTGTAGGTACAATAAAATTATAGCGACAGATAAGAAAAAAATTTACAAATATTGATTTATTAAGGACATCGAATTATCTACCTTCTGTCGATTGTGATTAAATTAGCTTGAATTGTTTTACATCTAGTCAAGGACTTTTATAATCTATGAACTGTATTAAGCAGAAAAATGTAAATAATTTTGTTGCTACTTTCGGCATAATTTACTTTTTTTAAACCGCATTAATATTTATATCAATTTTTTCGATAGAAACATTAAGAAAACACCCGCCTATACCTGGTGCTCCACGTGTATGTAACAAAACCTATGAAATACCAAACACTAACATCACCTTAGAGTCTGGAACCAGAGTACACATTCCGTTTCACGCCATTCACAAAGATCCAGATCATTACCCCGATCCAGAAAAATTCGATCCGGAGAGATTTAATGAAGAAAATAAGGCAAAAAGGCATCCGTTCGCGTTCATACCCTTCGGAGAAGGACCAAGGATATGCATAGGTGAGATTAATTGTAGACTTTTAAGTAGACAAATAAAATATCATAATAATCTTTCCACAGGTGCGAGATTTGGTTTACTTCAAGCAAAAGTCGGTTTAATATCGGTAATAAGAAACTTCGAGGTGACGTTAAATAAGAAAACAATCCGGCCAATTCGATATACAACTAAAGCTTTCGTTACTGCTATAGAAGGTGGTGTTTGGTTGAATGTGTCTAAGATAGAAAAAAACTAAGTTTATTATTACAAAAAATGTTGTTAAAAATATTCAGTATTTTTAGTAATATATGTTCGTAATTTTGGTAGAAACATTTAATTTTATTAATATATTGTATCACTGTTGAAACACGCAAATACGTTCATTCATTGGAAAAACACTGAAGTGCGAAAGAATTATTTAATATTGCGCAATAAATAAAAGTCTATTGTAAAAATTATCAGTAAAAAATACTTCTAGAATTGACTGAAACACAAACCTTGCTATTTAACTTAAAGGTTATTAACGATATTGATAAATTCAAGAGTGATTCATTTCGATTTTTTTGACAACTTATGAAAATCCCGCTAACAGTGAACATAACGAGTATAAGAGATACTACAGCCCAGAAAATACTCTAGTCCATAAATTATTGCATGACTAATTCATTTTCCATGAAATAATCATTATTATTTTTAAACGCTCAAAGTATTTTATTCACATAGTATAAAATATATAAACCGGATATCGTATATGTACGAAATATTAAAAATATTTTTTAAATACAATTGTGTAACCTTGAAATTTTAATTCGCAAGCAATGACCGCTCCATAATAATTTTGTATACAGCGTTATCATCATTATAATGAGTAGAACCAAGGTACAATCAACATTAAAATAGAAGATCAAACTCCAAAAGTTTCTTTTATACAAGGAGCCTTATTTTTTAGATAACCAAATCATCATTTGATTATCTAAAAAAATGATGAGTTAAAAATAATAAGTAATATAATAATAATAAGTAAGTAATAATAATACTCTTGTTACTGTCATAGCGCAGTTTTCGGAGATCATGTAGGTACATCAGTTGCAAAAATCGTGCAACTTTTTCAATTGGTATTAAAGGTCATTTTCTGATTGCCTTGCCCTTGCCTCACGTACAACCATCAACTTGAACAGTATTATTATAATGTCGAGGATAAGAAAATTATTTTTCAAATAATTATGTTCAGGGTGTTCAAATAAGGATGGCTCTCGGCCATATCTCGCAAACTAATTGTCATAGAGACTTGCGGTAAAAAATCTTATGACTAAATCGGCCAAAAGAAAATGCTGGAAATAATTTTTAAGTCTCTAAAATGGCCGCTGGGGGAGTATCCGCCATCTTGATTATAAAAAATCATTCCTGCCGTAGTTTTAAAAGTCAGCCCTGTACATAGTATTTCATAACCTGTATTTCAAATTCATACCGATAACAATTCAAATAAAGGAAAGTTTAGCTTATTTATAGCAAGATAAAAAAGACAAGATAAAAATACATTACAATACATTGAAAGGTGAGTGTTCCTGGACAACATGTTACTGCTAACACTGGTTCTTATAGCAATACCGACGATTTTATTTCTTATAATAAAATGGAAAAACAACTATTGGAAGAGAATAGGTTTGGATTACATAGAACCCGTTCTGTTTTATGGAAACACAAAAGGACTGATTAATAGAAGCGAGCCCTTTGCAGAAATATTCGAGAATTTTTACAAACATTTCAAACAAAGAGGCCAACCGCACGGTGGAATTTTCGTGGGACCTAGACCAGCCTATATTCCTGTAGATCTCGCAATCATCAAAAATATTTTACTGAAGGACTTCAGCTATTTTACAGATCGAGGAATATACATTCAAGAAGAAATCGATCCGCTCGCTGCGCACTTATTTAACTTGGATGGAGAGAAATGGAGAAATCTTCGCACGAAACTCACACCAGCATTCACTTCAGGTATGTTCTTTTATAAAATTCATACTTTACTTTTAAAACAAATTAGAGAGATAATCACATTCAGCAATCATCTACATTCATACTAACACTGATGATAACACTGATGATTGAATTTTTCTTCATTCTCGAACATTTTTTAAGGTAAAATGAAGATGATGTTCACTACAATGACGGCCTGTACAAAAGGCTTAGTAGAAATTCTTGACGAGCACTTTCTGCTCGATGATCCGGTGAATATTAAAGACATCTTGGGTAGATTTACCACTGACATCATTGGATCTGCTGCTTTTGGAATTGATTGCAACAGTTTGAAGAATCCCGACTCGGATTTCAGGATGTACGGCAAGCAAGCTTTCATTTTACCGAAGAGGTCGATCAAGAATTTATTGGAAATTTTTATGTCTCAAAAATCGCTCGGGAAATTAGGCGTTAAATTCAGAAAAACGCCGCAAGATGTCGAAGATTTTTTCCTAAACGTTGTATCTTCTACAGTAGATTATCGGGAAACGAACAACATTTTCCGCAAAGATGCTCTGCATCTTTTGCTACAGTTAAAGAACAGAGGTAAAATAACGGACGATAAAGATATTTTCGAGAAAAATCTTGATGAAGGCAACAACAAATTCTTAACTATAGAAGAAGTAGCGGCGCAGTGTTTCATATTTTTCATAGCTGGTTTCGAAACATCGTCAACTACAATGACCTTCGCTATTTTGGAATTATCACTGCACCAGGAAATGCAAAACCGGTTGAGAGAGGAAATACTAACAGTGTTGAAACGACATAATAACGAGATAACATACGATGCAATAATGGAAATGAATTATCTCGATAAGGTAATAAATGGTGAGTAAAATTTTGTAGCAGACGATTAACAACTAATGAATTAATATTTTTAAAAAGAAACGTTAAGAAAATATCCACCGCTATCTATCATTCCTCGGCAATGTTGTAAAGACTACAAAATTCCCAACTCGAATGTAACAATAGAAAAAGGTACATTAGTTGTCATTTCCACCAAAGCAATACATTACGATACTGATTACTACGAAGATCCCGAAAGATTCGACCCGGAAAGGTTTAACGAAGAAAACAAAGCGAAAAGACCACCGATGACCTTCTTAGCTTTCGGGGAAGGACCACGATTGTGCATAGGTAATACTTAATTAAAAATATTTTTAGTATTAGTATAAAATTAAAAATCTTGTGTTTAATAGTTAATGCTTAAATCTACAAAATATTGGTTGTTTCAGGTGCCAGGTTTGGATTATTGCAAGCGAAGGTTGGCCTGGTGGCTATTCTTAAACATTTCAAATGCACTTTAAACAACAAGACTAAACAGCCATTTGAATATGATAGCTGTGCAACAGTTACTTCAATTAAAGGAGACGTTTGGATCAATGTATCCAAATTAAATGAAAATTGATGTAATAATAAGCGTGTAAATGGATTATTTGACTAGAGTATTTATATCCAGTATCTCTTCATTTAAATGGAAATTTTTTTTCTACCATTTCTAGTCCATTGCACACTGTATGGTATGTTAATTTCGTTAGGAATATGCATATGGAACTTACCTAATTAGTTGTTGTCGGTGATGAATATTAAAAAACGGAAGCTTACCTGAAATAAAAATTAAAATGTATTAACGAAAATGTTCTATTTGTCTTACATAAAATGTTAAAATTAAAAAAAAATCCAATTAAAGAGATTAGATAATATGCAAATTAAAAAAAAAGGTTTGAAAATAATGAATATCTTTTGATAAAATAAATAAAATTTCCCATTGTAATTGTCATTTTGGAATACAACACGTAATAATACATTTAAATTGGCCATTTTTCGATGAATTACTCGTTAAAATATATCAAAATATCGACGAAATCGAAAAGGCGCGGATTCGACAAACATTTATTATTTCCTCTCAGAAACAAATCCATGCCGTTACAACCCGTAATTTCCTCTTAAAACATTCCTTTCAGTATATTTCGGCGCACTCCTCTCTTTGAAGTTCATAATCGACTCAGCTTTTCGCTGATGAAAAGGGAGAATTAGCCGCCTCCCGGTATTCCTTCCATTCCATATTGAACGTTTCGGTGTACGCGAAATCGCAGACAGAGGCGTAAAAGGAACGAAAAATATTTACGGTTAATATCAAAATCACCTACGAACTCGTAAATTTTCTCATTTGGACTAATTTTTACCTCAAACTTTTGGGATTTTTAATGCATTGTATCCAGAGATCTAGTCCATATCTATAGATACTAGACTACGAGTATGTACAAATCTATTACAGAAGTAATTATTAAAATTGCTAAAGTATGCACAAGATTATTTTGCGAGAGATTGTAACTTTTTTTTAAGTTTTCAAATGCACGACACTGGTCAAAGAACCGTTTCAGAATCGGCGACAAGTCGTCTACGACGTGTATTTCGTATTCCCCAATGGTTAAATTTTTCCTGGAGCTCCTGTTTTCTTAGTTATCTTCTGATCGTCTTATTTCATGGTTCGCAAAGTCCAAATGTTCAAACTTCCTCTTCGACTTACATATTTTACACGCTCCCGTTCGTAACTTCACAAGATTTTTCGGCAAAAATGTGCAGTGAAATCGCAACGCAGAAACGACCAGCGAACGTTAAATAGCGTTGTTCTGTTAACGCCTAAATAGAAAATGTAAAGCGAAATAATAAAAAAAACAGTTAAACATAATCTTCAACATATCATATTTACAGTTGATGCATTGTAAGAGATTTAATAGTTTCAAAAAAACGAAAATTGTCATCAAAAAAATTGGCTGTCAAGCCAGTTAAGGTTGAGGAAAAGCGTCGTTATCGTCTTGCTTTTTGTGAATGTTCTTTATTTATGACAGACCGGTGAAAAATGCCCAACTTAAAAGGTTTAATTTCCAGAAGGGCCTGCAGAAGACACCGATTAAAAGTTACGAGCTAGATACGACAGCATTAACGATTTTTCTCTTTCGGAGGTTCTTTTCGTCCCAAGTACAAGTTCTAAGGATATCATATTGCAGTTGAAATGGCGGTCTTTTAGGGCAATCCGATTAGCACTTTTTATTATTGACTACTACTTTATTATAAACATGAATTGAAATCTATAGAAATTATTTTTGATGGGTTTAAATGCGATGCACCACGAAATTAACTTCCAGGAACGTGTTACCTCATCTAATAGGCGCAATAAAAAAAGTTCCACCGCGCTGTAACCATTATTAGCTCATCCTCCATTCTCAGAAGTTCGCCGTAAACACATGTCGTACGAATAAAACACGGAAAGAAACATTAACGGTAAATTGTCACTAGTCCTAAACAACCCAAATGGTCGCAACCGCTGCGGTTATGTTGTAACAACACTGGTCCAGGTCCAGAATTCAACTTGATTGACGTTCATTTCTCAACTTCTAACAGGCATTCGTGGTAGAGAAGTGTAAAGGAACGAATGGACTAATTAGAGGATATTTCGAACAATAAACGCATTAGTAGCGTAAATTTAATTAGGTATGAATGAATAAAAAGTTATGCTATGAAGGTACTTTAGAAAATGTTGTTTATTTCAAAGATTTTGTTTTTTTTTGGAGGATTTTATTGTGAGTTTTTCTTAACTAAATGGTTAAGGAATTGTTTAATTAATATAAATAAGGCTGATTAAAATTGAAAATTCGATTGGTCCATATATGGCGCACTTACTTTAGTAACAATACCGTTCCATATTTGATTAACGGCTTGTCGTTAATATAACGTGTTGAGAAATGTGCACGCACCACAGCGTACTTCATGGTTTTATGCGATTTTAATTATACAAATAAAGTTTTTTATTATCCGACTGGCAGTAAAAACTTTCTTTCAATGTTAGTTTGAGCTTTATTATACATTTTCGCCCATGCGAAGGCTTTTATCAACAGCGGAGATCGTTCGTTATTATAAAGTTTAGGAAACGTCGTTAAAAGTTAATTTATGTATTCGCGCCGCTATTTTCTAATGCTGTAAATTCTTTTAAAATGTCTTTTAAAATTTTTTGAAAAAATCGATCGAATTATAAGTGTAGGTACGTGTGTGCCTACTCAACAGTAAGTAGGAGAGATTAAAAATAGGAGATTTCATTGCTTAGAGTCTCTATATTAGGTAGAAGAAAGATTCAAATCAATGGATGAAGCCAACTTTGAATCTTACTGGAATTACTGAACCTATGTTTTTCCATTTAAAAATACCCTGAAGTGGCGCCCTTAACCTATCCTATTTAATTAACGTATCTTTAATAGTTCGCACTTTAGTATGCTTTTGAAGTTCGCTAATTAAATTTGGAACGGAATTTCATACTTCAGCAAGTTGTTATGAAATTTTAATAACTAGGTTGGTGAATTTTAAAGTACAATTTACTCGGAGAACTACCTGCTTCACTAAAACTTAATTATTAATAAACCAAGTCCTGGTAAATATGCTACAGCGGGCTAAACCATTTCGCGTTTTCCTAAACAGCCACTCCAGAAATGATAAAAGTCATTATTACCGGAGATGGAATAAACGAAAAAGGCGGCGTTCAACAGTCGAAGCGTCGACAATGATTCATCGCAGCTATTAATTACGGTATTTATTCAAATGTATATCTCGACGTGAGCGCACCCTCTCGTTGATGGAAAGAAAAGCGGCCGTCCTCGCGGGAAAACAAGCGGCGTCTTTGAGTGATTACCGTTTTTCCCGAGGATCAAACTGATGTAGGATCCGTCTGAGGAGGAGCAACACGCACACCTGGGTACCCCACGTCGACGACGGGTTGTCCTTTCAAGACGAATTCGAACACTTAGGGATGTTGACGTTTCACTTAGGGTCGCTCCGGTTGAGCGGGGCGCAGAGGTATATCGTTCGAGAAAATTGCACAAGTAATTATCAACAAAAATATACGCCAAAATGCACAGTTTTATTATTGAAGAACATTATAAGAACGGGATAGAATCATTTAGAATTGCCTACGATCATTTAGAACGCTCCAGAATCATTTAGAACTGTCTAGTTAGAGCCATTTTGAATGCTCCAGAAGCATTTAGAACGGTCCAGAATCATTTAGAATGCTCCAGAAGCGTCCAGAACAATCTAGAATGATGTAGAATGCGACTAGAATTAGAACTGTCTAGATCCATTTAGAATGCTCCAAAATCATTTAGAACGCTTTAGAATCATTTAGAACTGTCTAGCTAGAACAATTTTGAATGCTCCAGAGGCATTCAGAACGGTCCAGAACCGTTCAGAACACTCCAGAATGATGTAGAATGCTCCAAAATCATTTAAAACTGTCCAGAATTATTTGGCATGCTCCAGAGGCATTTAGAACGGTCCAGAACATGAGTTACCAGAGTTACCATGAGTTACCAGAATTTGCAAGTAATTGTTAACGTTTTTATTTTATTATTTGTTATTCAGTTTAACGTATACTACTTACTTATTGGCAAAATATATTAAAAAACGAAAAATATTATTTTGGTTATGCATTTTGAATTTTTGAGGAAATATGCATGTATGCACTTGTGGACTTGAGGTATACGTGCATTTTGCATATTTTCCATGCTCCAGTTCTTAATGTTAGCATTGAAATTAAAGAACTGAGGGTAATGCGATTTACCTTTTAGGTAAATGTACCGGAAAAATAAATTACCAAAGTAGCCAGGTCATTATTCACCCCACTCGAAGCGATTTCACCTGAACGATCCGCACGAAGAATGCTTCACTTCCATCACCTTTTAGCAGCGACTCGGTGTATCAGCATTAACATGGAATCGTGCCCATCTGCGCGCCGGGGCCTCTCTCTTCCAATAAAGTAAAATGATTTAACGACATCAAAATAATAAGGTTACGTTTAACGGCTCGCCCGCCGCTCCGTCATTGGCGGGTGTCGCATAAAATCTCGTTGGGACGGAATTCCGTCGGCATTCCTGACTCCGGTGGAAAACAGTTTGGTGCCCGAACTCCTGGGAGCTTTTATGTTGAGGATTAGGCGCTCGTCCTTTCTTCGTTCGCTCCGTTGTCTTCTCCCTCTGCCGACGCAGGACCGGCTAATGAAATTTTTACACCGAAATGACAATATTCAGACGATGCTTGAGAGCTTTATTCGCTGAGTGAAGAGTAGAAGAAAATACTTATCACGATTGTGAATTTAAAGTGGAAAACCATTCGATTTACTGTAAATAGGAATTAATGTATAGCAAGGGTTGAAAACGAAAGCGGAGTCAACTCTGTGGCACATTCAAGTGAAATACTTTACAATCTCTTCTAGCTTTATATCAACCATTACACGCTGCTTTTCTTGATTACTTATGATGAGTGTTTATTGTTTAGAGCTGTACGATGCTGTAACTGGATGTATGTGAGTAGCCGAAACTTTTCCAAACATCTGGTGTAATATATAAGGTGTGTTATAGAGGGAGGTTCAAAAAAATATTCCTCTAGGAATTCCTCCTCTATACATATTAAAATATTAACGTTACCGTTACCGTAAATATTAACGTCTATGCTGCAGAGCTCATTATTGCAATTAACAAATAAATTCGTTAAATTCGTTAAATATTAAAGTTTCCTTATAGTGACTTCATCAGTAAAATCAAATAGA